CCCATTTTTCCTGATGGCTTGGGACTCCAGAACCCTGCCTTGTTGAGCCAGACATGCCAGCCTGCTGCAACACAGATCCAGGTCTGAACCACGCCCCCAAAAGCTGCAGACTTTAACTGAAAACCACTCACGAGGTTACCCATCTCCAGCACCCAGATGCCCACTTCAAGCACCTGAGGAATAAATGTTCTTGGCTGAGTGGGAATAGGCACCAGGTTTAAGATGGATTCCAGTATTCTGTGACATGGTCACATGTCCTGTGAAACCTTATTCTTCATTCTTCCAGGGCTGGCCCACATGTACCCAGGGAGGTTTGCAAGTAAACAGAGCCATTTAAAACCAATTGTTCTAGCTAATGGTAGCGATTAAGTTTCTAAACCATCATCAATGGCTCACACTTTGCATAATTACAATAGTACCTCAGGGAGTTATACTTTATATTTCTAGCTTTAGATACCAGAATGATACATACCTACAAATAGGATGAACACACTCAGTAGATTATAAGCTTTGTAATGATACCTTACAAGAGACCTTTTGCATAAAGCATATTCCAGTTACATTATATTCACATTCATAAGCATATTTCCATATAACATATGGAGTGTAACGTCACAATCGCAACCCCCCTCCCAAACACAATAACCTTGTGACCCCCCACAACTCCTTTTTGGGTCAGGACCCCTACAATTACACCAACTTTAAATTTTGGATTTAAATCGCTGAAATCATGAAATTTACGATTTAAAAAATCCTATGACCGTGAAATTGACCAAAATGGACCATAAATTTGGTAGGGCCCTAGTTATCACAGTTGGAAAGGCAGATGGAGAAACTGAACCGTCTTTAGTAAGAATCAGAGTACATCAAGGCTCAGCACTAAACCCCTTTGTGTTTACATTGGTGTTCAATGCAGTTACAGAAAACATCCAAAGGGTGGCACCATGGCGCATGTTTTTTGCAGACGATGTTGTGCTCATGCGGGAGAATAAAGAGGAAGTGCAAGAAGATTTAGAGAGATGGAGATGTATACTTGAAAGAAATGTCATGAAAATTGGCAGAAAAACAGAGTATATGGTCTGTAGAGTTGATGATACCTTGTAGGAAGATAACGGAACTATAAGTCGAGTAGGGCAGCCATTACCATAGGTACAGAAGTTCGAGTACCTAGGTTTGATAGTACAGGATAATGGCGAACTCAGTGACGAACTTATAAGTAGAAAAGGAAAGGCATGGACTAAACATGGATACAGAAGGACCTAGACAAATTGGAGGATTGGGCCAAAAGAAATCTGATGAGGTTCAATAAGGATAAGTGCAGGGTCCTGCACTTAGGACGGAAGAACCCAATGCACAGCTACAGACTAGGGACCGAATGGCTAGGCAGCAGTTCTGCGGAAAAGGACCTAGGGGTGACAGTGGACGAAGCTGGATATGAGTCAGCAGTGTGCCCTTGTTGCCAAGAAGGCCAATGGCATTTTGGGATGTATAAGTAGGGGCATAGCGAGCAGATCGAGGGACGTGATCGTTCCCTCTATTCGACATTGGTGAGGCCTCATCTGGAGTACTGTGTCCAGTTTTGGGCCCCACACTTCAAGAAGGATGTGGATAAATTGGAGAGAGTCCAGCGAAGGGCAACAAAAATGATTAGGGGTCTGGAACACATGAGTTATGAGGAGAGGCTGAGGGAGCTGGGATTGTTTAGCCTGCAGAAGAGAAGAATGAGGGGGGGATTTGATAGCTGTTTTCAACTACCTGAAAGGGGGTTCCAAAGAGGATGGCTCTAGACTGTTCTCAATGGTATCAGATGACAGAACGAGGAGTAATGGTCTCAAGCTGCAGTGGGGGAGGTTTAGATTGGATATTAGGAAAAACTTTTTCACTATGAGGGTGGTGAAACACTGGAATGCGTTACCTAGGGAGGTGGTAGAATCTCCTTCCTTAGAGGTTTTTAAGGTCAGGCTTGACAAAGCCCTGGCTGGGATGATTTAACTGGGAATTGGTCCTGCTTTGAGCAGGGGGTTGGACTAGATGACCTTCTGGGGTCCCTTCCAACCCTTATATTCTATGATTCTATGATTTAAACGGAGAGATGTGAGGGGAGTGATCTGCAATAGGAGAATGTCTCTCACATTAAAAAGTAAGATCTACAAGATGGTGATTAGGCCAGCACTTTTGTTTGACTGAATGCTGGGCACTGAGGAAGAGACAGGAGCAGATCTTGAATACAGTGGAAATGACAGTGTTAAAATAGATGCTGTAAGTTACAAGATTGAACCATGTTTGGAACACATGAATTAGGGGAAGTGTGAAAGTGGTATCAATTATAGAAAATTTGAGGGAATCCAGGCTCACATGGTTTGAGCATGTGAAAAGAAGACCAGAAGAATATATAAGAAACTGTGTTAAACTTAGAAATGGAAGGTAAGAGAAGGGTTATAAGACCCAAAACAATGGATGTCACACAAAAGTATCTGATTAGATGTGGAGTTTCTGAGGAACTGGTTAAAGACAGACTGTAATTGAATTACGGGATGTGTGCTGCACCTGCACATTGTGACAATGACTGGAGCAAGTGCTGTTTGTGGCCATACTACAATAATTCACATAAAGCAAGATAGTTAATTTGGCCTCCGTGAAACAAGAGATTAAAAAAAAAAATGCTAGAAATATTTGGCTGAAATGTTTAACCATGGCTGAGATTTCTAGTATGGTTATACCAAAGTTGTATAACTGCTAGAGATGGTCAGAAAATGGGTTTATTTTCCACAGAAAATGAAAATTATTTTCATTGAAAAACTGAAAGGTGAAATGTTTTTTCACCAAAAACTCAAAGTTGACGTTTTCTAGGGAAAGAAACACTTTCCACCAATGTTCATTTAGTTCAGTACTCAGTTTTCTGTTGAAAAACCGTTTTGATGGAAAATTTTCAACCAATCTTTTAACAGGGCTTGGTTCACTTAGTCAACTTTGCAAAACTTAAATTTTATTAAAAATGGCTATTTTAAATTCACTGGTTTGCATCATGTTTGGATTGAAATGCATAACTTAATAATGTTTTTCTTCCAAACTAATAAAAATCCAAATCAAGCTGCTACATGTTTCAGATTAGGGTAGGTGATATATAGTTCATATTTTGGGTAGTTTGGCATTCTGCCTAATGCAGGAGTGGTTCTCCCTCCCCCATCCTAATTTTATCCTTCAGACAGGAAATTCATGTTGCAGATTGAAGTGGTTTGTGTGTTGGTTTTTTCCTCACTTTTTACTATTATTTCTATATTTTTTATGAAGAACACTGATAAGTAATCAAGTCTTTTTGGATTAAATGTTATACCTTGGGGTAACAAGAATTATCTTCTGGATTTGTCTTGTTCGTGTTCTTTTTTTCCATTGGCTTTTGTTCTGCTCCTCCTGAACTGACTACTCTTAAGAAAAAACGTAAGAAAAAAGAGACCGAGTAACCAGGAAAGGGATTGGATTTTGTATTCCTTGCTAAGCAATCCGCTTAATGGGAGATGTCGCATTTGCTTTTTTTATTTTATTTTTTTTAACTGTTTAATGAATCTGACATGAATCTGTTTTGAGCTCAGTAAAGATTTCTTAGCATAGTCTTGCCATCTTATTTGGCATGAGTGTGCTGGATTTGTAATGGAGTTAGACTTAAGGGCAAAAATTGGGAAGATTTTAAGTAAAATACTTAGAGCTTCTAGTTTTTGGTTTCATATACTCTGTACTTGTAAAATTTAAGGATTTAATGGTTTAAATAAAAGACTTAAGGCCACCTCTGCCCACTGGTGCAACTGCTATGTGCTTTATGGCAGAATTTGGCACAGAAATGTTTTAATGTATATCTTTGAGTTCCCAGATACTGCCTCTAGCCAATTTCCTATTGGAAGGCATTGGAGGGTTTACTGCTCACAGCAGGCATCTTGGAACCATAGCTGCTAATGATTCAGTAAACTTATTTTTCTTGTGATTTTTTTTTTTTTTTAAGTTTTTAACAGCTGGCAAACAGCTTCAGCTATGATGTGGATGTGAATTATCTTGACTAAGCAGGCATTATTTCAGGGAGAATGAAATGATTTTAGAATGGGTACTCTCTTCCCTCTTTGTGTTACTTGCTTCGTAGAGATAAGAAATTGGTAATATGGAGAACAGGGGACAATAACACAGAGTAAAAGATAAGGACCTTTTGCTTATCTATGCAGAACGGTTACGTAATGCTTGGATGATGACTGTATTCATAAGTAAATGTAAAAGAAGCATTCAATATTGTAAAATGTCTGAAGGTGTAAAATTAGAGTTTAATGGTGAGCTTCCTACATTGCCAATGATTAAAGGTGAATGCTGTTGGGTGCTGAATTCTGGATTCTGTTCAGGTTTCCTCACCACTATCCTTGAATTCTGACTGTCCTTCAGAGTAATTTTTCATTTTAGAGGATGGACAGGGATGGAAAACTGGCTTCCAGTTCACCTGTTCCTCATATAAGTAAGATGGGTCACTCAGACCAAACTCAGTGCCATTTCACAAATTGATTACTCCTTCTGTAGACTGTGTGTGTCATTCCTGGAGGAGTTCCTGAAGTACTGTTTGTAATATGACAGTGAGTTGGGTTGTTGCGAGGCCATCAACAAGAGTTGTAAACTGTGCAAGCAGACTTTTAAAATAGTTTTTGCTTTAAACTTCCTTTTGTTTTTTGTCCCAGATAGTCTTAAAGATCACCACTCGTTTTTCTTCACTGCAACCCACCCTGTCATTAAAGCTACCATTGGAATGGGTAAAATTCTTGTGACTTGGGCTGCTTAGTGGGCTGTGGAGCGTTACAGTGCAGTCCTTCATTCCTAGAGTGTACACAGTCTGCTGCCAGTCTAAGGACTGAGACACTAGGGTTAGGAATTGAGTTTAAACTGCTACTGCTGGGTTATAAGCTGGTCCTTTAAACCATCCTTAATAAAGAATTATCAATTTAGTGACATCCTGTGGTATTCTCTCTCTTCAGGCTATGACTTCTGCCAGGTCCTCCAGTGGTTTGCTGAGCGGGTTGACCGCATCATCCTCCTCTTTGATGCCCATAAACTGGATATTTCCGATGAGTTCTCGGAGGCTATTAAATCATTCCGAGGCCACGATGACAAGATTCGAGTGGTGCTGAACAAGGCTGACCAGGTGGACACCCAGCAGTTGATGAGAGTCTATGGTGCACTCATGTGGTCCCTGGGAAAGGTGATTAACACTCCAGAGGTGTTGCGAGTCTACATTGGTTCTTTTTGGGCCCAGCCTCTTCAAAACACAGAGAACCGCAAGCTCTTTGAGGTAGAAGCCCAGGATCTCTTCCGAGACATTCAGAGTCTCCCACAGAAGGCAGCTGTGCGGAAACTCAATGATCTCATCAAGAGGGCAAGACTTGCAAAGGTAAGATAGGAATAGAGCCAACTTTATTTTCAATGACCAATCTCTTCTACGTTTGTTTCATTCATTCTTACTCTCTCCTCTCATGTCTTTCCCTCCCCACCCAGAAACAAGTTGTTTTCTGGAAAATGGATTCAATTAACAAAGTTAAAGGAAAAATTATTGTTAAATTATATGTTGGAGATGAACAGTAATGTGATGAGCCAATCAGTGGACCTTCCGGAAGGCCATAGAAGGAAAAGTACTTTTAGGATGCTACTCTCTCTGCCTTTTGAAGGAGACTTGAAATCTTCTAGGATACCTCCCCTTTCTAATAAGGAGAACTTCATACTACTAACATGACTAAGGAGGGATATGATAGAGCTCTGTAAAGTCATGAATAATGTGGAGAAAGTGAATGGGAAGTGTTATTTAACCTTCACATAACACAAGAACTAGGGGTCACCAAATGAAATGAATAGGCAGCAGGTTTAAAACAAACAAAATAAATACTTCTAAACACAATTCACAGTCAACCTGTGGCACTCATTGTCATGGGATTTTGTGAAAGCCAAAACTATAACAGTTCAGAAAAGAATTAGATAGGTTCATGGAGGATAGGTCCATCGATGGCTATTAGTCAAAATAGTGAGGGATGCAACTCTGTGCTGTGGGAGTCCCTAAACTTCCAATGGCTAGAAGCATCTGGCACTACCCACTGTCAGAGACAGGGTACTGGTCTAGATGGACCATTGGTCTGATCCAGTAGGGCCATTCGTATGTACTACCTGGAGCTAATCAACAGCAGCTAGGCAGAGCAGCTAATGACTGAGCAAAACAAGATGCCCCCTTCACCAAAATGCCAAGTGTACCATCTTCACAGCACTTGCGGTTCCTGGACCACAGATCACAGTTGAGACCCAGACACTTACTTCCTCACACACACACGGCAGCACACAGCACTGGTGCTAGATCATGGCCAACCAACATACTGCCGATGGGAAGTAACTTCTCCTTAATCAAAATTTATTTTGATTTTTTTTTTTATGCCACACACCCCACTTTGGCACTTCACATCTATTAAAAGGAGTACAGTGGAGTCGCATCTTACACGGGGGTTAGGTTCTAAAGTCAGCCCGTAAGGCGAAAATCGCGTATAGTCAAAATGACCCTGTTCGGTGGAAGGTTTGAATAGTGCGTAGAGGCTAAGAGCCTTTTCTTGCAACGTGTTGCCATTGATAGGCACATGTTTACGGTTCATGTCTTCCAGCCATAAGTTTAATGCCTTTTTAGTCTTCACTAAAGTCTTATCACTCACCTGGCTTGTCACCTTAGTAGTTATTGGAGCACTTGATGCAACAGCTTGACGAATTTCTCTCTCTCGAATCTTGATGGCACGGATGCTAGATTCGTTGTGGCCACATTTACATGTCACATTGGAGACCGACATACCGTCTCTGAATAAGTCCAACACAGCCAGTTTTTCCTCCAGCGTTGGAACAGATCACTGTTTCTTCGGTTGAGCACCAGATGAAGTAGTTGGCTTGCGTTTAGGGGCCATGTTGTACGAAAAATACGTATCTTTAAACACTAGAATCACACTTAGCATGGCGAGATGCTCATATTGTGAGACGCACGTGGGTACTGAGACCGACTGAGGGAACAGCAGATTCACGTCTCCCATCTCACGCTCACTCTGGAATGGTGGGCAGAATCGCTTGTTATTTTTCTTTTTTTTTGCCAAGCGCGTATAGTTGAATTTGTTTAAGTTAAATGCGCGTATGATGCGACTCTGCTGTAATACTGCCATATTGAAACTAAAAAACATTCCTTTACTTAACAGATCTGCCTGTATATTACTGTTGTGCAAGCCAACTCAACAATAAAAGTAATATCCGCAGATTAAACCTTCTGTATTCCCAACCCATCATCTTCCCACATACTCAGCTAAAGGTGGGCTTAGCATCATTTCCAGAAGAAATCCTAGTCTCTGACAGACCAGAGAGGAAGTGAATTCTAAGAGGTCCTTTCAGGGCAAATGCCCTACCAACATTATCCTCTGTTTTAAACTATGGAAAATAGTATTTGCATGTGCTAATTGGGTAACCGCTCCCTGCAGTAGCTACTTGATTTGTGTCCATATATCTAGGCTTGGCAGTATTTAATTTTTATTTAGATTGCCTATTGAAAATGTGTACTTAATTTTTTGTTAGGCCTCTAATTATCCTTCAAACTAGCCTCTTACTTGCAAAGCTCTTGGAATCGTCACCAGATTGCTTGTTTATCATTTTAAAGCTTTCTGATTATTACTTACGCTAATCTTCAAAGTCCCTACTTAATGACACTAGCTTCTGCTGTCCTTTCCTGTCTAGGCCCAACCTGGATAAACTTCAATTGCTGTGTTTTAAATGGTTTCCTCTAAATATTTCCTTCTCTTCCTTAGTAGACTTCCTTTATTGTATAGTATTAAAATTCCAGATAGAATAGTAGCAAAAGTATTCTGATATTCTATTCTTCTGCAAAGCCCTAGGGAATGTTGACTAATCAGCACCTTTCCTTTTCTAAATTTCAGCAGGCAAATAATTTGAAAAAAATTTTTGGTGAAAAATGGGAAGGAAGAAAAATCAAATAACATTGAAGCTATTGCAGAGGAAATTTGCTACTTACTAAATATTTCTGTGACGTACAATGCAGATGATAGTATTTTGGGGTTTGTCTGCATGGGTAAATTATACCTGTGTAGGCTAAGGTGTGATTTTGAACCAGTAGTATAGTTATACTGGTCTAACATCCTGCGTAAACATTCTTATTACAAAAAGAAAAGGAGTACTTGTGGCACCTTAGAGACTAACCAATTTATTTGAGCATGAGCTTTCGTGAGCTACAGCTCACTTCATCAGATGTATACCGTGGAAACTGCAGCAGACTTTATATACACACAGAGAATATGAAACAATACCTCCTCCCACCCCACTGTCCTGCTGGTAATAGCTTATCTAAAGTGATCAACAGGTGGGCCATTTCCAGCACAAATCCAGGTTTTCTCACCCTCCACCCCCCCACACAAATTCACTCTCCTGCTGGTGCTAGCCCATCCAAAGTGACAACTCTTTACATAATCAAGTCGGGCTATTTCCTGCATAGATCCAGGTTTTCTCACATCCCCCCACCCCCATACACACACAAACTCACTCTCCTGCTGGTAATAGCTCATCTAAACTGACCACTCTCCAAGTTTAAATCCAAGTTAAACCAGAACATCGAGGGGGGGGGTAGGAAAAAACAAGAGGAAACAGGCTACCTTGCATAATGACTTAGCCACTGCCAGTCTCTATTTAAGCCTAAATTAATAGTATCCAATTTGCAAATGAATTCCAATTCAGCAGTTTCTCGCTGGAGTCTGGATTTGAAGTTTTTTTGTTTTAAGATAGCGACCTTCATGTCTGTGATTGCGTGACCAGAGAGATTGAAGTGTTCTCCGACTGGTTTATGAATGTTATAATTCTTGACATCTGATTTGTGTCCATTTATTCTTTTACGTAGAGACTGTCCAGTTTGACCAATGTACATGGCAGAGGGGCATTGCTGGCACATGATGGCATATATCACATTGGTGGATGTGCAGGTGAACGAGCCTCTGATAGTGTGGCTGATGTTATTAGGCCCTGTGATGGTGTCCCCTGAATAGATATGTGGGCACAATTGGCAACGGGCTTTGTTGCAAGGATAAGTTCCTGGGTTAGTGGTTCTGTTGTGTGGTATGTAGTTGTTGGTGAGTATTTGCTTCAGGTTGCGGGGCTGTCTGTAGGCAAGGACTGGCCTGTCTCCCAAGACTTGTGAGAGTGTTGGGTCATCCTTTAGGATAGGTTGTAGATCCTTCATAATGCGTGGGGTTTTAGTTGGGGGCTGAAGGTGACCGCTAGTGGCGTTCTGTTATTTTCTTTGTTAGGCCTGTCCTGTAGTAGGTAACTTCTGGGAACTCTTCTGGCTCTATCAATCTGTTTCTTTACTTCTGCAGGTGGGTATTGTAGTTGTAAGAAAGCTTGACAGAGATCTTGTAGGTGTTTGTCTCTGTCTGAGGGGTTGGAGCAAGTGCGGTTGTATCGCAGAGCTTGGCTGTAGACGATGGATCGTGTGGTGTGGTCAGGGTGAAAGCTGGAGTAGTTGGTGGTGGGATGGAAATTGTTGAAATCATGGTGGAATTCCTCAAGGGCTTCTTTTCCATGGGTCCAGATGATGAAGATGTCATCATGTCACCATGATTTCAACAATTTCCATTCCACCACCAACCTCAGCCTGGTCCAGTCCACACAAGAGATCCACTTCCTGGACACTACAGTGCTAATAAACAATGGCCACATAAACACCACCCTATACCGGAAACCTACTGACCGCTATTCCTACCTGCATGCCTCCAGCTTTCACCCTGACCACACCACACGATCCATCGTCTACAGCCAAGCTCTGCGATACAACCGCATTTGCTCCAACCCCTCAGACAGAGACAAACACCTACAAGATCTCTGTCAAGCTTTCTTACAACTACAATACCCACCTGCAGAAGTAAAGAAACAGATTGATAGAGCCAGAAGAGTTCCCAGAAGTTACCTACTACAGGACAGGCCTAACAAAGAAAATAACAGAACGCCACTAGCGGTCACCTTCAGCCCCCAACTAAAACCCCTCCAACGCATTATTAAGGATCTACAACCTATCCTAAAGGATGACCCAACACTCTCACAAGTCTTGGGAAACAGGCCAGTCCTTGCCTACAGACAGCCCCGCAACCTGAAGCAAATACTCACCAACAACCACATACCACACAACAGAACCACTAACCCAGGAACTTATCCTTGCAACAAAGCCCGTTGCCAACTGTGCCCACATATCTATTCAGGGGACACCATCACAGGGCCTAATAACATCAGCCACACTATCAGAGCCTCGTTCACCTGCACATCCACCAATGTGATATATGCCATCATGTGCCAGCAATGCCCCTCTGCCATGTACATTGGTCAAACTGGACAGTCTCTACGTAAAAGAATAAATGGACACAAATCAGATGTCAAGAATTATAACATTCATAAACCAGTCGGAGAACACTTCAATCTCTCTGGTCACGCAATCACAGACATGAAGGTCGCTATCTTAAAACAAAAAAACTTCAAATCCAGACTCCAGCGAGAAACTGCTGAATTGGAATTCATTTGCAAATTGGATACTATTAATTTAGGCTTAAATAGAGACTGGCAGTGGCTAAGTCATTATGCAAGGTAGCCTGTTTCCTCTTGTTTTTTCCTACCCCCCCCCCCCCCAGATGTTCTGGTTTAACTTGGATTTAAACTTGGAGAGTGGTCAGTTTAGATGAGCTATTACCAGCAGGAGAGTGAGTTTGTGTGTGTATGGGGGTGGGGGGGATGTGAGAAAACCAGGATCTATGCAGGAAATAGCCCGACTTGATTATGTAAAGAGTTGTCACTTTGGATGGGCTAGCACCAGCAGGAGAGTGAATTTGTGTGGGGGGGTGGAGGGTGAGAAAACCTGGATTTGTGCTGGAAATGGCCCACCTGTTGATCACTTTAGATAAGCTATTACCAGCAGGACAGTGGGGTGGGAGGAGGTATTGTTTCATATTCTCTGTGTGTATATAAAGTCTGCTGCAGTTTCCACGGTATACATCTGATGAAGTGAGCTGTAGCTCACGAAAGCTCATGCTCAAATAAATTGGTTAGTCTCTAAGGTGCCACAAGTACTCCTTTTCTTTTTGCGAATACAGACTAACACGGCTGTTCCTCTGAAACCTATTCTTATTACAGTATCTGAGGGCCTTTTATCAGTTTGTCTCTTGGGAAACTAAACCAAAGAAAAAGCCACTCTTACACTGGAATAAGAATGTCTGTGTGGGGGGTTTATGCCAATGTAACTGTATGGTTTAATTGACTATACAGTAAAACTTTCCTGTGGAGGCAAGCCCTTAGTGAAATGAGTTTGTGATGTGGAAAATTGGGGACTAGGACTACTGATATTGCCTGCAATATTTTGAAAAAAATATCTTTAGAAACAATTGTCAATCATTATTTAAAATTCCATTTTGATACCATGTTTCTATTAATATTTGTTTCTTGAAAGTTAATATGTCCTTCCTGCAGTTCTCATCTGATTTCATCAATCTTATTGGCATACTAATCGCTTCCAAAGTAATTGATTGTGATGACTGAGAAGCATCAGGAGCAGATGACTCTTAATCAACAGAAATTCTGTTTAAATACAAAATAAAAATGGATGAAATTGAATTTTTTTTAAAGTGAAATTAGTGTTCATTGAATGTACTGAATTGACAGCCATGGAAAAGAAAGTCAGCTGCTTATCCATAGAACAAGCAACAGCAGTGTAATATGTCTCAGTCCTAGCTGATCTTAAAATAGCTGTCATTCAGAAACTGCAGAGCTGCACACTCTTCTTTGAACAAATCATTGTGAAGTATTTTATCTTGGTCCGTTTCTCCAGATACCCGCAACACCTTCCCTGTCTGTCCTGAAACTTGTAACACATCCAAAAATAAAACAAGTGAATTCCCATCTCACTGTTAAGTTCTGGGTCTTATCATTCCTTTCTAGTGTCACTTCAAAGCCACAAGGGTGTTAGGTATTACTTATAAAATATTTTGAAGATGGAAACATTCTTATATTATGAAACACGTGATATTTACGCAACTGTAATCAGTTGGAATAAAAGTGCAGGATTGTAGTAATTGTGCCTTTCAAACTTGCAGTTCCATATTTTTTCTAGATGCTTTGTCCATATATAAATCTATTAAATCCTGTATGGCTGTTATAAATTGGTATTGTGTTAGAAGGGTGCATTACCCATACATCTCCCTTCCTGCAGATCTAGAATTTGTATACAGCAAGTTGTCATCTTAATTTTTAATCCATTCCTCCATCTGTGCAAAAATTTAAACACAAACGTTTGTGAAAACAAAAATGCAAAGTGTTTTTTGTTTGATTGTTTTTATGTGTACGAGCAACACTGATATGCATATGGTCTGTCAGTGATTAGAGGAATGCAGTAGCTGTCCACAGACCTCGACTGTAATGATCCTTTCATTAGATCTTGAAGGAATAGTGAATTAATCACATTTAAGATGATCAAAATGAAGCCAAAGGAGAAAAAATATTTCAAATACAACCCCAGCAGTATTCTTCCAATTCTTCATTCTTCTTCTCCCTCCCCTGGTAATCATGTAACTGATTCTTGCAGTTGTCATTTATCATATACTTAGAGATGTATCATATTTCAGCATTAGTATTCCTCATGTCAGTGTCTTTCTCAATAATGGCACACTAGTTTAAATCATTGAAATATACACACTGTGAACATTCATACACTAATTCTTTTTTTCCTCATTGCTATAAGAAATAGGTCTCACCTGTCTGAGAATGTAACAATCATGGTGTTCTCTGCAATGATACATTTATAGGATAACAGGAATTTTATAAACAATGTTCAGTTTGTCAAACTTCTAAAACTAAAAGGTCATGTTTAGTCTTTTCTGCTAATTCAGTCGGGTATCTAATTGTCATTTGGACTCCCTAGAATGTGAATGTTCTTGGCCTACATCCCAGGTGTATAACTGATCTGCCAATTGCAAGGTTTTGTGGTTTTTTTGTTTTTTTTTACAAGAAAACTAACCATTTCAGAACTCTTGATTCTTACACTGGAATCAAATGAGACACGGTTATCTTCTTGGACACTTTACAGTGCATCTAGGCTCTTCACTTTTGAACCTTGTCATCCTCAACACACATACACACCCCTTTCCGCTACAGATGATGCCACCTGTGTCTAATCTGTTTTGGTTTGAAGGGAATCTATGCAATCTTACAGGCTATGGGTGAAGTGACTTTTTCTCGAGGATTGCAAGGTGACATTTGTTATAAAACAAGAGGGGATGCTCAGTGCATGAATGTTTGGTTTTCAGTTTGCTTTTAGGTCCATTTCTATAATGTCTTTGTCATATGGACCAAAAATCAACCTTTTTTAAAAAAATTCATTAGTACACACACAAACGTAAGTCTTCCAACTAAAGCAGCGATACCAAAAGTGGCCTACCGAGAACTCTTAGAACTCAGGAATATCATAGAATGCTGTAAAGCATATTCTGTAGTATCTATGTAGGTATTTGTACTGTGCTTATCACCATGGTGTTTGCATGCCTATGTTCTGTCCACTGCTGCTCTCTGCTGCTTTTCACTCCCACTGTTCCCCTCACTTCCCTTGTTGCTAACTTTTTTGAAATCTATCAAAATGTTAGAAATTATTTTGAAATAATTATTTAAGTTTTGGTGAAAAATCATTTTGGATTTTTTCTATGTATAATTGCTTGTATGTGTGTGTATTACATCTATGCATATATTTAAAAAAATATTTTTACAAAGTAAGGCCTCAATCCAGAAAAGATTTTGACACATGCTTAACCCTACACACTGTGAGTGGTCTCATTGACTTCAATGGTCATGTCGGATCAGAGGCCCAAGTGAGCTATGTAAGCAGCAACACATTTTAGGATTCATACTAAAGAAATATCTTCCCTTACGCTGGAATAATTCTGCGTTCCCCCCTCATGCTTCATAAGGCAATCAAGATATACTGTTGTCTGTCATCTTTTTGTGGCTGCCTAAATACAGAAACCATGCACTTAGATCCATGCACTTGTTTCACTTACTCCACTTAGATCATCCTATCACTTGACATTGCTTAGATTGCTTGTGGGACTTTTTTTTTTTTCTCTTCCCAAAATAACTTATTTGGCAAGGCAGATGCAGTTGTTTCAATTAAACTTAAAAGTGGGGCTCTGTGTAGGCACAGATGACACCCACACATAGCTCTGTGTTGTTGACACTGACAGAATGTCATGCTGTGCTTCTCAATAGCTGCACTCAACTTTTCAAGCATTTTTTGGTGAAAATTTAAAGAACATCTGCTTATTTTACAAAAACCCATCAAAAGGCTTGGGAGAAGGCAGCGAATGGGTTTGTGGAAATATGAGCTAACCAGCAAAGTAGGAGCTACCTGAAATGCACCTACATCTCAAGGGCCTCTTCAGCTCAGCAGTTTGTCTATTTTAATATATTTCTCAATAAACCATAGTCGATATCTGTTGTCCCTAAGATGTGTTAATACCCAACTCATCTTTCGCATTTCCTTTTATAGCCAAAAGGAGGAATACTGGCATGGATTTTTGACTCGAAAGCTCATGCTCAAATAAATTGGTTAGTCTCTAAGGTGCCACAAGTACTCCTTTTCTTTTTGCAAATACAGACTAACACGGCTGTTCCTCTGAAATTCATAATAATGCCAACCCTCATCCATTTCTTCTAGGTTCATGCTTACATTATCGGCCATCTAAAGAAGGAAATGCCATCTGTATTTGGAAAAGAGAACAAGAAGAAGGAGCTGATCAGCAGGTTACCTGAAATTTATATCCAACTGCAACGAGAGCACCATATCTCGCCGGGAGACTTCCCAGAGGTCAAGAAAATGCAGGTACATTAACTCAAACTAAAGTGCAGTTGTACTCTGACTATTAACCAGTGACTTCTGACAAGCCTGGCAAATGTAGGAACACGACAGTGTCTCCCATAATGCTCTCAACAGTTTGGGTTCTGCCAGCAGTGGCAAGAAAGTGTCAGAAATTGATAATGATTGAAAACTGACTGTTGTGTCTCTCACTAGATTAGCATGAGTTAGGATCACAATAATGAAACCAATGGATTAATTCCTCTGAAAAAAAGTATCCTAAACTCATAATAACATAGAAATCAAACCAGTATTTCATCTAGTTCAGTATCTTGTCCCTGTAGACAATTATGGAATAAACTAGTGGTTGGTTTGTTCCCTGAAATTAAGGGTTTAGATCCATTATTTTAAAAAATCCTATTAAATGTAACTGTGGATGTTCATTATCCATATACATGTCTGATCCTTCTTTTTTTTAATCCTACTGTGCTGTTGGTCTCAATGGTTTCTTATGGCAATGAGTTCTACAAGTTAATTATGCATTGCATAAAAAACAAATTAAACAACCTTCTATCACTTTTAAACTTACTGCCTTTCAGTTTTATAGACTGTCCCCTTTCTCTTATGTTATGTTAACATGTAAATATGAGTGTCTAATTTACCTTCTTTGTACTGGTCAGTATTTGTACAACTCGTGTCTCTTCTTGTCTGCTATTTCATCTAAACAGTCCCATTCATTTCAGTCCCTACTCATATCTTTTCATGTCCTCTAATCATTTTCACCATTTTTCTCTGAGATCTCTTCAATTTCTGCTATATCTGTGTTCGAGATAGGGTGACCAGAAGTGAGCATGGTATTCCAAATGAAGGTGGACCATTGATGTATGTAATGGCAGCATAATATTTTCAGAATGGCTTTCTATCCTATCCTTTATACACCCTAACATTTTTGTTTGCTTTTTTTTTTTTTTTTTTTTTGATCACTACTATGTATTGAGCAGAGATTTTTATTGAGCTGTCCACAGTGATGTTCAGGTTTCTTTCCTGAGTGGCTGCAGTTAATTTAGAAACCAGTAAGTTGTATGAGCAGTAAAACAAGGAAAACTCAAGACATAGTTCAGGAGTTGGACACTATAGGAATAATTAATCAGGAGGGAGGGGTGACTGCTTGAAAAGGTAGACTTTAAGGAAGGATTTATATAAAGAAAAGCAGAAGAGTACAATCTCCTTTTTGCTAGGCAATCATTGATCATGGAGTTCGAAAACAGGCAAATAACAAAGTAGAACACTTGAGACTGGCTTGTTACTAAAACGAATTCTTCAGTGGGACTTAGTGTTTGAAAAATGACTGGTGTATTTTCCTAAGTCTCAGCAGCAGATGGCAGCAAAGTCCTGACAAGCGATTTCTCACACACACGTTCATGCTAGGGAAAGAACAGTGTGGCTAGCTGACTGATTTCAGAGTAACAGCCGTATTAGTCTGTATTCGCAAAAAGAAAAGGAGTACTTGTGGCACCTTAGAGACTAACCATGCATCCGACGAAGTGAGCTGTAACTCACGAAAGCTTATGCTCAAATAAATTGGTTAGTCTCTAAGGTGCCACGAGTACTCCTTTTCTTCTAGCTGACTGAGTTGATCTTTGCTTCCTGAAACTAAACTCATCAGTACAGACTTTGTAGCAGGTAATAGTGAATGAATTCCAGCCAAATAGATTGATTTAAAGGAAACCGATAGTCTTTTGGTCTTGCCAGCTTGCAAGTGTATAATTAATTTTGTGTGCACACATGTTTTAAGAAATGTGAGTCAGCACCACTAGATTCCAGAGTTGTATGGAGCAGGGAAGCCGTGAGTTAGCCATGATTTGTCAAAGCAATTTATCAGCGTTTAACAGGTGGCTGAGGTTGCCGGGAGGGGAGAGGGGAAGGGGAAAGTTATAGTAGAAAACTACTGTTCGTAGGTTGAAATCTCGACTCCTAGATTGAAATCTTGGCCCTACTGAAGTAAATGGGAGCTTTGACATTGCCTTGAATGGGACCAGGATTTCACCCCTATTCATCCCAAGTGCATGACATGGAACAAATTGTGTACCTCCTTCAGCAAGTGTCCCCAAGACACTTCAAATGTTAAGTCAGTTACCAAGATCTTGCCACAGCAAGATGGGCACTATTTTAAAATCCAACTTTTCTTCTTTTAATAGGTCAGCCCTCTTTTTGGTACCAGATATGTTTAAATGAGTACCAATAGAACAGGTATACTTCTGGTACTAAGAGACTGTAAAGACATGGACCTAAATCTAAACTGTTATTCACTAATTTTAAATCAACAAATAGATAACAAATCTAACTATTTACGTGAATATTTACGAGAAACTACATGAATAGCACCAGCTGATACCATGACAAACAGGAGGCACAGATTTCTGGCCTCTTTGCTTCAGCAACTTGAAGGAAATAAAGTTATTAAGGGCTACAGCTGGTTATAGTACCTTGGATCTGAACTTTCAGTACCATGACATACAGCTTTTTAGAAGGTTCTGATTGCAGTGCATAGAACATATGCACATCCAGGTGTGGGGTATCTATGCTGACATTACTCAAAGTACTAACACTTTTCATGTAGGATTTCTCTTATTCGTGTATTGCGTTTATTAGCAAAATTTGATTACTAAGCTGACATTTTAAATTCAGCTTTACTGTGCAAGAAACTTAGCTCCTAAATGCTATCACTTGTTGGATATGTTTGTTGTGACAGAGCATAATGTGTGAGTGCATAGTACTGCCGTGTTCTGTTAGCAACAATTATCTTTACATAAAATCTTGCCCACTTTCTCTGTTCTGATGAGCAAGATCAAGTCTATTGGTTGAAATAGGTGTAGAAATAAAAACATAATGTAGCCATTTCTGGAGCTAAATATAACCATTATGTATATAAGTTAGACAGTTGGGGTCATAAAAGTTGCCGATGTATATTTCCTTGTATTTCTATGGAGTCTTCCTATCCTGCCCTGCTAAAAAACAGAGGTTGGCAAACTAGATGTCACTTTTGCTACCAATAATACCCAGGGGCTATTCCTTTTAGGGAACTGAGACTTTGACTTGACACTTGTCACTAGATCAGTGAGGACAAGCTGTTCCTAGCTGGCCTTGTTGCCAAATGCCCTCAGGAATCTTTGCTCTTTGCCATTTTCATTTTCACTTGCGTGTTTGTGCTAAGCATTTGAAATGACAGCTAATTAGATAGCAACATTTCATAGCAGCCTGAAATATTTTAATAGCTTTATCTCCGCCATAAATGTACATCAACAAGGGCCTGATCTCTCATACCTTACGTGGGCAGGACTCCCACTGAAATCAGTGGGAGTTATAGCTGAGTAGGAAGGCCCAGGTAGGACCGTATTAAAACATTAGTATTGCTGGTATGGGAATAAGGAGATTGTTATTATTGTACATGGTAGTGTCCAATAAGTATCTATTACATTACCTAAAACCTGTTTTAACATTAAAGATATGACAAAAAACAGGGAAGTTCAGTGAACTTAAGTATGACATTTAGTCCTTAACTTGCCTGATAAAAAAAGATTATGAAATTGTAAATGAAATCAGTTATTTGAGTTGTAGAAGTTGGGGCAGGGGGGGAAATTGACTCTAGCTTGAGGGAGGTTCTGCTTATAACTGAAAAAAGTGCTACAGAACATCTTTAAGTTACTCTTAAGAGACATGGGCCTAAATAAAATTTGTTATGCACAGTGAATTTGTACTCCCAGGTTACGCTTCCCCTTCATTCCCTTAGCCACTGACAAAAAGGTTTGTTACAAAATTGAGCCCTGATGCTGCAAATATTTTGACTCATGTTTTTAACTTTCAGAGGATTCTTAAGTGTTTGCAAGGTTGGGGCCTTACTGGTGAACCTCACTCTCTTCCTGTGATGTAATTCCTTATTGATTTTCATATCTAAATATTTTCTTATGAGGAATACTATTAAATGGAAAACTTTGTCAGTTAACATTATATATCAACTGACAATTTTTTGTAAAGTATTTGTTTCTTGAGAAAAATGTTGTAAACCTATTTTATTAGGGAAGGATATATAACGGATTCATTGGAAAATTATGCTTAGACTTTTGAATTTAAGGTTGATCAGTGTATGAGGGTATACATATAAAATATGAACTTTTGTTTCTCTTTCAAGTGGGTTTAGTTTTGAGTTTCTGCAGTGGGAACTGTTTCAAATGAGACCTCTGCAGACAGACATCTCATTTGAAGGAGTTCCTTCAACAGAATCTGCTCTAAAAGTTTTCATCAATGAAACCTTTGCAAATGTTTTGTTTAATCATTGGTATGTGTGTTTTGTTATTGACAGGAACAGCTGGAGAACTATGACTTCTCTAAATTTCATTCTCTGAAACCAAAGCTGATTGAAGCTGTGGATAACATGTTGGCCAATAAAATCGCCCCTCTGATGAGCCTGATAAGCCAGGAAGAAATCAACATGCCTACACAGATGGTGCATGGTGGAGCCTTTGATGGCACCATGACAGGGCCCTTTGACCAAGGATATGGGGAAGGTGCCAGGGAAGGAGCTGATGAGGAGGAATGGGTTATTGCCAAAGATAAACCTGTATATGATGAGATCTTCTACACTCTGTCACCAATCAACGGCAAAATCTCTGGGGTCAACGCAAAGAAGGAAATGGTGAACTCCAAACTGCCGAACAGTGTTTTGGGGAAAATCTGGAAACTTGCAGATTGTGATAATGACGGCATGTTGGACGAGGAGGAGTTTGCACTGGCAAAACATCTTATCAAGATTAAACTGGATGGGTATGAACTGCCCAGCATCCTACCACTTCATCTGGTGCCACCATCACACAGGAAACCTTTGCAGGTGTCAGAGTGAAAAACACAGGGAGGAGATTAAGTGAGGGATGGAGGGAATTGAAAGCACTCTGAATCTTTTTACAGATGAGTTGAACCATCAAGGCTTAACATTAGGTTTAGAGGCAATCTTTAAATCACGTATCAGATTTCACACAAGTTACTGGAACCAGCAGCATAGTACAGAGGTTACTTGTGTAATAGCTCTGGCTGACCTTCACTGAGACAGGTTTATCACAAGTGCCTTTTGTAACTACTTCCACACCTTACATTGCTAAGATAGCAAAGCTTTCTCTGAGAATCACGCTGTCCATGTCTCACTGTATTTACAACCAAAAAGCCGAAACGAGGTAGACCACACCTACAATCATATACTAAACATGAATACCTAGAAAACACAAAGCTCCCCAGACTGTTTAGCAAGTGGAGGGAAACGCTAAAGCTCAAACTCACCTGTTTCTAGAAGGCATAGATTTGTTTAATAAAGATACTTTAGGTGCCTTTGTGTAAGTCCGTATCCCTAGCTTTAGAAAAGGAAGAAATACAAAGGAGTTTGCCTTCATGTATTGCTGTTGATTTTAATAATAATAACTTGTGAGAAGGAAGGGGGACATGGGTAGAACTTTTTGTAAGAATGTTCAGGACATGAGCAGAAAGAAAAGAATTTTTACCAGAGATTATTTTTTAAAATCTGCAATATATTAAAACTGTTTAAATCTGTCAACTGTGCATTGTGGTAAACAGAAGAGATGCTTCCTTTTGCTTTGTGCATAAAATAATGTGCAACTGACTCATCAGCTAAAAAAAGATTTGGATCCCCACTGTGTTGGGGGTGGGAATTTCGAGATTTCTGTTTAGCTGCTTTGCACATTGTTTGGTGTAAATTCCTGAACTTTTCCAGTTATAGCACTGTTTGGTCCTGGTTCTTGGAAGCAAGGGAATTCACATGTTTAAGCAGAAACAGAAGCCTTGTTTTAAATCATGAGGGAAGGCTGTGTTGTATTAAACTTCTTTTCAAGATACACCAGACCCTCACTAGAATGCGGGATTTGGGATCCATGCGCGGTACCGTGTTAACACGGGGACTGCGTTAAAATGAATTGCAATTAAAGTAATTAAATTTGGGATCCATGGCCGTGACCGTATTATATGCAAATTTGCACTATATAGACGCACATTCTAGCAAGGGTCTGGTGTATTCAGTGTGCATGTTCAGGTGGCTTGATAAATTCTCTTAGGATTTACACTCAAGGTTTACAACCAATTATATGGATATCTTTATGTCCAAGTATTCTTTTTAGTTTCTTTTATTTCAGCAGAATTTTGAATTCTTTCCTTTGTTAAAGGGAAGCTGGCAAATGTAGAAAAAATTGTTCCACTCCTACTGTAGCATCATTTTCAGAAGGTAGGCCACTAAAGGGCCAAGCCAGCTTCCACTGAAGTTAACAGGAGTCTTTCCACTGACTTTCACAAAAGCTGGAATTGGTCCCTTAGAGTAGTGCTTCTCAAGCTATCTGATGTGAGGGACCGGCAATTTTTTTTTCCAATGTGCGCACAGATCGGCAACCGATGGCTTGCGGAGTCTGCGGACCACCACTTTGAGTAGCACTGCCTTAGAGCATTGTTAATTTATTAAATAAATATTTGGGAGGGAAAGAAGTGCACCAACACTTCACTTCACTTCACCATCCTTCCCAATTGTACAATCAAAGAATATTGATCATGTGAGATACACACAACTGATTCGAACATCCCTGTTCTCAGTTCTCCAGAGGAAAGTGATTCTCCATCCCCATTAATTTTAATATGCTTTTTCTTTTTGCACGGGGAGTGGGGGATAGAACAACAATTCCTTCCAAACTTGGCAGTTAGTTTAGTTTATGTGCATGTGAGTGGGAATCACCTTATAATACATATATAGCATAAAAGACTATAGGTATCAAAAGTACTGTAATTTTGAGCACTTTTTCCCCTTGAATCCAAGAAAGGTAGATTCTGGAAGTACCTTCTGGGACAGACCAATCCAAAGAGTGATTGACTAACCTATTGGGTGAGGAAGGGAGAATTTCCTGAGAGTAACTAAGTAGGCAGATTCATTTATTCATGTCTGAATAGCAATGACATTATAGCAGAATTTTCAGAAGCCTTTACAGTTCATTGCTAACTTTGAGCACTCAGCATATACCTTCCAGTGATGTGTTGTACAGCCTCCCTCCATCTCCTCACCGGTTCCCTATTTCCTGAGTGTAGTTGGTTGAAATTTATAATTTTCAGGAATGTCCGTGTTAAGTACTTAAATGCTCTAAGAAGATCCTCCCCTACATAGCTTTTTTTCTCAAGCTTGTATACATTCAAGCTCTTCAACTTAGCCACTTACTTCAGTTCTTTCAATACTTTTGATCAATCTAGTAGCTCTTCCATATGCCTTCTACAGAATTCATGCATCCCTGAGCAGTCAGACCAAATCTTAGACATGGGTCCTTGATTGAAACTTCACCATGAGTTTGTATTGCACAACAGTACACCCTCCATTGGATTGTTTTTAATCATTTAATGTAGCTTAGTGTTATTCTTTGCTGCAGTTTAACAATATATTCCCGTCTTTACTACACTAACATGTAATATGAAGTCTAAAGACATACACAATATTAAAAAACACAGCAAATGGAAGCAAAAATTTTAATCCATCTTTATGCATATCTCTAGCTTACAGCTATAGTAAGGTCTTATGGTATATATGCCAATAAATAGTTATCCATTCCTATATCTGTGTGCTAATTGTAAATATTCCATTAGAAGGTTCTTTCTTAAGTTGATTTAGGAACCGCTAAGATATTTCAAAGAACTGATCTAATTTATTCACAAATGAATGAGATGCTTTTTGTAATCAACTGTTAGGTATATTACCTTCACTCAGTTTTATAAGTGAGAGAGGGCTGTCTGTCAACCATCTCTTCAGCAGCAACCACTTGACTGTTTGTTTGATACTGCTAGTATTTTTTGTTAAACAAACCAAACATCTCAAATCTCTTAGCACGTCTGTGTAAAACTGAAAAGTAGTACTTCAGGATCTCAGGTTAATTTATATGTTAAATCCATACACACTATTTCATTAGCCTGTGGTTATACCCAGAAATTACAACTGAGTACCTAATTCAAAGCAACTCTTCCAAAAGTAATTAGATACATGTTTGTTGATATTGAAATATTACTATTGGTTTTTTGGCTGGAGACAAACCCTCTTCTGGATCAGTTCAGCCATAAGGTTATTTGTTGTTGGTGCATAAGCTCTCATACATCCTTGCCCCAGAGTCCATCTGATGCCTTGGTCTTTGGAAAAGGAAGTTCATTCTTCTTGACTGTAGCAACAACAGTCTGAAAGCTCTCCAGTGAGCTTGTAAGATCTTATATAGGCATAGCGTGTTAGCAGAAATCTCTGCCAGAAGTCTCCAATCTGTATTCTGCCCATGTGCTGACTGTGCTTTCATCTGCCCCATTCTATGTTCTCTGAGGCTTTCACATTAACCCTAGCCAACCAGTGTGATCTGGAGTTCTGAAATATGCTTGCTGATATCTTAAATATAATACTGAATACACTACTCCAACTACAGTTATCACTAGGTTGTGGAGACGGGGTGGGAGAGGATGGGAATTTTCTCAGGATTGCCACGGTCATACACCATTAGCTCTTTAACCATTTTACCAAGACTGAATATCTTACGTGTGTCTCTGGTTCTCTGTATCACTTCCAGCTGCTTTGAAGGTCTGTGTAAAGTTGCATAAGTCCCTTCTATGATATTCAGTTTTTCAGACGACTTACATTTTTTCAGGGATCTTGGCGCGTCTTCCATCAAGTAGGTTTTTGTGTTTACCTGTACCCAAAGTCTCCAGTTGAAGATTCTCAGGTATTCTGCTTTGTTCATAATTCCCCTTTACCTTTTCTTTGCCGCTGACTCTTAATGCTTTGAAAAAAAAATTTCTCCAGTTTTCTTTTGATATTTTTGTGAGGATTGCTCAGGTTTCCAATTGAAATTACCTCTGTTCCTTTCCTCTTTTATACATGTTCTTCTGACCTGGTGTTAGGCCTGATGAATCCAGTGTGCCCTCTGCCTTGTCTCTCATGGTGTACATGAGAAACATATACTCATTTTTGTTGACAAACCCTGAGAACAAAAAGCTGTTCAAAACTGTTTATGTTGGCTATGCTAATTATCAGAAAAATTAAAGATTACTGGAGCATGTATGGGAAAATAACTCCATTGTCCTGCAGGGGGCAATGATTTCTGTTCCTTTTGACTTGTGTTTTATTCCCTGCTGCTTCTGTGTCACCAAGGCAACTTGTTGACTTCCTCAAAGCAACTGTATAAATGACCCTTTGCATTTCTGGGCCCTTTAATGCTACCCTGTTTTTGGCCTGAAACCTACTTTCTTAGCAAAGCTTCCTCTTTACTTATCCTTTTGAGGGAAACAGTTTATTTTTCTTTTCCTGTCTGCTTTTCCATGCTTGTTTCCTCTTTGAGCTGATCATAGCCTTACACACATTGTCTGAGTACTTCATGCTCACTCTCTCCTCTTTCACCTCATCTATGGCAGGACAGCATGTTTTTAGGGTTCCTCCAGTGTTTGGGGGACGTGAGATGGAAAACAAACCCTTCCCTTACTGAAGAGGAGCTTCACTTCTTCCTTTTATCTCAGTCGCCTGCATGTGGGAGGCAGGCACTTCTGATACTGTCATGTTACAGGTTTCAGAGTAACTGTCCGGGACAGTGGGGTGGGAGGAGGTATTGTTTCATATTCTCTGTGTATATATAAAGTCTGCTGCAGTTTCCACGGTATGCATCCGATGAAGTGAGCTGTAGCTCACGAAAGCTCATGCTCAAATAAATTGGTTAGTCTCTAAGGTGCCACAAGTACTCCTTTTCTTTTTGTCATGTTACATGGGCTGCAGTCAGGGGAACGGAGCATAAAGAGGCGTGTTTGGTAGCAAGAGAGAGAATTGCCTTCTATTAATGATGTGATTTGCACTACTTCCAGGTTTAATGGGGTTCTCAGTAGTAAAGTCCCTTCTAGCACAAAGTCAATGGGAGTTTTGCCTGAGAATGGACTGCAGGATTTGGTCCATGGGTGTTTTCATGAACAGAGTTGTAGATTGTACATTCCTTTTTAGGTAAGAAGGATACCAAAGAGCAAGGGAAATGGATACAATAATATCTTTCTTAAAATCTGCTGGTCCAGACTGTTTTCAACTTAAACTAATGCATTCTCCAATCCTACATGTGAAGTTGTGCTTTGAGAAGGAACTACCTGAGCGTTACCAGGATTCTGCTCTGTGTGAAATCGATGGAGCCATTTTAGACTGTGACAGAATGGTGACGCTACTTTACCCAGACAGGCTTTCAGGCCCTTGTATCAAGGGTACCCTGCTCTAGTTAATTATTCTTGAACACTCAATCTGTTTTTCATTACTATTCCTTCCTTAATACAGTTTAGTCACCTCCCCATCCCCAAAACTCCAAATCAGTTAAGGGCAAAATTCAGTCCTTATGCATCTCCATTAACTTCAGTGGGGTTGTGCCCATTTATGTCAGGGCTGAATCTAGCCCCGGGTCTGTACAAATACCTTGTTATGTTTAATAGTGACACTGATCTTCTGTGTATTTATACTTGCTACTGTATTTTCCACTCCATGCATCTGATGAACTGGGTTCTAGCCCACAAAAGCTTATTCTTTAAATAAATTCATTAGTCTCTAAGGTGCCTCAAGGACTCCCCGTTGTTTTTGTGGATCCTCTATGTAATTTATGCGGCAGGTTATAAAATCACTTTATTTTTATGATAGAATATTGTTTTGTTTAATAGAAATTGAGACTTTAGAAGCAGTTGTACTGGTGTGAATGTGTTACATTTGTATTATCTCTGCAATCGGGCAACTGCACATCCTAGCACCTTCCCTGAGTATCTTGGCTACGGAGATTCACTGGGGGAAAATGGGAAGAATCTTTTACTGCAGTCTACTGCAGCGTAGAAGGAAAACAGGATCTGAATAGCTGCTGATCCTCCAGCCCTACACCTGCCTTACCGCTGACCTTTCTGTGTACAGATACATAGTGGACCTGGGCTGCAAATCACCACTGTGTGTAGCCTCCAAATCTCAACTCCCTGTGACACAATGGAACCGTAATTGTTCCACTGCTTTGGGACCTTCCCTACCTGCTGAAGAGAAGAGCAGGATTGGTCCCTCAGTGACTTGCTGTCATTCATTTTCTCTTTCTAGTTTTGTTAGTGAAAAGGTGGTGACACAGCCTTCTTTCCACTCCTCTGTGTGCAGGCTGCCGCTTCATGGCACTTTCAACATGGATAATGAATAGAGCCGGTCAAATTTTCAGATGAAACATGTTGATTTTGCCCAAATTTTATTTTGAAACAAAGCGCTTCATTTCGATAAGGTCAAAACATCTCATTTTAACTGTTCCATTTCAACTTTTTTATTTTTTTATTTTATGTAATTTTTAATAGAAAATAACTGCCAAAGCAATGCAGACAAAAGAACCAAGAATACCTGGACTTTGTTGTGAGATCAATACACTGCACTATCTGGGTCTAAAAAGTTACAGTCCAGCAACTTGTGAACCCATCAAAAGCGTCTCCCCGCCCTTCCACCTCACATATCCTTTGCCATTCTTTAAAAAGAATTATGACACTGGTCGGGAAGAGTGGAGAGAGGGGAAGGAGGATACAGGAGAGGGAATTTTGACAACAAGAAATGTGGCTCCTCCGCTTCAATGTTCTTTGTCATTACTAGAGAACTGAGTGAAATTTCGAGTTTCTATTTCATGGCAAATGCTGCAATTTTGAAATTTGCTTTTCTTCCAAATTAAGAATTTCCTGCAGAAAAGAATATTTAAAAAAAAATTATTTTGACCATATAATTTCAAGAAAGTCAACATTTTTTTCATTTCAGTGAGGTAAAAAATGTTGACAAGTCCTAAATGAAATGTATTTTCTGATTAGTTGCTGGGAACTACGTTACATCATCACCACCACCACCACTCAGTTTGACATTATTATTATTGTGCTCAGGAAAGACCCAGGACTGGGTTCTTGTCTATACTAGAAAGAGTTTGCCAGGCCTCACCCCATATGCCCAGAACCCCCCTAACATGCCATACCCGAACCCCACCCACTGAACCTCAACCCCTGCATCTGGAGCCCCCCTGCACAAAGACCCCCTGCCTCCGGACCCCCACTCCTGCACCCCAGACCACCCTCCACTGAGCTCCCTGCATTCAAATCCCCACCCCCCTGCATCACCAGACACCCACATCCAGACCCCCACCCTACCAAACCCCACTCCCCCAGCACCCAGACTCCCCCATTGAGCCCCAACCACCTTCACTTGGAAGCCCTTGCAGAGTCCCATTGCCCCTGCACCTGGAACCCCCCCAACGAGCCCCTTCTGTGCATCCAGATCCCCCCACACCTAGACCCCCACCCCCCACTGAGCTGCCTGCACCCAGATTGTCCCAAACAGAACCCTTTCATCCCGCACCTGGATCCCCTCACACTTGGATCCTGCCTGGTTGGGCCTGGCTGCCTCATACCTGGAAGGGCCTTATATGTCCACACCCAGTGTACAACATGTGTCTTTGGTGCAAGGTATGGAAACTTATACGGAACCTGCTCTTCATATGCCTGTCTCAAGATAGCGATATTATTAGTCCCTCACTTTCATCAACTTGCCTACAACACTTAAAAATGCGTATCTTTTCTAACAATGTGCTGTTTCTACAGTTTGATAGTTTGTCATTTTAATTCAGTCAAAGAGTTTAGGATATATTTTCTGTTTTGTGTGTGTAACTTCCTGAGCACTGAGAACATGCCACTTTGCATTTTCTATTTTACACAATCACCTGTCCTTGTGCCATTGTTAAATATTTAAAGTTCATGCCAAAGGTATTGTCTCTCATTTTTAAGGAAATGTTTAATAACAAATTTGAATATGCTTTGTATCCCTTTCAAGGGGTTGTGATAACACTTGCTGATTAATAAACTGTTAAACTACCTACTGCTTTTGGGTTTGTAAAAGTGTTTCTGAGAGGAAAAACAATTAGAAGAGGAAGTTTGGTCTAGTCATTTAGATAATTACCTCCTAATTACTACTTCCTTCTGTGCTACGGAGTACTCTAGTCTATTTCTCAGGAGTCGCAGCACTACTCTTACCTAGCCATGTTACCATGGGCAAGCCACTTAATCTCTGTGCCTCAGTTTACTTCTCTGTAAACGGGTCACAATGCTTGCCTTACAGGTGCTGTGAAATAATCAGTATGGCCCTAGAATTCGCTGCAGAATCCAGTGCCTACCCCAGAACTGTGCTCCAGGACCTGTTTTCATTTTTAAAAAATCCTTTTCTAGCTCTTGTGGTTGAAAATAACCTTCCAACTATGAACTGAGTATAAACCAATGTAATGATGTCTTTCTGTGTACACAAACAGGCTGAAACAACTTGCTTTGAAATGCTCTTTATTAATTTCCGTGGGAATGTTAATCTTGAAACCTAACATTAGTTTAAATGGCAATTTAGCAGAAAATATCCAGCTAATATGATTATTCCACAGTCCCAAATCATTTTCCACACCTTCCCAGGTGCCAAAGCATCCATTTCTCCAAACCATTTGCCAAAACCTCCAACTTGTTTCTTAACTTCGGGAATGTATGAAACCATTGTCAGTTAAAAACAACAAAAATTTCATTACATGATAATTAACACAGATGTTCCCTTGATTTTATTATTTATTTGGGTGAAAATAGTTTTTTTTTATTTACCTGAAGCTGCTCCAGAAATTCCAGTCTGAGTGCCACAGAAAAGAGGTATCCTTTTTGCGCAGTGAAGTCTAGGTTACTGAACAAACAAAAGGTTTTTTAGCATAGCAATAAGAGTTAACAAGTGTTGTCTCAAGCCACATTAGAGGTCAGTGCAGCTATTGTCTATATAGGATGGTACTTCATGACAAATCTGGAGCATAACCTTACAATACTGAGACATGAAGAATTTGCGGTGGTTTTGCACACATCTCATTACTTTGATCTCGCATAACCTCCACAGCAAAACAAAAAAGTATTACTAGGTTTATGTATAGAAATTTGTAGCCAAAATCTCTGGCCAGCAGAGCTGTGTGAATGATTATTTCCTATGGCAGGTGTTTAAAAAAATATAAAAAAGCCACTAGAAAAACATACTGGCAAAACAGGTTGAGTAAATTTGTATTTTTTTTCCAAGAAAAAAATTCCAATTAAAGAGGCAAGAAAAGAAAGAGAGGAAAAAAAAGTTACAGATGGGAGTCAAGGGGAATGTCCAAAGAGAAGAAAGCAGCAGAGCATAATAACAGGGCCAGCTGAGTATGAGGCTCAGGAGAATCTACTCTTATGCAATTAAATTTTATAGTTAGAACACATTGATAAAAGTTGAGAGTGTCTAAAACAGTAAATTCTTAAAAGAAATTCCTTCCAAGTGTGTAGTTCAAGAATGTTGAATGGACAAATTCAAATATATTTCTGTAAAATGGAGAATCCGTAATAGAATGCCTCTTTGATTTGCCTCCCTAGGAATATGAGGACACACATCCATGGGTGATCAATGCATGGAAAAATCACAAATACTTTTCTAGCAGTGTTGCTTCTTCTGCAGCAGGAAGGTAGAATTGTGCATTTCTGAGCCAGATATTGATATACTTGTTCCATAAGAAGATTTGATATTCTGGATAACAGCTTCAAGAAATCTGCAAGCATGGTGAAGACCCTGATAGTTTAATAGCAAATATTCTTCAGCTCTTCAATCATGGTAGGAACTGTATGTTCCATGGGGACTATTGGAAATGGATTTATTGTGGTTAAGAATTTAATTGAGTGGTGGGAGGGATAGCTCAGTGGTTTGGGCATTGGCCTGCTAAACCCAGGGTTGTGAGTTCAATCCTTAAGGGGGCCATTTAGGGATCTAGGGCAAAAAATAGGGATTGGTCCTGCTTTGAGCAGGGGGTTGGACTAGATGACCTCCTGAGGTCCCTTCCAACCCTGATATTCTATGATTCTACGATTAAAAGTAGAAAACTCACCACATGTGATGCTATCCTGATCACTTTGGGCTTATCCAGATCTTTCTTTCAATGGACACTACTTGTGCATGCTGTCTGCATTTTGTGCTATCCTTTCCTGTATAGTCAAAATCAAGGGAAAGAGACAGTTGCAGTCCTTTGTCTTACTAAATTATGCCAGTGCCTAGTTTGTCACCTGACTGTTTTCTACAGTTTGAAAATTGTCAGCTTGAACCAGCCCACCTTTCTCCCCCAGCTGAAACCGAGACTCCTTGGGCTGGTGCTGTGGTTGCCCTTGGGCTTGGTACTTCTCTTTCTGATCACCTGTGTCCCATTCACATGAGGTAATCGCAGAACATCCTGGAACAATTCAATTTCCAATCTTCCTGGAAATTGCACAGAAATAGTCCCATGAAAGGTGAATGAGTTTACCTTTATTTTTTAGCTTCAGCATTGGATTTGCCCTGCCTGCCGTCATGTTTATCATTTCTGCAGTCCAGTTAGAAATATCTCTATGGAGACATATCAGGCAGATGCAGTAGTGTTCATCCAGTTTCAGCAGTGCAAATAGAGAGGCCCATGTAGGTGCCGTTTAAAGCTCTGCTCTTGTTTTTCTTCCTTCATGTGTTGACTTTTATAGCTTTTATTCTCTTTTCATATATGTTGAAGGTCATGAGCCCTTGGAGATGGCTTTGTGCAATAGTGGTATGTACCTCTCCTTTTGTACATTCTGGTATATTGATTCTGAGCAACCACAAAGTTTTGCAGGCATTGGTGAGGATATTCCATTCACCCATATTCCATATCCCGTTCACCAGCAGTAGTTTCAGATTATCCTATAACAACTCAAATCCTTCCTCCACCACCCCCCCACCCCCCAAATCTCTGCATTATTTACATGGAGAACTGATAGAGAGAACTAGATAGTGATTTTGGCATTGGATTCACCCCATCCTCCTCCATGTTTATTATTTCTGCAGTCCTCTTAATCCCATCTCTATGGAGACACAACAGGCAGATGCAACGGGTTTCATCCAGTTACAGCAATGCCAGTGCAGAAGCCTGGATCGGTGTCATTAAAGCTCTTCTCTCCTTCATCCTTTATGCTTTCAATGTTATTGCTTTGTTTCTTTTGCTGTCAAATATTTCCTCTTTGGAAGCCCCTTGTTCAGTAACTGTACAATCAGATTGTTGTCTATGCCTGTACAGAAAGCATCATCTTGACAGTGGTGTGGAAACCGCAGGTGGAGGTTTGTTTGAGATGAGATGGAGCATAAACTGAGGCAGAAGCAGGCCCCACTCCCTGCTACACAGATCCAGAATGTGAGCATTTTACAGTCCATGGAGGTTCATTATGGAAGATGTCATCTGGCCAGGGAGTCTGGGCCATGTGGGAGAATGGAGAAAAGAGGAACCAAACTATAACTTCTATGAGGCCCTGTGGCACCACAAGGAAGTTGCAGTTTAATATCAAACTAACTTGAAACTACATGTTTTGATTTGGTTCAACAAACAAAAATGCCTTGATGTGGAAATACAAATGTTTAGTGTTTTGATTGAAGATGTCAAAAATAAAACTTGGCAATTTCTGAATTGATATTTTTGTAATTCTGTTTAATGAAAGAAAATTTAATTTATTTTTCTGTTCCAATTCAGGAAGAAAGCAAATACCAGAATCTCCGATAGCATGGAAATCCCGATGGCCATCAACTTTAGTAAATACACTGGAAAAAAACAAGACTGCTTTTCCCTCTCTTTCAGTTTTAGTAATAATAAATAATTGCAATAATAGTGGGTAATATTCTCAGGTGTATGCTATTAAAGTTGATTGTGTCCAGAGCAGATGGTCATGAGGAGTTGGTGGAGTTATATCCCATCAATAATGAATACTCCAGTTGTCAGCTATGCTGTGACTTTAGTTTTGTGGCTGCTATACTGTAAAATGCAACACCATTTGCTGCCACCAGGAATCCTCGATACTAGATGTGTACCTGCCTTCCCTGGCAACACTCCAGACTCACAGTGGTGTAACAGTAGAATTTGGGCCACAAGGACTGATCGCCCCAACTTATTGAGGTCAGAGGCAAACCCTGATTTCTCTGCAATGGCAGAAGAATGGGGCTGACAGTCGCTCACAGGGGAGATTCTTTTTTAAAGGGTGAGCTGTACCTGAAATGAACAAAATGTAATTTCCTTTAACAATAAGTGCCATATCCCACACTTCACTTCATTAGTTCAAATGTGCTCCTCTGTGAATCACCTGAGGCCTCCCTCTCTCCAGATGTTGTTCAGGGGCTGACTGGTGAGTGTGTGTTTGTACAGTTCCTCTCATTGTGCTGACACATAAATATATGTTTAAAATGGCTTTATTATTATTGTATGTATTGTTATAAACATTGTTGCTCATTGTCATACCCGAGGATTTAAAAAAGCATAAATTGAGACATTCAAGATCTATAGAGAATTCGTCCCATGGTCCTCTACTGCCTATAGTGTTACCACTTAGCTAGAAGAGTAGGAACTTTGTTCCACATATTTAATCATTAGCTAATGATTAACTCACATGTTTTATGGAAGTGATTGTACACGTCATAGAAAATCCCTGCCTTTCTAAGAAGTTGATGTGTGTCTTACTCTGGAGGTTTCCTGAGCCTGTGGCACAGAACTAAAAAAATCCATTAAATTAAACTCAAGTGTCAAATCAAGTCCCCATAGAGAAAGGCATAGACATAAAGGTCCAGTTCACCCTTTGTCTGTCTTCAACTTGCTATTACTCCAGACAGTTAAGATTTACAAAGGGATCTCACTAAAGTGGGCAGCAAAAGGGTAGCTAGAATTCATTGTTGTTAAGTGCAAAGTAATGCACCATAGGTGCTGGAACTAGGGCGGGGGAGGGGTGCTATTGCATCCCCTGGCTTGAAGTGGTTTCCATCCTATACAGCATTTACAGTTTGATTCAATGGCTCTCAGCACCCCCGCTGTACAAAGTGTTCCAGCGCCCCTGTAATGCACATGGGGAAAAATAATCCCAAACTATACACACAAAGTGATGGGATCTAAATTAGCTGTTCGCACTCAAGAAAGTGATGTTGGAGTCACCATGGATAGTTCCCTGAAAACATCCATTCAGTGTGCAGCGGCAGTCAAAAAAGGTAACAATGTTAGGAACTATTAGGAAAGGGATAGGATAATAAAACAGAAAATATTGTAATGCCACTCTGTGAATCCATGGTACGACTACACCTTGAATACTGAATTCAGTTCTGGTTGCCTTATCTCAATAAAGTTATATTAGAATTGGAAAAGGTGCAGAGAAGGCCAACAAAAATGATTCGTGGTGTGGAAGAGCTTCCATATGAAGAGAGCTTCAAAAGACTGGGCCTGTTCAGCTTGGAAAAGAGACAATGAAGGGGTGATATGAGAGAAGCCCCTAAAATCATGACTGGTGTGGAGAAAATGAATAAGGAAGTATTATTTACCCCTTCACATAACACAAGAACTAGGGGTCACCCAATGAAATGAACAGGCAGAAGGTTTAAAACAAACAAAAGGAAGTACTTCACACAACACACAGTCAGCGGTTGGAACTCATTGCCATGGGATGCCATGAAGGCCAAAAGTATAGCGGGGTTCAAAAAAGAATTAGTAAGTTCGTGGAGGATAAGTCCCTCAATGGCTATTAGCCAAGTTAGTCAGAGATGCAACCCACAAGCTGGGTGTCCCTAAACTTCCGATTGCCTGAAGCTGGGACTGGATGACTAGGGATGGATCATGCAAAAGTCACCTGTTCTGTTCATACCCTTTGAAGCATCTCACAAAGCCACAATCAGAGACAGGATACCAGGCTAGATCACCCAGTATGGCTCTTCTTATATTAGTTTGACCTAGTATGTTCATTCTTATGTTCTTATGCTAATAGGAAGGACAGGTCTAGTGATTTCCTCAGCATGAGAAGACATCTCAAACCTACCAGGGAAGGATCGGTATTCCATTCCTGTCCTTTAGCAGCCTAGTCCTTGCATACAAGTACTAACTTCAAATCCCTGCTCACTTTCCAGCTGTGTGAGCCCGACTTCAGCCCAGTTAACATCTAGGACCAGTGTGCTTTGTGACACTGCAGCCCTGTCACTTGCAAGGCACTCCAGGGCTGTAAGCTTACTGACATTAGCTCACCTGGCTCTGTCAACTGGAAGTCTAGCAATGAGAGCTTCTTTACAGCAGAGCTTTGCCACCAGCAGCTGGCCTTCCAGCAGTGTGGGCTTCCCCACTGCAGTGCCTTGCTGATGACCGGTAGATATGCAGTAATGTGAACTTCGTCGCATCAATGCCTTGCTAATTTCAGCATGCATGACTCTGCCTTCACATTTGATTCCACCCACTTAAATGACTCTTGAACAGTTAGAACCTCTGCACTCCTTACTGAACTTACAATTTCAAATTCCGACTGAGATTTCAGAGATAACAGGCTTCGGCAGAGCCCACGTTCATCAGAGCTACCAAAGTATGGAGGGCGGTGATTTCTTTATCAGAACACTTGTGTTGTTGGCATTGCATCCCAAGGCACATCTTCGTATAGTATGTCAGCGTTGGAGCTGCCTCTTACCTTTCTGTAAGCATAACAATCACACCAAAGGAATTTGTGATAACCTTTGGCCCCCACCCCCTCTGCACTAACGGGTTGTTTCCTCCACAGTCAGATGAAGGGTTTGCCTGTGGATTATAAAATACCTTCCCTTTATTATGGCATCCAAAGGTCACTCTGAGTGCCCAGGAGGAACAGAATGCGGGAACAGCAGAGTTGGAGTTGAAAGTCAATCTCCAGAAAGACGGACTTCTGAACTTGAAAGGGGAATCTTTACAAACCTGGGTAAGTCCTGATTGTTAATATTCCTTGGTTTTCTTTCTCTGTGTGGAATAAATGAAGACGTGTGACTGAAGTCACGTTCTATTGTTAGTGGCCCCATTCTTCTAGGCCGATGCAGACAGAGCTCAGCCTAGAATATCTCTTAATGAGAAGGTTTACTTGTGCGTGAGAAAGAGGGTGTGTTACAATACAAACCTGATCAGTGTGCTCAACTTCACCAGAAAACCAACTCCTTTCATGGTTCTGTCCGTCTTAACAATCGTGAACACTTGTTCAGTAGTCAGTGAGATGGAGAGTGTGGCAGCAATATTAGCAAAAACGTCTTTTTCATCGTATGTGAACTCTCTTTAAGGCACTATATGATAGGAGTGAGAATATCTCAGTCTGACCCTTAGAAAAGAAGAGCCTTCAAAGGTGATCTCAAAAAAGGTTTGAAAATGATGAAAGAGCTTTAATATAATTCAGGGAGATCACTTTTAACTGGTAGAGGTTTCAAAAGTTGAAGGAGGTGGGGAGAAATATACTGTATGAAACATATAATAGGAAATTGAGGTGGAACTATTCCATATGGACTAAGTTACAGGGGAAGGCCAGGAATAAAGAGGTGTTCAGGAGACATCTGAAATTTTACTGAACTTGAGAACCCCTGTCCTACTGCAAGATCAACCCTTTCTGGGCCTTGAAATGGGGTCAAATTCCTGCGTGCATCTGTTTCTCCATTCTCCCACCTTTAGAGTGACCCTACATCCTGTTTTGGCCAGTACAGTCCCTTTTCTAAGCCTTGTCCTGGCTGTCACGACTTTTTTGGCAAATGTGGACATTTGTCCCGTTTCTCTTGCCAACCTGATCGGTTGGCAAGAGCAAACAGGACAAATGTCCACTTTTTGTCAAAAAAGTGGGGGTGCGGAGAAACACGCGGGGGCGAGGCAGGGCTTGTGTGAGGAGCAGGCAGTGCTTGGGTGAGCAGCAACACCAGTCCAGTGTGGGGAGGAGGGGCAGGGCTCAGGCCAGCCCCATGCAGGGACGGGGGCTTCAGTGAGCGGCTCGGGCCAGCCCCGCACAGTGTCCCATTTTCCCTTTGGGAAATATGCTCACCCTACCCACCCTGCATTCTAAGTCAGCAAAGTTATGTCTGGGACAGCTGAGACAATGGGAGGCTTGGTGATAATCATCAAGTGTTGGGATTAAAGACTGGCCAGGTGCGGAGAGTGGAGGGTGAGAGATGTCAGCCTCTCTGGGAACGTTCAGTTAACATCAGCCCCTGGGACGGTAGCGTTCATTGAAAGACCCTTCTTTGGTTATCCATTGTCCAGACAGACAAGATGTTCAGTGCTAGAGCTGGTCAAAAGAAGGGAAGAAGTTGCGATTTTCTTTTTAATTCTAAAATTTGCAAAATTCCAACTCTGTGTAACTTGCATGAAAATGTCATGGATTTATTCTCCTTTTTTTTTTATTTTGATAGTTCAGATTTCACTGTAGTCAGCGTTGTGGTAAAGCAGACAACAGATGGTGACAGAATAATAGGACCTTACTCCTGGGTGGCAGGAGCAACCCTGTGCTTTTAACCCCTTCCTCCCCCATCCCAGGGATAGCATGTGTCCTAAAACTGCTTCTAGTCTTATTCTCATTTGTTAGAGCCAAGGAAGAATAACGTGTAGGCAACTTTCCATGGGCTACTGCTGCTTGCATCCCAGCATTGTTCTAACCCTCCCAGGTGCCATTTTCCAACACTTGCCAGCTGACTTGTGGGTTTACAATGCTGCCAGTGTTCCACCCTTTGTAGGTAACTGCAGCCCAGAGCCAGGCCCAGACAGAGGGAAACCTAAAAGTTCTAAAGCACAACCCTTGCATCCATTTCCCCTGCGGTTCGTCAGTCTGGTATGTTCCAGTCCCTTCTCTCTTTTCAGCGATCCAATGCCAGCTGCCTCTTTGTAATTTCCTCTTCTGACTGCATGACACCAAGATTCCTCCTAGTTTCACAGCTAGGCTGTTCTTCCAGGTAATTAATCTTAATTTCTTCATATACTAAATTCTAAAGATAATACAGTTAGAAGTCTAAGCAAGTGAATTTCTGGTCACTAAAGGTTCTCAAACTTGCAGCTGTTATATTATTTGTTTTTTGTAAAACATCTCTCATCCTCATATAGGTGGCACAGTCAGGGGACTCCACTGGAAATGATGGGTGTACTGACAATGAAGGACTCATCAAAAGGAGGGGCCCACATATTTTTCATTCCCTCTCCAGACAGTCATCTGCCCCACCAAATAGACCATGGTCTGAAAGGCAGCAGCACTACCCCAGAATGTTCTGAAAGCAGGTGACTGAGAACTGAACCATAACACTGGAACAGGTTCTCAACCAACACATCAAAGGCTGGGTTGGCAGATCCCACTACTGCCTGGAGAGACTGAGGCTCAGTACTCCGTCGTCTGTTTTCAGGACACTCTAGGAAGGTGCTGCTGGCTTGCAGACCATGATACCCCTGATGGGGGTCAAGTGACTTAGAGAGAGAATGAAAAAGGATGATGTGATAGATGATTGGGCAGCTTGGTATAAATTCTCTGGGTTGTGTATGTGCTTGTGTAGTTTGTGTAGTGAAGGAGGGGCTGTGTTCAAGAAAGCAGAGCTTAAGGGTGAAGGGAGAGCAGAGAGCAAAGTAGGAGGAAGAGGAAGTGAATCCCTCAAGTTGATGTTTGTCTTCTTAGGCTACCATGGATAGAGAATATGTACAAGGTCACATCCAGAAGCTGCAAGAGCAGCGTATGTCCACACAGAAGAAAACCTTCACCAACTGGATAAACAATGTCTTCTACAAGAACAATGTAGGTAGTTCCTCCTCCTTTGGACTTATTTTTTTCATTCCCAATTTCACCTTCTGCTCAGCCTTTCTGCATTTACTGTTACTGAATGTATAATATAAGCAACAGAGACTCCTGTCAAGGAGGGTGACCCAATCAAGTATTTTTCACCATACCTACAAAACAATCCTTCTGATTTTCTTCAAGGTCTCGGTTCCTGGTCTCCCCTGAAATCAGGGTTCTGTCTTGTGGCATGAGTTGTCTTCCTTTAATCTCTTGACCTTTGTGTGAATTTTCCTATTTCGATTATCTTCTATGTGTGAGGTCCTGAGCTGCCTAGTTATTAGCCCCAGGGAGGAATTGCATCCTCCATGAAAAAATCTGTATGATCTAATCCCATTGATCTGGGGCTAGAATGGCTCATGCAGCCTCAGTGACTATGACTATGCAGTCTTAATATGAACTCATTTAAAGTGAAAGAAAGATAGGGATTGATCATCTGTGACATTCACTAAATTGTGGCTCTCTGCAAGGCTTCCAAATCTTTGGGGGAAATTGACCAGACTGTGACCTTAACGGCCAGTGCTTGCTGCCTCCCATTCAACTGTGCATACTGTAACCCACAGTGGAGTGGAGGTTGTTCCAAACTATGGTCTGTTCTTGCTACCATTGGAGCAGTTTAGGTTCCACTGTGAGTTAGACTAATGTGAGCACTATTGTCTGCGAGATGGGCAGTGATGACCCATCAAAGACAGACATCTTTAAGCTTTGGTGGCTTTAGGGCAGAGCAAAGGGGTTGATTAAATATTACTTAGTATGTGAGAACTATGAAACACAACCTGGTTCTGTTACCCAAACAAGAGTGGAAATCAAGGAGATATCAAAGCACCATCTAGTCATATGTATTATTTCAGTGAAGTCAAAGATACCTCAGAGTTCAAGAGCTGACTTCAATCTTAAACTTAAGCTGCTTGCACATCAAAAAAGTGGAGAGAGGGAGAGAACTTTCAAGCCATAGAAGGTACGAAGTTGCGTAGGGAGCTTATCCATGTCTTCTCAGGAATGTACTTTCAGTTTCTGGCCCCATGAGATGAAGGAGCTGAGCTTAGATCGCAAGCTACATTTCAGACACTGTCATATGCCTGGATTCCCTGCCGTCCCTGGTGAGCGTATTAAATGGTAGGACAAAAACACTGCTTTGCAAACTGAGCCCACTTCTGTTCGTTCTTCTCAAATTGTAATGTGGTCCCACTGTCAGTGTATTCAAAAGCATGGGTTTGGTAGCTGTATTCCAATTTGTATGGAAAAATGGAACATATATATACACACACAATTTTATTATTACTGCACGATGGTTCAAAGCACAGATCTATACAGAAAGGTTCATTACAAACTGTAATTTTAAAAAGATTTTGTCTTCATGAATAAAACTGGCACAAAACACAAGCGAGAGGCTTTTCCCTTCTTAAAACAGTCAGACATCACTGTCAGTACTTTAGAGCTATTTAATATAACACAACAGTTAAACAGGTAGAGACGGAAGATAGAAAAAGAAATAACTAGGAGAATGAAACAGGGTGCTCTCTGAGGGCCTGGAGGTAAGCAGTCAAGAGAACGTTGTCAACTACTTGTCCTACATAAAATGCCTACTTAAAATTGCTCTGAGCTGCTCCTGTACTTTCCTTTCTTGCTGATTCTGCTGCAAGAGGGCCTGCGGAACCCACAGATGATAGGGCAGGGTTTGATCTTTAAACTTGTTATTTGGTCCTATTTTCCTCACGCGTAACTCTACTCCTAATTCAAAAAGCTATTTCTTCATCTTAAAAGTATGGTCTTGTTTGTCTTGCGAAATTAGTAGTTCAAAATTGTAGTAAATTACCCTGGAAGGTGTGGTGTGGTCTAATAATGACCCACTCTAAGGGTTAATGACATGGAGGGCAAAAGATATTCCTCAGCCATGCTATAATTAGGATACAGTACACACACCACATCCCATATTGCTGAATCATTAGGTCACCTCCTTGGCAGCAGGGTAATATGCTTGTTGTGAGTGGATCTGAACACACGCGTGATTGAGCAAGTTACAACATAAGACTCTGGCTGGGACGTGGAGGTTCTGACTGTGAAGCTTTAGTTAAGGCCGGAACTAGTGTTCCGTTATAACCCTGAATTGGAATTCAGCCAAGAGATAGAGTGTAAAAGCTGCTGAGTCTTTAAAACTCAGGAGCTATCTATAGGAGGCTGGTATTAGCCAAGTCCCTTTTACTGCTCCCTTTTAGCTAGCTGTATTTTAATAAACCATTTCCCATCATGACTGAGCCCATTCTTGATCCCGCAGCAAAGTGATAGTCCTGTGCTCAGAATATTAGTCTGTTGCCACAAAAATGATTATGATGTCACCACGATGCATCCAATGAAGTGAGCTGTAGCTCACGAAAGCTTATGCTCAAATAAATTGGTTAGTCTCTAAGTACTCCTTTTCTTTTTGCGAATACAGACTAACACGGCTGTTACTCTGAAACCTGTCACTTTGACATTGTGACTCACTTCACTTGCAAGGTTAGATACAAAGTGAACTGTAAGGGATTAAGTCACAGATAGATTTGATTATTTGCAAATATGGCAATAAAAATTCTGAAAAAAGCGTGTCTTTTAGCCTGAGTGTGAATGTGCCTCTTTAAAGTCAACACAAAAATATCCCCTTTGTAGGGAAAGTACCTCTTGGCTCCATGTATTTTATAGGCCTACAAAACAGCTGAAGGCAGGGGGTTATATAAGCAGGAATTCAGAAAGCAAACAGAAATGGAGGGAGTGGAAGGGCTGAGGAGATGGCAAGACCACGCTGGGCCGAAACTTAATTATATGAATAGGAAGGTAATATGTCACCTCCACCCAGAGAAGCTCCCAAACAGGCATTCTCTCAGTAATCCATTTCTGATGCATAGAAGCCCATGACTGAATGGGTAAAGCAAACCAAGTGGTCTTCAGGTGAAATCCAGGAAGAAGCTGCAGGTCTTGCTTGACACTATGTGGAAGAAACTCTGGAAGTGGAGCTGGCCATTGACTGAATAAAGGAGAGCTGCTCATCATGCTCTTGGCTGAACAGAAGAGATGATAATCCAGTAGCAGAAGCACAAAGTACTGAAGTTGTTGAACAGCATAGAAAGTACTAAACCTTACTGTACAGCCCTGCCAGCCTGCCCTCATTCAGTGTGTAATTCCTGTGAACCTTGTAGCAGGTCTCCACACAAACAGAGGGGAAACTAGATCTCACAGAGCAGATTTTGTGACTTCAGCACCTAAATGTTCTTCACTCTGTGTTAAAAAAATCAAAATCTGTCAGCCAAGTGCAAGAGTCACGGGAACTAAGTTTCCATGTGGTGCATTTTGTCTTTGCAGGTGAACATTGTGATACAAGACGTCTACACGGACCTGAAGGATGGCATTTACCTTCTGCAACTCCTGGAGCTGCTCTCTGGAGAATCACTGCCTAGACCAAACTGGGGCAAGATGAGGGTACATTTTCTGGAGAACAATAGCAAAGCCATCACGTTCCTCAAATCCAAGGTGAGAAGTGGAAGCTGACACTAGTCTGAACAATTTACAAGCTAACTTCAAAATTAAATGGGTTTTGCTTGATTGCTTGTTTGTTTTTTTTCCCTATAGTACGTAACGAGGTGTTCCATGAAGATGGGAGATTTTTTACTTTGTCCCTTTTCCCCTCTTTACTTCAGATGCACAAACTTTACCTGGTTTCATATTAACCTTCTCTCACTAAGAGTTTCCTCCTCAAGAGAGAGAAGAGGGTGGTTCTGCTGCTGTCCCTGTACCTTCATTAGTTTGCTCTTAAGTCTCTGGCAGCTTGAGAAATTATCTACCATGGAACTTTCTGATATCAATGTTTTGTCTTGTTTCTAGTAAAAGGGACATCCCCCAAATCATTCTTGTGCCTTTTGTTTATTACAAAACAAAGATAATGTAACACACAGGCACAGTGGAATCCAAATAACCATGTTGACTAACTATATATTCAACATAGAAGGCCTAGCTACATATATACTCTGCTGCTCTGTCAGGGTTCTGGGTGGCTTCTGAAACACAGAAGACAGATCCAGTAAAGGGCTCACAAACTATTTAAAGGGATATGACCCTATTCCTCTATTGTATAGTTTTGCTTGCTGTTTGAATAACAGCCAAGAGGGAACATATTTCTCCACACATCATTTATTACACAAGTGCCCCCTCCAGAGCGGTAGACTCAGATTGTTTCATGCTGAAGGGAATTGCTTGTCTATTAGCAGGTGCAAGTAAAGGTGATTGGGCCTGAGAATATTGTAGATGGGGACCGAACCCTAATCCTGGGATTAATCTGGATCGTTATCCTCCGGTTCCAGATTTCTTCGATCACACTTGATAAGGTAAAACAAGGTCTTTTTTCTTCTGATTGTCAATAGGTGTTTCATAGATTTCATAGAGATTAAGGCCGGAAGGGACCATTACGATAATCTGTTCTGACCACTTAGATCACACAAACCATAAAATTTCACCCAGTGATTCTTGCATCTAGGCCAATAATGTGTGGCTGAATTAGGGTGTTCTTTAAAAAAAAAATCCAATCTAGATTTAAAAACGGCAAGCGATGGAGAATGTACCGCATCCCTTGCTTTGCTGGTCCAATGACTAATTACCCTCACTGTGAAAAATTTACTTATTTCCAGTTTTGCTAGTTCTTTTCTGATGTGCAGAAAAGTTTAATGTATCTAAGGCCACTGACATACTGGTCATCTGCCGACTGCATTCATGTGATGTTAGATTCAAACTCATTGTCCATCACCGCTAAAAGCACAGGGCTTGGCTGAGGCAGCTGGAGGAGCAGTGACACTCTCTCAGCCAGTACAAGGAATCATATCCACATGGCTATAGTGTTCAGCTAGTGTGTGTGTTTAACACTGCCCTCTACTGACTGGCTGACAGCAGATAAAGGAGCTTCACTGTTGACATCACTGGCTAAGTGCACACAGACCCCCCCAGGACATGCATCATCTGCCCAATGCCTTTAAATTCAAAACCACAGGCCCCCTACTACTCATTTTTATAGATTTTAAGTCCGTAAGGGACTATTAGCTCATCTAGTCTGACTTCCTGGGAGAAAATTCCTTCCTGATCCCAACTCTAGTGATCCGTTGTACCCTGAGCATGTGAGCAAGGCACACCAGAAAGAGGATTCTCTGTACCATCTTAGAGCATGGGTCCACACTATCTAGTGTCCTTTTTCCAGTCAAAGCAATTCTATTCAGAAGAAGGATCAAAGAATCATAAAATATAGGACTGGAAGGGACCTCAAGAAGTCACCTGAGGCAGGACCAAGTAAACCTAGACCATTACTGACAGATGTTTGTCCAAATAGTTCTTAAAAAGCTTATTGCAGAAGGTGAAAAAGAACTCAGAATAGATCTGACCAGTTGTGCACTGAAGAAAAAAATTCCTTCCTGAACCCTGCAGGTGGCTGAAGCCCTGAAGCCTGAGATCTATTTATAATTATTAACTTAATGCAGAGCTGCAAGTGTTATGAGCAGGTTGACAGCACTGCAGGCAGTCTTGTTCTCCCAAGAGACGATAAAAGAAGGGAATGAACAGGGAGACTCAGATTCATACTTAAGCTAAATCAGAATTTCCATTACTGATAGCAACATGAAACTTATGACTAGGACTGGTATAAAAAAAAAAGGAATTATTTACCGTAGAAAAATTAGAACCAAAGAGAAAATGTTTGTTTCATTTTAATTTTTTGCAGAATTTTCATTTTGCAGAATTTTAAAAAGAAAAATCATTTCAATTTGAATTGAATAGAATCAAAACAAAAATTTGGTTTTGTTTTTCTCCCTTTCTCTCCTTTCTTCCCTTCCCTTTTATCCTAGGGAAACCAAATGAAAACTGGAAATGTTTTGCTTTGATTCAAATTGAAACTTTTTTTATTGTTTTGAACTGATTCAGAACAGCATTTTTGTTTCAGATTGTTTAATTTAAAATGTGGACCATTTCAAATGATTATAAACATTTTAATGAAATTTTTGGTATAAATCAAGAAGCTATTTTTAATTTAAAACATTTTATTTTACAAACTTTGACCCTCCCTACTTATGAACTATTCAGCAATTCTGAATTCACCCAATAGATGCCAATGGTGCACATACACATCAACTTATTCATCGTAATATCAAAGGAAAAGTGAAGGAAAATTGCAACTCAGAGTGAGTTTATGGGGAAACCCCCTTCAGCTGTAATTCTAGAGAGATTGAGAGCTTCCTTAGCATTCCATATTCTCTTCTGCTCACACACAAAACTTGAGTTCCTCTTATACTTCCTTAGAGAGACTGGCACTAACATCAAGTAAAAAAACAATTTCCAGGGTGAAGTAGATATTGGGACTAGAATGCAGGTCTGCCTCCTTCTTGGGTAAGTTGCACTGTCAAGTTAGCTAAAGATATGGCTTCACTCATTTCAGCCCGCATACTCTCTCTTATACATTTATTACCCCAAAGATTCTTAAAGTACCTTCAATGACAGAGTGGGGACAGGAGAACATACCAGTTCATGACAGTCACCTAGCTTAAGGGAAAGCAGAATTAACTAAAAATTCTATAGAACACGTCTCCTTTATTCCATGTGAGGATTTGTCACCAAACTGTTGCTCTTTTCATACAAATGCTCTGAAGCCTTAACTTGCAGATTAACGAAGCTGCCCCCACCTCGACCCTTCCTCTCCTGGCAGTCCGCTCATGCCTCCACAGCCCCTGTTCCCCCACCAGAACCCTGTTGATTTAGGGGATGCTTAGGAGTAGCTTGTGGATGGCAAATGACTAAGCTGGGACAAAACACTGATTCCTTTGGGGGCTTCCCTACCCAACTTGCCTTCACTGTTTTCCAGCAGTGGGACTCCCCTCTAATGAAATACTGGAAGTCCATAGGGTGGAGGAGTCAGGGAAGTGTTAGTACCCAGGCGCTGTTTCTGAACTCATCCCTTCTTCCCACCTGTACCACTCTTCTCCTGGCAGCCCTCAGAACCCTACCTGGAGACCTTTCTCCTCCAAGTTCTCATATCCCCCATAGCCTCTGCCCCTTCCACTCCCCCATCTAGAGACTTGCTCACCCCACATCCCTATGGCCCCTGAAGCTGGAGATTTATTGGATCCCACACACACCTCACTCCCCTCTACAAGCCTTATGAAGCACATTTTGGGAGAAACATTTTTCCCCTGGTGGTTGGGCTACATTTTGATATCTCTCTCTCTCTCTCTCCAAGGAAAAGTGTTAGAGACTTTTTCAAAGTCTCCAGGAGTCACTTGTTGCATAAGATAAACTCACCAGAGCTGAGATTCCTTAGAGACATTACCAAATCAAAATCCAATAACCTTTAATATTAAACTTTAAAGACCTAAATTTTGGTGCAGGGCACCAGATCATGGCTAAAGAGACAAATAAACTAAGCTTTATGTCTCTCTTGTTTTCCATTAGCTTGTTACAAAGTGGACAAAGAAGACTTTCTGAACTCTGACCACCTATTTTTAGGGTGCATAATTTAGGGACCCCTTGTTCACCTCCAACTTGGTAAAAGCATTCGACCTAGCCTACCAATTTTAAGGCTGATATGAATTTTTGTGGATTTCAGAGGGGGACAAAATCAATTTTATAAAAGAAGTTGAGTTGCAGCTTTAGCTGTGGAGTGACTGCTGTTGTTATGAGGAGGAAGTTACTGCCATCCTGAAATTTCCTACCTTGCTCTCTTCCCAGGAGGAATTTGGAGTCCGTGCTGATGTACTGTCTGCCAATGAAGCCCTGCTGATCTGGTGTCAGCATAAGACTGCTAGTTACTCCAATGTGAGTGTGAAGGACTTCTCCAAAAGCTGGTCTGATGGCCTGGCTTTCAATGCCCTCATTCATGTTCACAGGTAAATAGGTGATGGTGGGAGGCTTCAAGAATAGCTGATGCCACTATGTCTGGCTCTATCATAGTGACTTCCAGGGTCTGAATTCTCTTTGACGGATGAGAAAATGGTTTTGTCTTCTCATTCAGAACTACCATTTCTTTAAGTGGGTGTTTTGCCTGAATAAGAATGGAAGAATCAGGTTCATGGAGTTTGATTCTTTCTCTTCCTGGAAACAAAAATGAATTTGCTAGCATATACTCTGCATTTAAACTTGTCTCTCTTTAATTTGCTCAGAAAACGAGTAGGAAATGCTAGAAAAGCATTAAATATGTCACTATCAAACAGTGATATAAAAGGACTGATGGCAGATCAAGAGCATGTTTTGTTCCACTGCTGTAATTAATTCCTAGTCATTCCTAAGCCTTAGAAGCACATCATCATCTCAGCCAGTGTATGTGTCCCCTGCAGGTGCAAAGTTTCCTCCGAGTGACTTCAAGAGTGTGATTTTTCTAGTTGTGCCATGCAGGATAATTGTGCTTCTCACTGATCCTGGCTGGCCATTGATAGGAATGAGTACCTGTGTCTCAAAACTTGGCTCCTGTGCAAAACATTTACATGAAGAAAAATACTAGAGAATTTGCTTTCTTTGATCTTCACCTTCCTCCTGGTTTCAATTGCACTTTCTGAAATGTTATTGAAAATGAGGTTTTCTGTGGTCTTCGCCAGCATTTAAACCTTTCAGTTCCGTGAGAGCTGTAGCTGGGAGCTGGAGACAGCAGGCTCTCCCTCTTTCCCTCTCTGCCCCTCTTGAGGGGAGGAGGAAGCAGCAGGGGACAGAAGAAAGAAGGGAGAGAGGGGACTGCCACCTTGGACAGTTCTTCTCCCATCAGATACCAGTGCTGCTCCATCTGTTGGCAGGAAGACTTAGAACCCCATAACTCCCCAGCCAGGGACAACATTCCCACTTTGGAATTTCCTACCTAGTGAGTCTTTGTTTCACCAACCAGGGACGACAAGAGGCAGGAGGAATGGGGAGTTTTGTGGTGAGCTGAGCTGAGTTCTGGAGTGGGAATTTTCCTTTGTCTGTCAGGCAAGGGAGGGCTAGTGAAGGGTCTATGCCAAAGCTCTACAGGAAAGCAGAGAGCTACTCAATGCTTTAAAAAGAAAAGGAGGACTTGTGGCACCTTAGAGACTAACCAATTTATTTGAGCATAAGCTTTCATGAGCTACAATGAAGTAAGCTGTAGCTCACGAAAGCTTATGCTCAAATAAATTGGTTAGTCTCTAAGGTGCCACAAGTCCTCCTTTTCTTTTTGCGGATAAAGACTAACACGGCTTCTACTTTGAAACCTGTCAATGCTTAAGGGATTATTGTTCTGTGTTCCTCATTCTACTAAAGTTCCTTGTTCAGTGTCAGAAATTTCCTCAGTTGCAACCTTTGTATATAAATCTGTGTGTATTTAAACGAAGCCAGGACTTTACAGTGGTCATTATGACATACACCATGGCCACATGGAACTTCATGGTGACAGCTGGGTAAAAAACAGATCCTGCTGCACCAAAAGCACAGCATGTGACCTCTAAAGCCAAAGGAAAATCTATGTTAACAGCTGTTACTGTACAGCCCATAACAAAGAGAGCAACGATATGCACCAGATACTACATTGCAGTATATATGTGTACATACAGCATGTCGTGTAGCTGTGTGTGGGAGGTGTAACCCTTCTTGATAGTAACTCATTTCTATTTTTTTAGTTTCTAAATCTAACCCTCCTCTCTTGTGTCCTTCATATGTTCCTCTCCTCATCCAGGCCTGATCTCATCCACTACAGCTCACTGAGGCATGAGCAGCCAATCAAGAACCTGAACAATGCCTTCAGCGTGGCAAAGAAGCACCTGGGAATCACTAAACTTCTGGATGCTGAGGATGTGGCAGTGCCTCACCCAGATGAGAGATCCATCATGACCTATGTGTCACTCTATTACCATTACTTTTCCAGGCTGAAGCAGGGCCAGACTGTCCAGAAAAGGCTTGCTAAGGTCAGTGCATTGCCACTTTTACAATTGCCTCCTACTTCTATCTCTACTGAGCCCCCACCCCAGTAGCATAAAGTTAAACCAGTTTGGGGAAAAAGCTTTAATTCAGATTAACTGCACAGTCCTGTTAACTCAAGCCATTTGTGCGACCATGCCAGAGACTTGATTCTGCAGGGCCTTGCACAGTCAGTCACTTGTAAATGGTACAACTGGTGTGAGTAGACAATTCTGATTTGGCAATGGTTTAGACACACTCTGGTGCTAGAACCTGGCCTTTCTAAAGGGATTTCGCCATACGGAAATTAGCTTCTTTATTCGGTCATATTTTGTATTTGATAACTAAGGTGCTTAGTAAGTAGTCAGGCACATGGAGAACTCATTTCATCTCTGCAGCAAAACAGTGATGCAGAAATTAGTGCTGGTCAAAAAAACTTCTGTCAAAACTTTCTGATAGGAAATAGCCTTTTTTCCTAAACAAAAATAAATCTGTAAAAATATCTATGAAATTATGTTTCAGTAGAAAATTTTCAGTTTATCCATGAAAAACTAAAACCTGAAAAAAATTGGTTTTCAGTTTAGTTTGTTTTTTTCCCCTTTTCTCTCCCCTTTTCCCTCTATTCCAGTGATGAGGGGACAAAAGTGAGGAAAAAAGGAGGGGAAAAAACCCATAAAACCAAAAAAATAAATAAATAAATGAAGACTCATACAAATAAGGTTTAGTATTTTCAAAAAAACAAAACGGTTTCAGTTCTTTATTAAAAAAATTAAACTAATACATTTTTAAAATTTCTCATGGAAAAAATGCTGGTATTTTTCACTGACTCTGGCCAAAATGTTGTGGTTGTTGCAATGATGACAGCTTTCTTTGGGAATAGCTGCTTCCCTGTCTGCAAAACTTCCTTTCCTTTTTTGCCAAAAATATGAAGTGACCCCAAAAAGTATTCACCTGTGTGTGTGTGTGTGTGTGTGTGAGCTGATGAACATCTGATTTTTACAAGATGGTTGTGCTGTGGCAGGGACATGTTTGCACCATGGTAGGGACAAAAATCCAAAGCAGGATTTCCCTTAATGTGGCAAGGTAAAAAGCTTTCGCAATGGAGGGTTTGCACTGTTAGTTAATCTGGGATTAAGACAAAGAGATCCTGCCTTTATCCCAGATATCCCAAGCTCGATATCAACAACAGCACTGTACTCTGAACAGAGGTGCTGGAGGAGAGGAGGACTTGTAGCTTGATTAAGCAGCGATTGGGCATGAGTGAGGAGACTGGGCAAAAAGATTAGGCTGGACAACACCTAAGACTCTGTCTTGGAGACATATTTCAGGTTCTTCATTAGACCAGTTTATTTCCTCTCTCATGCCACTATATTCCTAAAATTACTCAGTCCTGCATTTATAATCTACAGAGTAGAGGTCACACTTGCAGAGTTTCTTCCGGCTTGAGAGTTGTTTCCTATACGTAAAATGGATTATCATTGGAAATGGGAATCTCTATCAGAAGTGAGGAAACTTTTTAAGTGCAACCACTGTATCTATCTAGGTTTCAGAGTAACAGCCGTGTTAGTCTGTATTCGCAAAAAGAAAAGGAGTACTTGTGGCACCTTAGAGACTAACCAATTTATTTGAGCATGAGCTGGATTTGTGCTGGAAATGGCCCAACCTGATGATCACTTTAGATAAGCTATTACCAGCAGGACAGTGGGGTGGGAGGAGGTATTGTTTCATATTCTCTGTGTGTATATAATGTCTGCTGCAGTTTCCACGGTATGCATCCGATGAAGTGAGCTGTAGCTCACGAAAGCTCATGCTCAAATAAATTGGTTAGTCTCTAAGGTGCCACAAGTACTCCTTTTCTTTTTGTATCTATCTAGACAATCCTAAAGTTCCTGTCGTCATAGGCACTACTTAGATGAATTGTATAAGAACTCAAAGGATCAGATAGGACACATCTTCATATTCTGGAAAAGGGTTTTGGGGTGAATATTTCTATCTCCATTTTTTTAAATGTTCCACTGATTTCCTTTTCTGCATTTTCCTGTTCGCGTTTTCTATTTTCATTGTTTATTTTTCTCCTTGCAGTTACCTGCTTTTCATTTCCCATTTTTCTCTTCCCCTCAGCATTTTTTCCCTTTCCTCCCTCTTATAGGCCCCTCTGCCTTCTCCAGACGCATGCGCAAATAAACACACACACAAGCACATGACAATATCTTCATGTCCTTAGTCCCCTCAGATAGGCAGCTCTGAATTCAGTAATAGGATTGGGGAGGGAAGCCTCAATGTGTCAAGACAGCCTGAGAGCAGAGGCTAAATGGGTGACCAGGATTGCAGAGGGAATCAATCAAGAGAGGTAAATCTCCCTTCCCCCACCCGCTCCAGTGATCATGCACTTATTAGGATCCTTCAGCCAGAACTGGGTGCGATGGCAGAACATACAGAAGGGAGCCCTGATGCCACGGGCTGCTTTTCCTGCACTAAAGGTTAGTGCTGTTTCACTCCTCTTTGAGCATTGGGACAGCCACTCTTTTCCAAGTACAATTTCTGATAGGCAAAAGCAGATTAGAACGTGTAGCTCATAAACCTTTATTCACTTGCAACACCTTCCTTATTAACTTAAGTGTCTGCAGAGAGAAGCAGATGGGTGCTGAGTCTCCATAGAGAGCAACAGAGACACAGAATATCATTCTGCATTGTTTGAACTTTCATGCAACAGGTTTCAGGCAATGTTAGCCATGGTATCTCTGGGACATTTCAGGTTTAGGGGTTACACAGGGCTGTGGGATGAGGAAGAAATGTAATATAAGGTGCAAAGAAAAGAAATAAAATGTATACATAAAATAGAAAGGGGGTTTTGCCTCACACTCTGTTTCACAACAGATTAGAATAAAATCTTTTACTTCAGGAAAACTGAATCCCAATCCAGGCAACATAGCAAGTGAAATAAATGACTATTGTGGTCTCAGAGTTGTTGCTAGTTGACATTTGCCATCCTCACAAAACCACTGCTTATTGTGGTACATTTTTCAGTCTCTGTTCAAGACAAGTTCAGGAGTCAGTGGCAAGAGTACTGCTAGTCAGGAACAAGGTGTTTCAGGCTGACCTTGGATAGAAAGTAGAACTGTCTGGGAAGTTTTCAACAAAATGTTGTTTTCATCGGAAAATGTTGATTCATTGCAACCTTTTTGTGGAAAAGTATATGTTTTGATGAAATTTTCCTTGATGAAGGTTTCTCAGGCCTTGCATGGAATTTCACATGGGGGGAAAGCAAGACACCCTCCCCCCCCACCCCCACCCCGAATAGCCAAGGCACTCACCTAGAGTGGGAGAGACCCAGGCTCAAGATCCTTCTCCAAATTAGGCAGAGTAGGAGTTGAACCTGGGTCTCCCACATCCCAAGTGAGGGCCCCTAACCACTGACCTATGGGCTATTCTAGAGCACAAATCTCTATCACTCCCTCTCTCTCACTGCTTTTTTTTTTTTTCTTCCCTAAAAAGTTTTGCAAGGTCTTGGTTTTGTTCCAGTGCAGAACAAAAACAAATTCTGAAAACAGAATTCTTATTTTTCAGTCCTAGAAGGAAGCTTACATAGTTCTTGCCTGCATAATGCCTACCTCTCACAAGTAGCTAGGACTGTCTGTAGCTTATATGAGCCTCAATATTCACTTATTTTTTAAAAGAAACTAAAATTAATATTGGCACATGAAATCACTTTTTTTTATCCCTTTGCTTAACATGTTTTGGGGATGATCATTCTGCTCTTACTGAACCTAGACTGGGAAGGAATCCTCCTTGTCTCAAATGTGATAACTGTCTCCATGCTGATATAATAACCTGAGGGACATGGCAGCCTGCTGTGTTAAATAATGCTTTCCTGGTACTGATGGTCACACACCAGCAGCTCATTTGCATCTTGATTAAACTGAGTTTATGAGCATGCCACATAGTTTTCTTCCCCTTTGCTTCATTATGCTGCTTAAATACCTTGTGTTTCCATGTTCGTGTTTCAGATTCTGTTCTTCCTGAAGGAGATTGATGACTTGAAGTTTCAGTATGAACAGATGATCTCTGAGCTCTTGAAATGGATTAAACAGAAAGTAGTAGAGTTGGACGATCGCCACTTTCCCAATTCCATACAGGACATGTGGATGCTCATGGCCAACTTCAAGACCTTCCGTACAGTAGAGAAGCCCCCCAAATACCAAGAAAGGGGCATGATTGAAGCCCACTTTTTCCACATCAGAACCAAGCAAAGAGCCAACAATCAATGGCCATATCTGCCCCCTGAAGGCAGGACACTGCAAGATGTGGAAAAGCACTGGGTCATTTTGGAGAAAGCGGAGCACAGCCGGGGAGAAGCACTGCAGCAGGAGATGCAGAGGCTGGAGAGAGTGGAACAGTTGGCCCAGAGGTTCCTGAAGAAAGCAACCCTGCGTGAGTCATACTTGGAGGACATGATGAAGGTGCTCGAGAAGCAGGACTTCCAGCCAGAGAGTGTGGACAAGATGGAGGATGCCACTAAGAAGCTTGAGGCTATTGTGGCAGATGTACTGCCCAGGGAGCAGCGCTTCAGAGCACTGGCTGACATGGCGGCTCTTATAACCCGAGAGAACTACCATCGCAAGATCCAGGTCATGAAGAAGTGAGTCATGCTAGTGGAAATGGGCAGTCGTGGAGACTAAACAAGTTATGATACTAAGTGGATGTGGAAGAGGAGGGAATAGTTCAACAGCTCTATTCCACAAGAGTAGAGGTGGTCAGATTTCTCCCCCACACACACACACATGCTCCACAAAAAATGTAAATGAGAAAGTGTTTCATTCTCATTAAAATTTTAACTTTTTGTTGAAAAAAGAACCTCAAAAACTGGGGAACAAAAATTGGCTGATAAAAATACATTTTGAGGAAAGCTGACACTTAATGTGAAATGTTTGTTTTGTTGAAAACCCAATCTTCCATCAAAAGAAAGTTTCAGTGGAATATTTTCAGCCAACCCATCACATATCTCTTTTAGTGTGTGGTTTGAGAGGTTCAGATAGCCACAAATCTTCAGGTGCCTCTCTAGTTCCCAGATTGGGCTATAAATCTTGTGAGATCAGGACTTCTAAGATGATCAGTAATTCCTGGTTTGGGACTTCATGGAAATACTCTAGGAACAACCTTCCTGTGGTATTTTAGTAGTTGTCTATTCTAGACTTAACCAAAGCCAGAAGCATGTGTGAAAATAATAAAATGCTTAACCAAACTCCACAGAAGTTTTGGTTTTGATTTGAGGTACGGTTTGAATTAATTTTTATCTAAGCTGAGTCATTTAAGGGGCCATCCCTTTTTTCAAACCTATTTACTGTCTCAGGCAAAAAGGACATGGGACATCAGAGATGAGAATCCATGCACAATAGTTCCTTAAACAAGATTAATGATTACATATTAATCAAAATATCTTCCCAAGGACCATATTAATTGAGAGGATATAGTGTGCTGAGCCATGTGACCAGTGTATGCTTCATTAGATGACACGTATACTGTATATGACTCTAGGAACCCTAGGTATTCATTTAACTCTTCTAAAATTGTAAGCCCCATGTGTCAACAGGGTCTTTTCCCATGCTGTCCAAAGCATCAGATCCTTGTGGATGAGTCAGTCCTTTCTCCTCCCTTCTTTACAGGCAAGAGGACATTTCCCAACAGTGGCAGGATCTACTGGAGCAGCTCCAGAGACACAAACGCTCTCTGGGAGCAATGCAGGAAATTCTGGGCCTTCTGAGGGACATTGATACCATTACAGAGGAACTCAAAGGACTGCAGGTACCAACCCCTCTCCATCAGCATGTGGGCTGGGCACACAATTTGCACCACTACAAATATAAGTAATTGCAGCAGACACAGTATTCCAGTGAAAGTTGTGGATTGCAATGTCTATATTGTGCTGAGAATTGAGCATATGGCTAGAATTTTCAAAAGTAGGCTGCTGAATCCATATAAAGGCACCTAAATAAAAACTGCCCTCATTTGCAGAAGTACCAATCACCACAATTAAAACGGAAGTCACTTAGTATAGGGGATAACTGAAGTTTTAGATCCCATTGTGTGGTAACTGGTAATGCTGAAGGGTGTAATGGCAGCCACTCTAAATATGTACTTTTGCCTTGCCCTGTACTGTGCAAGAGAGAGAATATTATGGATTGTGCTGAACATGAAGTATAAAAACCGTTTTGTTTATGGATCCAGCAGTTTATGTAAAATTGTGAATTGCAAATTGGAGACGGTGACTAGCTATTCTGAATCTCTGAGCCCTAGCCTTTTTCAGGAAAGAAAATACTGTGTACTGGTCATTATTCCCACTAGCTGGACACTTGCCTCCAAAACCAAGCATGTTCCACAGAGGAAAACAATACAATTATAATCTACTGTGGAAGGGGAGCCTCCTAGATTTCTTCAGATAAAAACTGAATCAAGCACACTATAATGAGTCATATAGGAGAGGTGTACTCAGTGGGCACGGTAAATGCTGGACATAAGCAGTGATTCTGGGAGTGAGAAGTGACTCTTGGTTAAAGAATATGACTACTTCCCCCACATCCACTGCAGCAGATAAAAGCTAGGGATTGTGGGTTATATCTTGTGAGTTTGAAGGAGAGGATTGGTTATGTATCTCCTTCCAATCAGCCAGTTAGTGCTTCCACAGAGTTCAAACCACACACCCATTTATTCATTTGGGTCCAATCCAACATCTGTCAGAGCCAGTGGGAGTCCTTCCATTGATTTCAGTTCCCTTTGGATCAAGTCCTTAGATCCCTGGATGGCATTGATTGCTCACACATAGGAGAGGGTGAGATCATAGTGCTGATAATTTCTCACTTTTGGTTTCTAGGCACTAGTGACATCTCAGGATTATGGGAAGCAGCTCTTGGAGGTAGTAGATTTGCTGCAGAAGCACAATTTGGTTGACTTCCAGATCACTTCCTATGATGATAGGGTGAGATACATCACCCAGAGGACAGCAGAGCTCACCAAGGGCAAAGCAATCAAGTCAGATGTGCTTCACGCCAAAACTCGGATGCTCCATCAGCTGTACCAAAACCTCATAGCTCTCAGCAAATCCCGGTAAGGCTCTCCTTATGGTCTAGCTCTTTCTGGTTAGAATGGTGGATCCTTTTAAAATGGAGATAATGGGAGGGCCAGAATCTAGAATTTCTCATTTCTCCACATATAAAGCTATAACAGACCCAGCAGAGAAGGAGATAATCACAGAGGGAGCTGATAGAACCATAGCTTTCCCTGTGCTCGCTTTGTTGTTCAGGCTTCAAAACTGAAACTAACACATTGTTGCATTGGGGTTGGGGGGAGAGCTCAAACATTTAAAGGGACAGTACATCACACTGACCATAAGGATCATCAGCTATCATAGACTGAGAGGGAACTTCAGTGTGAAAGTTCATTCCTAGTTGCTTCTATGTGATCTGGACCTGATATGGCTGATTCTCTATCTCCTGGGTTGAGAGGGGAATTTCCTTTTGGCTTCCTCGTGTTGTCCACCCATAACTCAGCCATGACTCGGAGGTACCATGGGAATTCAATCTCTGAATTTTCTGCAGTGCTGAAGCCCTTTAATTAATCTATTCTCTGTTTCTACGTTGTACCTGAAATCCTAGCACTGACCGAGCTGTATTGCTTGTTGCCTTGTGTTAGACAATCCCAGCTACAGGAAGCGTTGAAGCTTTTTGAGTTTTTCCATGACTGTCAGGAAGAAGAGTCATGGATCTCTGAGAAATGGCAAGTAGTGAGGACAGCAACATTAGGACGAGATCTCAGTCAGATTATTGCCTCCATTCAGAAGCACAAGGTACAGTATTTTGTTGACTGGTGTCTGTTCTGTATATTGAATCTAGACTTTCATAATTTATCTAAACCAATTGTCAGAGCATTTATGCCTCAAATTAAGGTTCCTGGCTGGCTTTTGGAACCTGAGAAATCATGCATCTTAGGGATCCCTCACAATGGGGGACAGTCCTATGTTTAATATGGGATTGTGGATGTGCAGAACAAGCAGAGTGAAGCTCAGTGTGCTATCCATTAGGCCATTTTGGTGGATGGGAGAAGAAGATGGTTCTTATCCACTCACCCTTCCCAAAGGAGGTACACGGGGAGAATAAGTAGAGTAGACATGCCATAAATGAAGGGAAAATGACTGAGCTGTGGTAAAGGAGGGGTGGGAAACCCTAGAATAACATTGCTGGGACCTCCCAGAAATTTGCTGCCAGCTCTCCCTGTGAACTGGACACAGGTTGAGGAGAAAAGCTTCATTTCATGAAGTTCCATCTCGTTGATGACGAGAAATCACTGTGGCAAACAGACCTGAAGACTTGAAAAGGCAGTTACAGAATTTAAACAGCAATTTCTGACGTGCAGCTCTTTATAATTAGGAAGTCAACAGTAAAGGCATGAGAGCATGTCCATGAACCATAAGATCTCTAGAGACGTGTGTGAGAGAGGATGAGTGTGTGTTGGGAGTGGAAGACATAAGGCTGCCTACTCATGGATGACAGCTCCCCCAGAGACCATCCTGTATAGTATGCTGCTGGAATGGGGAAGGGAAGTATCTCAATGACTATCATTAGTACAATAGTTGGGTGAGTGAAAAAGAGGTATTAGGGCTCAAAGGACAGTGTTAACTATGGAGAAAGGGGCAGTGTCCGAATGGAGGGAAAACAGAATCATTACACATGTTAGTTTTATAGTATCTGACAGAAGAGTCTGGCAGTGGGAAAAAGCCACAGCTCTCCTGGGACAGGTCAGTTCCTTGAGCCTGTAAGTCTCCACTACTCATTATCATGTCACTTTATTTGGCAGGCTCTAGAAGTCGAGTGCAACTCCCACAAGGCAATTTGTTCCAATGTAGTGAGGAAGGGCTGGGAGCTAAGTCAAAGGAACCACTCAAACCAGAGGGATATCCAGATGCAGACAGACAGCCTCCAGAAGCTGTGGCAACAGCTCCAAGATGAGGTGGCCAATCGTAAAATCCGCCTGCAGGCAGCTGCTTTAATCAAACAGGTAAACAAGGCTGCAGTTTTTGCATTTTGTAACAGAAAGAACAAGAACTCATTCTATTTCTGCTTGTGTCACCAGATTGGGATTTATGTAACGAACACAAGAAGAGTCTGGAAGCAATAAGCTTTGCTGGGGTTAAACAAAATATCTTTCAACTCACATGATATTAATCAATTTTTTTTTTATCAGAGTGCTGTGTCTCTCACTTTGTGTAGCTCACAAGTCCTTCTGGTCTTCTGTAGGCAGACACCAGCTGTGTGTCATAACTGCTGATTTCTGTTTTCATTTGGCTACTGTGAAATGTGCCCCAAACACTATATTCCAGATTCTGCTTTCCTTGTTCCTTAGCATAATAACTGATACATGCAGACTTTCTGGCTGTCAGCTATTCTGCATGTATGAAGCACTGGGAGGGAAATTTTGACCTTCAACTCTGAAAATTCAGGCTCCCAGCATTTGAATCATAGAATCATAGAATATAAGGGTTGGAAGGGACCCCAGAAGGTCATCTAGTCCAACCCCCTGCTCGAAGCAGGACCAATTCCCAGTTAAATCATCCCAGCCAGGGCTTTGTCAAGCCTGACCTTAAAAACCTCTAAGGAAGGAGATTCTACCACCTCCCTAGGTAACGCATTCCAGTGTTTCACCACCCTCTTAGTGAAAAAGTTTTTCCTAATATCCAATCTAAACCTCCCCCACTGCAACTTGAGACCATTACTCCTCGTTCTGTCATCTGCTACCATTGAGAACAGTCTAGAGCCATCCTCTTTGGAACCCCCTTTCAGGTAGTTGAAAGCAGCTATCAAATCCCCCCTCATTCTTCTCTTCTGCAGGTTAAACAATCCCAGCTCCCTCAGCCTCTCCTCATAACTCATGTGTTCCAGACCCCTAATCATTTTTGTTGCCCTTCGCTGGACTCTTTCCAATTTATCCACATCCTTCTTGAAGTGTGGGGCCCAAAACTGGACACAGTACTCCAGATGAGGCCTCACCAATGTCGAATAGAGGGGAACGATCACGTCCCTCGATCTGCTCGCTATGCCCCTACTTATACATCCCAAAATGCCATTGGCCTTCTTGGCAACAAGGGCACACTGCTGACTCATATCCAGCTTCTCGTCCACTGTCACCCCTAGGTCCTTTTCCGCAGAACTGATGCCTAGCCATTCGGTCCCTAGCCTGTACCTGTGCATTGGGTTCTTCCGTCCTAAGTGCAGGACCCTGCACTTATCCTTATTGAACCTCATCAGATTTCTTTTGGCCCAATCCTCCAATTTGTCTAGGTCCTTCTGTATCCTATCCCTGCCCTCCAGCGTATCTACCACTCCTCCCAGTTTAGTATCATCCGCAAATTTGCTGAGAGTGCAATCCACACCATCCTCCAGATCATTTATGAAGATATTGAACAAAACCGGCCCCAGGACCGACCCTTGGGGCACTCCACTTGATACCGGCTGCCAACTAGACATGGAGCCATTGATCACTACCCGTTGAGCCCGACAATCTAGCCAACTTTCTACCCACCTTATAGTGCATTCTTCCAGCCCATACTTCCTTAACTTGCTGACAAGAATACTGTGGGAGACCGTGTCAAAAGCTTTGCTAAAGTCAAGAAACAATACATCCACTGCTTTCCCTTCATCCACAGAACCAGTAATCTCATCATAAAAGGCGATTAGATTAGTCAGGCATGACCTTCCCTTGGTGAATCCATGCTGGCTGTTCCTGATCACTTTCCTCTCATGCAAGTGCTTCAGGATTGATTCTTTGAGGACCTGCTCCATGATTTTTCCAGGGACTGAGGTGAGGCTGACTGGCCTGTAGTTCCCAGGATCCTCCTTCTTCCCTTTTTTAAAGATTGGCACTACATTAGCCTTTTTCCAGTCATCCGGGACTTCCCCCGTTCGCCACGAGTTTTCAAAGATAATGGCCAATGGCTCTGCAATCACAGCCGCCAATTCCTTCAGCACTCTCGGATGCAACTCGTCTGGCCCCATGGACTTGTGCACGTCCAGCTTTTCTAAATTCTAAATTGAGATCAGACTCATCTCTTCTGCAAGCCAGCCAATAGAGGGCAGTGGTACCTAGCTAGTTGAAAACATATATATTGACATTCATTCTCAGTTAGAAATACTAGAGTTAAATAACTTTAAAAAAATCTGGCGTGTGAATCAGCTTCCTTGTGGGTGAGACCAGGGTGACTGTCTGACACTCTTTTTCTGTAGAAAAAACTGGGATCAGTCCCAGTTCAGAACTCATAGACTCCCCCATTCTATCCGTGAAATGCCCCGACAAAGAGCCAAGCCACCAGGCCATCCAGGCTGCTAATAATGGTTAAGTAGGAGGGTCCTTTTGCCTTTTGAGTGGCTTCCAGGAAGCTTTCTTTCTGACTGACTTTGGGTCTGCTCCCATCAATTGACCTGTGTTGATAGAGTGAGAATTCTTCTGTTTTCCAAAAATCTCCGAGAAACAGATTTAATGGTGCATTAGAATATTGCCTGCTGTATTTACGTTTCTGATTCAGCACTGCTGTAGCCACTCTGCTCTACCTGGCATAATGCCATCTGAGATAGTTACATTGCTAACTTCGCTGAATTGTTGTACATTCAGTGCAAGACTGCTGCTGAGCCAGGATGTGCTGGACACACAACATATGAGAAATACGTTGTGAACATCATGCAATGGATGAAAGTCTCTCCTGAGGAGCCTCAACTGAACGAAGAATGGGGGGATTTTTCAAAGGCACAGTGGCAGTTAGGTACTAAACTCCAATGGGAGGTATAGATCTAGCTGCCATTTGTGCCTTTGAAAATCTGTCCCATAAGAAAGAAATATCAGGCCACAAAGCTTGGATCCTGACTGGAGTTTCCCCAAAGTATGAGGAGTGATTAGTGTTGTTAGATGTTTGGCTGCGTGTGTGTTCTCTGTGTACTGTCCCAGCGCTGCACAGATAGTTGGCACAGCAGACCTCGATCGAACTGCCCAATAACCACAGCCTCGGTTCGTAGCAAAGGCACTTGGGCAGGTTTATTGTCAACGAAGCACGGTCCTAATGTCCTGGCTCATTGGTTACAGGTACACAAACACACTGTATGCCTATTGCGATGGACTAGATCAGTTAATGGCGTGACTTTCCATTATCCCCTAGGCCAGCCAAAGACACTCCCTCTGAGATACCTCTTTATACACTGATACAAACAAGTTACGTATAGCCCCTCTGACGTGCCTAGGTGCCACCCTCTGACGTATCTAGGTGACACCCATTCATAGATTCATAGATATTTAGGTCAGAAGGGACCATTATGATCATCTAGTCTGACCTGCACAACGCAGGCCCCAGAATTTCACCCACCACTCCTGCAATAAACCTCTCACCTACATCTGTGCTATTGAAGTCCTCAAATTGTAGTTTAAAGACTTCAAGGAGCAGAGAATCCTCCAGCAAGTGACAATCAAAACATCTCTATTCATCATGCTGTCATCCGGACCTTATCTTTGGGATCGGTCAGCGTGTGCCTGTTATCTTTGGGGAATGTGTTGGTCTCGAGGTGTTCTGGTACCACCCTTCTGAAATGTGTTTGTGTAAGGGCTCTGTACCTAGCATTTCTTAGGAATGTCTGTTTCTGCAATATCAGCCCTGTTCTTGCCAAATTCTGTGAGCAGGCCTGTCTTTTGCTCACAACCTGGCTTTGCTTTATATCAGCAAAGCTTTAACCACTACTTTAGCTCAGGCCTCATACCAGGCCTCTTATACAAGGGCTTATGTCTCAGGCCCTCTTCCTACTACAATTAGAACTGGAACTTTGGTTTGGTTCCATCTCTGATTTAAATACACAGATGCACACATTCAAAAAGCCACTATAAAACCATAATTTACCAATTACACCATAGTATCTCAGATTACCCAATAATAATGTTTTCCCTATCCTTTTCATTCCCTCTCATATTCACACAGAAGCCTGAACATTTCCTTCCTTAACAGATTTTGTTCTCTTTGGTTTGACAAACACTGAATTATTTCCTGTTTCTAGCAGTTTTAAAACTATTATAGCTTTGTCCCTCCCCCAGTTTTTTTTGGGGGGGAGGGGCGGGAAGGGGGTAGTTTAAATTATTTTTATAATTTAATGTCTTTTTACAATTACAGCCATATAAGATTGCACCCAAACTTTTCCCATGAATTGCAATTTGTGAAGGCTGCTTTCTGTTAGAGAAACTTACTCTGTATCCTCATGATCTATCATTAACTTTTGTGGAAAAACATCTGTTGTTGAAATTGTAGGCCATCCCTATAGTCTGGAAGTATGCTATGTATTATTGATTCTGTTAAATGACAAAGTCTGACTACTGTCTAGTAACAAAGTCTAACTACTGAGTGATTGACTTGGAAACTGGCTAATAAGATTAATGGAGGAAATATTTGGGACTAATTTATTTAATTGTGATCCTGTGAACCATATTGGTGCTAAGCTTGCTGCTGAAATATAATTGGGGTTTCTAAAGAAAGAGCCACCTGATGTGTAATGGTCCTGCTTATATGACCTGCATATGTGTTATGATTAGCTTCAGTTGTCTGATGCAATTACTGCCCTGTTGACCATTTGCCAGAGGATGGACTATTGGATGTGTATCTCTTAGGGCTGTTTAATCAAACATTCTCCCCACCTGTGTTCCCTTCAGTACTTTGTTGACATTGATGAAGCAGACTCATGGCTACGGGAGCGGCAGCCCCTCCTGGCCAGTAAGGATTATGGGAAGGATGAGTCCAGCGCAGAAGCCTTGCTACACCACCACTTGCGACTGGAGAAGGAGATCACAGTCTACTGCTTGGAGATGAGGCGCCTGGAAGAACAAGCTGGTACTGTAGCAAAGCAGGCTCCATCTGCGGTATGTGGATATGAGGTTGTGTCCCTCTACTTCCCTTTGTTTTTATTTATTAGAGCTGGTTGGAAATTTAGTGAAATTGAAACATTTTGTGAAAATGTGTCAGTTTTGACAAAACTTCACTGAAAAAAGCATGTAGATAAGGTCAAGATGTTTCAGTCTTTTTGGAATGGAATGTTCTGATTTTCCAGGTCAAAATGACTTTTCATTCCTAATTGAAATGAAAACAAAGTTTTTTGAAATGTTGGAATTCCCTGCTGAACAGAAGAGCCTAGATTCAATTAGCTCTCTTAATTATACATGAGTCAGGGCCCAGTCCCCTGGCTGTCGCTGATGGAATCCTAGAAATACAGTTTTTGGTCATTTAGCACCAAGTCTGGCTCATCCACATCACACCTCTCTCCTAGCTCTCACAAATATTCTACTCCTCCCCACCTTATTATTTACTTCCTACTGAATCCAACTCTCCTTCCAAATGGCCATTATACACCACCCACTGCCTCCCTCCCTGCTTTTCGCCAGACTTCAATACTTCACTTACTTTAATCCTCTCACCTGAGGCTTCTGTAATCATCCTGGGTAAATTCAGTTTTTATGTTTGATTCCTCTGCTTCTTGATTTGTCTTGTTAAACTCATTTGATCTTCAGCTGTGGTCTGAATCCCCCATTCAATATTTTGGCCGTAATCCTGATTGTTACCTTTCAGATTTCTTTATCTCTGAACGCTCTCTCTATAACAATGAGATATGCAAGATAAGCAACTATTGCAACTGCAATTAGTAGTAAGAGCTGGGAACACCATTTTGTGACCCTCCCTGTTTGTTCCTGCATTACTGGTTTTTAGAGGGAGCATGTAAGTTCAGGAGCCCACAGATGTTGATCAGTGAAGGAAATACAGACGCGCTGATTTTTTTTAACAGTTGATTGTTTGCTGGTTCAATAATTTAAGGACCATAAAAGTGAACCTCTAATGCTTGGCTGTACTTGGTGCTCCCATTCAAGTTCTGAAAACATTTGTTTTTAATCAATATAGTTATCTGGCCCCTAAATTAATTATTACATTATTGACAAGCATTCTTGGGAATTGTAGCCCTAAATATGCAAATCCCTTGATTAAGTTTAGGAATGTAATTTGTGTCCTGACACTTTTGAAATTCACTTGTACTCTTAAGTAGGTGGTTTGCCCCTTGGGTCTGCCTGCTTTGTTCTCTCTCTTAGGTGCTCAGTAGTCTTTGCATCTGCAAGTGTCTAGCTATTGAAAATACATTGACAGGTTGTTAGGGCTTGGACTGGGGCCCCCCCCTCTGCTAGAACAGGACAGCCTGGTGTTAACTGACTGAAATGCCTGCCTGTGGGTGTTTTCTGCCATTTTTAATTATTTTCATTGCACTCATTGAATGGAAGCTGCACTACAAAAGCACCAGCAAGGGCAAGGGCCAGCTGCCACATAATGCTGCCCAGTTCCGGTGACTTGCGACTGATGTTGAGTGGAATGTGGCGGCCCAACTACACCTGTTACGGTGTGGACTTAGTGAGGAGGTAAAGGAATAAGCAAAAGGAAAAGAGGAGGTGAACCATGGTGCCGCCTCACCCAGACACCAGGCTGAACGCTCCAGCACCTACCCACAAACCAGTGCAGGTTGGTCTGGTCTGCAAAGCTTGACCCTGGAAGAAAAGGAACAGTGACAGCACAATAACTTATGCTTTTATTGCAGAGCACCGGCATGTGCTCTTACTTCTTGCCCATTGCGGACCTCAACCAGCAAGGAATCAAGAAATGAGTGAACCCAGGCTGTATGGAGGGGTCAGCCTAGGCATCACCAGGGCACTATGCTCTGGAACTACCCCCAAGCCCTTGAGGGAAACCCAATCTTGGACATGCAGTGCCTGCCCACATTTCCAAGTACAGAGACTGTTATGTACCATGAATGGAGCCAAACTAGTTCCCCCTCAGTGGCCCTGATTGATTCAGGAGCTCCGATAATTCAATAGATGCTGAAGACACTCAAACCCTATAAATGCCCCTCTGTTTAACGCCTAGGTCAGTTCTCATAGAGATGATAGATTTGACACAGGAAACAGGACCCCTAGAGGCTGTACTCCACGGATATCAGGATGTACTAAATTCAATGTGATTCGTTCTCCACACTTCCCCTGATTCTCAGCATCACCCAGCTGGATCAGCCCAACCCTTCTATGCTCTGGTGAAAGAAAAGGATCAGTTTCCCTCTGAACACTGCTGAAGGGTGAGCCCCAAACCTCTGGTCCCAGGCTCCTGCAGATGACCAGAAGTGATGGCACCTGTGGGAGAACCACAGATGATGGTGACCAGAAGGAACCATTCCTAAGCCTGAGTTCCCGTCTCACTGATGAGTATTAGGATTTGTGGCGGTTCAGTGATGAGACAGAACACAGTTTGCAAAAGAGGTGGTCAGTGAGATGGGTTCTGCCCCCCCTTCCACCTTTCCTTTATTATATTTCTCCCCTAACATTACACTCTACACAAAGGAATGTATGACGTTAATTCATATACTAGTTACCATCCCCTATCTACTACAATCCTGGTTCTCAGGCCTTGAGCCCAGGCTAAGAAAACCTCCCACAGTTGCTGTCCAAACAATCAAGTTCTCATGGTTCATGTCTAGCCCTTGTCCTTGGATAGAGCAATGTGTGCATTGCTTCTACGAAACAGTAAGGGTGTGCCCCGCCTGCTTCCAGGTGGAATAGCTAAACATTAACCCTTCAAGGATTCTGTGGACGTCTTTGAAAAGAAAAATGTGGACATGCTACCTCCACATTGGCACTACAACTGCCCCATAGACCTGCAGCCCTTCATGTGCACATCAAGTAAAAGCCTAAAGGCTCAATCCAACACTTCACATCCCCAGTGTGGCCTCTGGTCCTTTTCAATAAGCAAAAGGATGGAACGCTACACCTCTGTGTCACTAACATGCCCTAAACCAAGTGACAGTCCAAAACTGGTATCCCCCGCTCCTAACTTCGGCGTTTCTATAGTGTGTGATCTACCGGAATTTTCACCCAACTGGACCTCGGTGGAACTGTGGTGGGAACTTAAAAACTAGTGCACATTTTGAACCCACTCTGGGCACTTTGAATATTTAATAATGCCATTCAGTCTGACTAAAGCTCCCGCGACCTTTCAACACTTTGTGAACAATGTGTTTAAAGACATCCTGGACCAGTATGTAGTCATCTATCTCGATGACATGTGTCTGTTTTCAGAAGACCCTGAGCGGTATTGTTACCATGTTCATTCCATCCTGAAAAGACTACAGAAGCACAGCCTGTATGTGAAAATGGAAAGTGTACCTTTTGACCCCACTGAACAAAATGATGACATATTAGATAGAGAACTGGTCACAATTAAATCAGCCTTCAAAGAGTGGTGCCATAACCTTGAAAGAGCCTGACAACCAGTTCCAGTCTCTTTCGGACCATAAGAACCTTGAATATCTGCGTAAGCTTGTGCCTTGAACCAAAGACATCTCAGGTGGGTATTCTTCTTCCCTTGGTTCAATCTCAACATCACCTGGGAATCAGGAATGGGAAAGTCAATGCCTTATCCTAAAAGGTGGAATAATACCACAAAGGTAAAGAGCCTAACCAAAAACCACCTTCTCTCCTTAAACCTCACAACTTCCTTAGTGCCACCATACACCAAAACCTGATTCATCTAATCTGATCCACTTCTCAAGGTGATCTGTTAGCCCAGAAGGTGATGGAACAACCTGAGCAAATAAGAGCTAGAACCAAAATGCAGTGTTCCACACAGGATGGGATCACATATCTCAATGGGTGCATATCCATTCCACCAGGGTGCCCCTGGTTAGAAGTGTATCACCTCTGCCATGACAATCAATGGTGGGCCATTTTGGCCACCTTAAGACTTTCTACATGGCTCCACATTTCTTCCAGTAGCCCCAGGCCTATGTTGACTCTTGTGACCTTGTGCATGTACCAAGACACCCCATTCTGAGCACCTTGGCTCTTTAGTACCCTTGGAGATCCCACCTAGACCCTGGGCCTGGATCACCCTGGATTTCATAGCAGAATTCCCTGACTCTGATGGCCACACAGTGGTCTTGACTCTTGTTGACCAAAATGGCCCACTTCATCCCCTGTGACTGCCTGCCCTCTGCCGAAACAACCGCTCAACTCCTAGTGGTGCATGTTATCCTTTTTCATGGGCTTCCGGGCCATGTCACCTCAGACCAAAGCTCACAGTTCATATCATGCTTTTTGTGTGAAACACTCCAATTACTGGACTTTGCACTTTTACTTCCTCCCCTTACTGCCCCCAGACAGATGGGCAGACAGAGAGGGTGAACCAAGTACTACAGCAATACGTAAGGTGCTTTGTTAACTACCATCAAGATACGTGGTTCCTCCTTCTGCCTTATGACAAGTTGTCATACAACAACACTGACCATGCCTCCATGGGGTAGAGTCTCTTTTTTGCAAATTACAGGTTTCTTACTTGCTTCCACCTTGTCTTGTTAGCAACCTCCCAGAACCCAGCAGCTTCCAACTGGATTCTGTGAATTCATCATATTCTGGAAGACCTTAAGGACCACCTCCATGATGCAAAAAAGCACTACAACGAGTAGGCAGACTATCAGTACCAGGAAAGCCCAGCTCTCACAGTGTGCCAAAAGGTCTGGCTTGCAGCTAAACACCTCTGTATGAACAGGTTATCCCACAAGCTAAACCACCAGTAGCTTGGACCATTCTGGGTTTTGTCAGTATTCAAATTGCAGCTCTCTCACTCCCTTAAGATATATCCCATTTTCCATGTTTCCCTCCTGAAGCATTCCACACAGAATCATGTTCCCAGCAACTCCCCGCACAGGTCCAGGTCCAAGGGCACAAGGAATATATAGTCTGCCCTGTCCTCAGCTGTAAACTGCAGGGCGGGAGACTGTACTACCTCATTGCCTGGGTCCTGAATTGTGCTCCTGGGAACCTGCTCCCCATGTCCATGCCCCTGACCTGGTAAGAAGATTTCATCAAGACCATCCAAGTGCCAACATGAAGGAAGGGTGCCCTCCAAAAGCGGGGGAGAGGCAATGTAAAGATCCATGGGACAAGAACCTGGGTCTGTGGACCCTGAGACAGCTGACATTCCCACATTGCCACCAGGAGCCCATGTAAAACCCCATCCAAAGAGCATTATGGAGATTAGGGGCCGCAGGAAATACCACCCAAAGGATCCAGTGTGGCAGTACTCTGCATCCTTTTGATTGGCCCATGCTCACTATTTAATCCTGGAGGGTGCCCCATAAAGTTGTCTGGGCAACCCAGCAGACTTCTGCCTTGCTGTGACTCCAAACCTCACCTCGCTTTCTGATCTCCAGCCACTGACCCCAGCCTGATTCTGACCCTGACTCTTGCCTATTGATCCCGGCACTATAAATTACTCTGATCCCTGCTTGCCAGCTACTGCCTCATGGCCATCCTTGACTTGTGGACACAAGCGCAGCTGTGACTGCTAGGCTAGATCGCCCACGCCCTGGTCCCCTGCAGTTATGTTCGTGGTATATGCATAGAGATGTGAGATAAAAACATAAAATACTCTTGCTGGTAGGTTGCCATGTAACATTGCTTCGTTTCTTAGAATTCAGAATGATAGATAACACACAAGAACCCCAAAACAGAGTGTGATGACAAAGCTGGGTGCTCACTTCAACAGAGAGGCACAACTCACCCCTGCTTACTCTAGGCTGGCTCTCTGCAGACTGATTCTGAACCCACACTTCCCTACACAGCCCCCTGCCTGCAAACAGGACCAGGAAAATCCCTGAAAATTTAGAGTGATAGATCACAATTGTATCATAGCGTTCAATGCATCACACAGGTGCATTTGCAAATTGCAATATCTAACACTTTGAGTCAGGCAGATCATTTTGAAAATTTAGTCCTTTAATTTATCCTTAAGGTCAGGGGCTCCAATTATCCAGTGTCACAGACTGATTTTGTTGTATTTTGCTTTAACAGGTGATATCAGTGCCGGTAGTGAAGGCTCAGGTCCTGAGTAGCCTAAACCAAAGGTTCACTATACTACCATCAAGCCGCTCTGTGCGCGGGGGAACCCCGGAAATTGGATTTTCTAAACCACCTGATTCAGATCCTCACTTTATTCCAGAGAACATCTGGAGGACCCAGAATGAAATAAACTTGCTTTATGAGAATCTTCAGACCATGGCTGAGGTATTGTACCTCTTTCAATACTTTGTGCTTGTGTAGCCTGTCTTGGAGATTAATCGTGGGATCTAGTGTCATGCAAAGCCATGTCAGCATGGATTCACCAAGGGAAGGTCATGCCTGACTAATCTAATCGCCTTCTATGATGAGATTACTGGTTCTGTGGATGAAGGGAAAGCAGTGGATGTATTGTTTCTTGACTTTAGCAAAGCTTTTGACACGATCTCCCACAGTATTCTTGTCAGCAAGTTAAAGAAGTACGGGCTGGATGAATGCACTATAAGGTGGGTAGAAAGTTGGCTAGATTGTCGGGCTCAACGGGTAGTGATCAATGGCTCCATGTCTAGTTGGCAGCCGGTGTCAAGTGGAGTGCCCCAGGGGTCGGTCCTGGGGCCGGTTTTGTTCAATATCTTCATAAATGATCTGGAGGATGGTGTGGATTGCACTCTCAGCAAATTTGCGGATGATACTAAACGGGGAGGAGTGGTAGATACGCTGGAGGGGAGGGATAGGATACAGAGGGACCTAGACAAATTGGAGGATTGGGCCAAAAGAAATCTGATGAGGTTCAATAAGGATAAGTGCAGGGTCCTGCACTTAGGACGGAAGAACCCAATGCACAGGTACAGGCTAGGGACCGAATGGCTAGGCAGCAGTTCTGCGGAAAAGGACCTAGGGGTGACAGTGGACGAGAAGCTGGATATGAGTCAGCAGTGTGCCCTTGTTGCCAAGAAGGCCAATGGCATTTTGGGATGTATAAGTAGGGGCATAGCGAGCAGATCGAGGGACGTGATCGTCCCCCTCTATTCGACATTGGTGAGGCCTCATCTGGAGTACTGTGTCCAGTTTTGGGCCCCACGCTACAAGAAGGATGTGGATAAATTGAAAAGAGTCCAGCGAAGGGCAACAAAAATGATTAGGGGTCTGGAACACATGAGTTATGAGGAGAGGCTGAGGGAGCTGGGATTGTTTAACCTGCAGAAGAGAAGAATGAGGGGGGATTTGATAGCTGCTTTCAACTACCTGAGAGGTGGTTCCAGAGAGGATGGTTCTAGACTATTCTCAGTGGTAGAAGAGGACAGGACAAGGAGTAATCATCTCAAGTTGCAGTGGGGGAGGTTTAGGTTGGATATTAGGAAAAACTTTTTCACTAGGAGGGTGGTGAAACACTGAATGCGTTGCCTAGGTAGGTGGTGGAATCTCCTTCCTTAGAAGTTTTTAAGGTCAGGCTTGACAAAGCCCTGGCTGGGATGATTTAATTGGGGATTGGTCCTGCTTCTGAGCAGGGGTTTGGACTAGATGACCTCCTGAGGTCCCTTCCAACCCTGATATTCTATGATTCTATGATTCTAAAGTGTAGGCAGGTGTTTTAACTTCCCTTGCTCAGCTCTGACAATGTGCTGCAATCCTGAACTATGCAACCCCTGAAAAGACTGCTGGCTGTGCTAAATTGTGTGGTGCTTTTCTGATTTTGACCAACATCATGTCAGCAGTAGGAGAGAAATGAATCATGGATGACATTCAAAACAGTCAGAAATTTCATTTAAGCTTTGAGTGCATTTGGTTCAGGTTTTATCCAGTCTGGCTTGTACATCATTATGTGAGAATCACAAATTAATTTCTGTGATCATCACATTTTCCTCCCAGTTCTTATATTTTTTGGAGAGCAGCTTCCTTCTGCATCCCCTTGACTTTACTGGAGTTTGCCTATTACAGCAAGAGACCCTCTCCTAGGTCGAACAAACATGGGAGGTTAACCCTAAGCCTTGAGGCTGTAGTGGCAAAGACTGGAAACTTTAACACAGATGTTCACAAAAGACCATTAGTTTTTCCCTTTATTCCTCTGTATCCTCAATCTCCAAGGGGTCCCGCCCAAAAAGCTGCTGTGTGAACCCTCCGATTCCTATTTTTCCTGCAACCAGTGCTTGTGCATATGTCTAGGATTAAAGAGGTAATGCTCCCTTTGTAGTGTTGACTTGTATCTTCAGTCAACCAGCACACACCACTACTAAACTTTCTGCTTATCAGGTGTTGTGAGCATCAGTTCTCTGATACTCCCAATTCCTGTTGCCCCAGGAACAAATATTCCAGGCTCAAGATGCCAATTTGTATTCACTGTGTGTTAGCAGGGAGAACTACCACCAACCTGCCAGGTTAATCTGTATGCTTTAGTTCTTTAGCCATGGGGATCTCTTTCTGCAAAAGGCCTGTGTATCACAGTATTCAGTTCTCCATCTGTTTTACAGCACAGGAAGAAAGGTCTGGAGGAGATGATCCGATTGTACCGCTTCTACAGCTCCTGTGAAGAGTTTCAGTCTTGGATGGAAGATAAGGAGAAAATTTTCCAGACCCTTCAGCCTGAAGCAGACAATGTGGAGGTCACACAGCAGAAATATGAGGTACCTCATTTCTACTTGGTGTAGATAACTTGTAAAACAAACTGACCATGGGGGAATGGATGTATGTGAGGAAAGGAGGACTCCAGAGAAGTTGCTTTCAACCTTTTTTTTGTTAACTGAATTTTAATCCATAAGGTTTTGTCTATACAGGAAAGCTTTTTCAGTTAAGCTAAGGTGTGAATATATAACTGCAGATTTATACCAGAATAAGTTGTCCACATGTCTGTGCGGTGGGATGGGATGTATATTATACCAGAATAAGTTTATTATGTATCTATGGGCTCAGAGGGAAAACCATATAGGGGAGTATATTCTGTCAAGAGATCGCTGAATGAACAGAGAGAAAAGAAATAAATTGGATGTCAAAGCATAGTAGATACACAAATAGAAGATGAGTGAATACAACAGCTTGTGGAGCACTTTTTGCATAGAGATGCTGAGTTTTGAGTTCTTCACTCCATACATTATCCCTGTATTTTTTTCTGTTTTAGAGCTTTCTAGTGGAAATGGCTGTGGGGAAAATCCAGCTGGGAGAGATCAAATGCCTAGCAGATAAGTTTGCAAAGAGCAGTCCCAGCAAACAGAATGAAATCCAAGCCCACCTTAAAGAGATCAGTAGGAGGTAATGCTCCTGATAGAATGGGGAATCACCCCATCAAGGACTTTTCATGCCCTGCATAAACTATCCTGGAGAAAATACCAGTCTGAGATGTTTTGGCACACACAACTGACCTGAGATGTGAAGATAGAGGGTTGTCTATGGAAAGTTGATGTTTGTCACTGCAGTTTGCATTTACTTCACCGGGGAAGCTTTTACCAAACTGGAGATGTAAAATCTCTCTTATCTATAACTTAACCAGCTTTAAATAGAACCATTTGCCAAGAAGAGATGGAATCAAAATCACTAGAATTCTTTGCATCACAGCTTAATGCACTCCTGCTGGAGATGTTCTAATAAAATTAGGATAATGATAAGAGGAGAAGCAGGGGGTGGTCTACGTGGACTGACTGTGGGGTTTATAGTATTATGACAATTGTAATGGAAAGTCTATCCTCTGCCCTTGGCAATCAGTCATTGAAAAGAACAAATAGTTTCTACAGGCAGGCAAGGAGCTCCCTTTTCCATGTGAGACCATCTTGCACAATGGACACCTTAATCATCACTTGGCCACATGTAGTCATCACTTGGCCATATATGTGCCTATTGTATGCACCTAAATGCTGATTTGAGTTTCTACATAGGGAATGGGGCCATTCTGTTTACGTGTCCCTGTTTGAAAATTGGATCTTATTGTCCCAACAGTTACTGGCTGGAGATATGGGGAAAAAATATAAATCACAAGAACTATTGCCAGGTCATGGACACACTCATTTTGTCAAGGGGTACAGCAGATGCTTTGAGATCTGAGGGCTTTTTGTTCATGGTCCAGTGGAAAAGATTCCTCATAAGTCCTTATCCCCACCCGAGCTTCAGGGAGCAAAGTGGGGGCAGGTCTGAATTCTGCTGCAGCACCCTAAAGATGGTACATACTCCCATCTGGGCATCAGGGGAGATGCCTGACCCTTGCACAGGAAGGAGAAAGGGTGGAAGTCTCCTTGCACCCCTTGTACTGTGATACAAGAATCAGACTGACAGGTCCTAAATGAATGGATGACGGCAGGTAAAATATACTTTGGAATAAGTCCGTTTTCATTATATTTAAAGTAAAAGCAAGCACATCGTGGGATAGTCAAATGTCACAATGGGCTCTTCTGTTGGTTCAGCCTGTGCTGCATGGCTAAGTGTGAATTTGAGCACCCAGAGGCAGGGGTTAGGATGTCCTCCTAAGGCATTCAGGTTTGAAAATTGTAACTATAAGAAACTCTTTGCTTTTTTAACGTGTTTCATATCTATTTTTATATGGACTCTTGGCAGTCCCAACCGTGGTCAGAAATGTCAAGGCACGATTGGATCCTTATTTTGATTATTTTTCTTGATTTGCATAGTCAACAGTGTGACAGCAACTTGCACTGGGTGCAGGAGAGGAATACCACCTTAGAGGGGAAATTCATCATGTGTAGAGGCTGAGCACTAGTCCTATACCCCCTTTAAGTGCCAGTACAATCTTATTTTGAAGATTGCTGTGGTATATAAAGAGAGCATAGAGTTTGTCTCCTCCACCTCTCCCCCCGCACAAAGATGAATTTTTCCATAGGTGATTTTTAAAGGTGCATGCAACAAATCCACTGGACATTTATTTTCCCCCCATAGGCAAAGACACTGTGATTTTAGTGTCTAGATACAGCTGTTGCAGTTGTTTTTTCACTCCTAGATGGGGGCGCCTGGAAACTCTGAAGGAGGAAAAGGGTTCAGAGCTGATTGGAGTGGCTGATGTGAGGACATTCCTCCAGGACTGCCAGAGCACTAGAGGGCTACTACAAGACAAGCTGGTCCATCTCAGGGATTTGGAACCTGGAAACACACCTGCCGTACTGGAGGCAAATCGGCGCAAGCTGTTTGCTTTTGACAAGGAGGTCATGGTGCTGGAAAGGAAAATTGAATACTTGAAGAGTGTGGCCCAATCGTAAGGAATCAGCCATTTGTTTCTGTATTTTTGCCTAGTGATCTAGTTTCATATTTGAAGCAAAGTGTATAGAGTATATATAGTTGTGAAAGGCTGACTTACACTTGCCTTAGGTCAGCCTCTCGTACTAGTGCTCTCCCTGTCTGGCTGCAATCACAGCTCCTTTTCCTCTTTGAGTGAGATCTTCTGTCCTGGGTAGAGTTGGATGAATATCTGAGTGACTGGCTCCAAACGTTGTCTACAAAGAAAGAATCCCTACATTATGAATGGAGTAGCATAAGTCTTTATTGATATTGAATCACTGAGCTATTCTTCCAACTCAAATCCCCAGCACATGTAGTGGAATGTGGTGTATAATGAATTATCAACGCAAACCACAGTCCCCACTGAGTTTGTTCTAGACAATGAGTATTACCTCTCTTTGAATTTAAGGACACCTCATTTGCAGATCATACTGCAGTTCAGGTTGTAGGACCATGAACTAGGATTAACAAACACTATTTCAAGATATGTGTATTCTTAATGAGGTACTGTGTAATCCCCCAACATGGGGTATCCTTGAGAGGCATGAGATGGGGAAAAGAGGATGAAAGAGAATTAGAAATATAGGGCATTTGTGTATACATTTTAAACTTTGGTTTAACACTTCTAATTAAAAAAAATCTCCTTGTGTGTTTACAATGTCCGTCGCAACACACCTGTTCCACTCTGTTAGGCATGCTCTGTTCAGATCTATAAATTAGAAACATTTCAGTGAACTGTGAAATTTGATTGGCTGATCATCCCTATGTGTTTTATGTTATGTGAAAAGGAGCATGGGGTGTAAGTGTGCTTTTCCTGGAATCTGGGACCAGGAAAGACCAGGTAATTTGTATCCTCTTGTGGAAATTAGTCGTACAATATCTTTGTTACATACAGATCAGAGGTGATGTAAGACATCAGTGAAACCAGCAGTGGCTGGGGAAAGGGTACCAATACTGAGTCAGACTATAAAAAGGCAGTTTATTGTCATTATAAGGTTATATCTTTGAAGTAAAGGTAATGAATTTCTTCATGTGATATGCTAGCTTTTGGCACTCCTAACTGAAGCCAGAGAATTTAAAAAAAAAATAACACAAAACATTTTGATCCTCAGTGATAGAATGCCCCACTGGTGCCTGTAAAGTCTTTTGACAGGATGCATTTCCTGGAGGACTCTATGATCACTTTGTCTATGCTGTTTACTGCTGATAAGGAACATTAAGTGCCCGAACTGACCTTCTTTTCGGGAGGAACCACTAACAACCCAGTCCCATTGACTTTAGTGTCAGCTGGGTCAAGCTATAAGGCTCATGTTGTCTCTGAAACTAAATTAAGGATGTTGTTTGGTTTCCTTGTATAGGATTAAGGACACCAACCCTGCAGAGAGCAGGGCCATCCAAAAGCAAGTGGAGAATATGGAGAAGCTGCTGGCCACACTCAAGTCACAGACTAAAGAGAGGGAGACAACCCTGGAGTTGGCACAGGATCAACAGGCTGTCCTGCAGGACAGCCGCAGACTCCTGCTGTGGGCAGATGGAATCAGGGAGAAGCTGGGCAGTATGGAGATGGGCATGGACGTGGCTTCTTCAGAGCAGTTGCTGAAGGAACATCAGGACCTTCTGAAGGAAATTCGCACTCAGAAGGAAAGGTAGATGTTTGCTTTGAGAGTGAAGAAGGAGGGTGAGGTACTGCAGCTGCAGCACCAGGGAGGCCTGGAGCATACCCAGAAAACAGATCTGGAAACATAAACTTGGTGTGAAAATGGTGCTTGGGATTTATTGAAGTGCATATAAAATTTAGCATGAAGAAAATAACAACTGACTGTGCACATAACCCAGTTAATTTCCCCATATCAAATGAAAGTGTCTGCTAACCCAAAGTCTGACTCCAATAGCTGCCTCACCTTCTACCTCACCTGGATGCTCAGCAAGGAAGAAAACTCACTATTTAAAGTCCTCAGGCTTCTTTTCCTTCCCAGGTCACTTCTGCCAGAGCAATCCAATCACTTATCCTGGGTTCTCCCCTCTCCTGTATTTTTATGAGCCAGGCCTGCCAGACTCTCAGGCCTCCAGCCCCATCTCTCATTTTACAAAAACCCAGAGACACAGTGACTCTTTCTGTTCCATGTAATGGCTGGCCACCTGTTTTCTTGGGCTCTCAAGCCAACAGAGAAAACTCCTGGCCACCTCAGATGTACAACCCTGAGCAGCCAACCCCTGCACTTCCTGGCAGACTGTAAGTGAAGAGGACGTTAATAGGGAAAGCAATGGGTAACGGCAGCTCTGCCACCAAGAAAGCAAGGAATAGAGCAGCATCAGAGAGAGAGAGAGGTGGGGAAGTTATAGGAGGAGGAAGTTATTTATTCTTTTTGCTTTGCCAGGAGAACACCAAGCTCAAGTCACCTCCTACAGTAACTTGTCCTCTTTCCTTCTGACTCTGGGCAGGTTTACGCAGCTAGAAGAGCTGGGGCAGAAGGTAATGTGTGGTCAGCCCAGCAACAGGACCCAGGATGTGCGCCAGACCGTGGAGAGGCTTACCCAACAAAGCAGTGAGCTGGACGAGATGTGGGAGCAGCGGAAGAAGCAGCTCCAAGACAGCTTGGAACTGCAGAAGTTCAATAGGGAAGCAGATCGCATCAGTGCAACCCTCTCCAGCCATGAGGCTTTTCTACGAGTAGATGATCTTGGGGTATGTATCAGAACAGCCCTTGTTGTCTCCTGCTCCCACTCCCCATCCAGAACAGTCTTGACCCATAATGACTCCATCAGAACAGAGATTCAATGACAATCGCTGTACTCTGGCTCAAAACTGAGAATTTCTAGCCAAGCTTAGATTGGTTGCAGCATTTCTGTAACAGTGATGTGTTACTGTTCAGAAGCTGCACACGCAGGTCCTGGTTCTCATTTACTCATTTCTTTAAATGAGAAGCAGGCTCATAACTGCTAAAAGACGCTAAACCAAGGAGCTGTAGTTGTGACCCAGAGGTGTGTTTGTGCAGTTGGGGTGGAATGCTCTGGTTAACCTTTTCACCATGCTTTCTCCACTGTTCCTTCTACCTGTACACTGCCATTATCCCTTAGCATGCTATTGCAATCAGTAGAATATTAGCAAGGAAGTAATTGGTACATTCCACACCAATACTCAACAGCAGTCAGCCAGGGGAAAGTTTGTAATGATCTCACCTCCAATGGAGAGAGGCTGGGAAAGAGGATATGAGTACTATTAACACCTGTTGGAGGCTCACCCTTAGACTGGATGATAGAGCTGTTACGAGTACTGTTAGAATCTGAACTGCAGCCTCCTCATATCTCAGAGACTGGTTTGCTGCAGTTTGTGGGTAACCAAATATATTATACAGTGCTTACGCCAGGGGGGCACCATGCTGCTGCGATTAAAAGATGAGGATAGACTCTTAGGACAGGAGAAAACATGAGAGATAAGGGATCAAGCAAGGCACAGCTGCTCACTTGTTCAAAGCCCTGAAGGTCCTCAGTGATGTGGAAAATCTACAATACATACTTGCGTCACTTGGGGGGAAGGTGGAGAATAAGGACTTGCACAAAGGCAGAAATAATACCATCTCCTCCACTGCCACAGAGGGAGCCATATTAAAGAGGTGAGACTTGATCAAGTTTTCTTCCCCCTACTCCAGGACAGTGTGGATGCTGTTCACAGCCTTCTCAAGCGGCATGAGGATTTTGAAGGACTGCTGATGGTGCTGAAGCAACAGGCTGAAGTGATGAATGAGCATGGGGAGAAGCTAGTGAAGAACAGGCACTTCGCTTCTTACATGTGAGTTCAGAGCCATTTACACTCTAGGTAGAAAAGAGGAGGAAGACAAGAGATTGACTCCACTGAAGACATTTAATTTTTACAAACCATCATCAAGTGTCGTCAGAGTGAAACAGAAGATCCTCTTTGAGCCAGCAATCATACCAAATCCCATCAGTCCACAAGCTGTGGTGTTCTAATTTGGGTGGAAAAGGATGAATTCTTTCATTTCCTTCCATGCTGCTTCTTAACATGGAGAGAATGGAGCCGGTATTGCAAAGAGATGCATTTCCTGTACTCTAATGACAAGGGTAACACTTTCAGTTCAGAGTGCCATTTTTGGTACAATAATGGAGAATACTCCAGTTTTTCTCCTTGCATTTTATACTACATGTGCCAATAAGATCTTGTAGTCCCTTTTAACCCTATGGTTCTATGACCTCTTTATTGAAGAACTCATTAAAATTCTCACATAACTGTGTGTTCCTTGCATTTGAGAGTATCAATAATATTTAGTATGAATACAATAGATTTCAAATCACTTCACAAAGGAATAACAGTTGTAATCATCATGCCTGATTCTCATCTAACGTAAGGCCCTTTTGCACCACCCTGGCACTGTAACATGGCCTTAAAGTGGGAGTCAGTGTAATTCATGGCTCCTTTAAGGTACTAGAGCGTGTAAAGGGGCCTTAGTGTCAATGAGAATTGGGCCCTGTATGTTTAGAGAGCACAACTGTTTGAAGGTAAGAGTGCTGGGGGAAACTGAGAAGCTACAATTATGCTTAAAGTTGCTTGGACTGGCTCTGGTGTCTAGTGCCATGACAAACCGTGGCATAGTTCAATTTTAAACATGAAAAGAGAGAGGGTGTGCATTTGGCAGTTTCCCAAAATGAATTCGTATTGGCAAATAGCCAAAAGACACACAAGAGCACAAAGCTGTACTTACTTGGTGAAGGCTGTGTTTGTCACTGTATTGCATTATCGCGCGCTTAAATGTTATTGGACCACATTCTGCTTAGGAGAGATTAGTGGGGAGGGGAGGAGCACAGCTGAGCACGGTGAGAATCCAAAGAAAAATTAGGATGAGAAATGGAGCAAAGTAAAGAAAAACAACAACAAGGAAATACAGAGGAACTATGGGAACATGGATAGGAGGTGAAAGAGAAATTCTAATGCAAAAGTATGGTGCCCTTGCCTGAGCTGTAGTGGAAGATGTGTTTGCGCCTGTTGAGTCTTTTCCGCGGTTCTTCTAGCGTAGGTCTCCATTTCGTCCTAAAGGCATGTCTGTTTGTCGTTCAATTGCCTCGCTCCAAAGAAAACAACCGTGGGCCAGATACTCAGCTGGTGTAAATTAGTGTGTTTCCATCAGCTTCAATGGAACTGTTGATTTACGCCAACGGAGGATCGGTTCCATGTGTTTAAATTAGAGGAAGATGTCTTATGAACTCAAGCGCCCCAAAAATGAACCGTAGAGTTTTACAAACCTTTGAACCCATATGCTCAGGGTTTAGCGGGTCGGGAAGGAATTTTCCTCCAGGGCAGATTGGAAGAGGCCTTGGAGGTTTTTCCGCCTTCCTCTGTAGCATGGGGCATGGGTCACTTGCTGGAGGATTCTCTGCTCCTTGAAATCTTTAAACCACGATTTGAAGACTTCAATAGCTCAGACATAGGTGAGAGGTTTTTCACAGGAGTGGGTGGGTGAGATTCTGTGGCCTGCGTTGTGCAGGAGGTCGGACTAGATGATCATAATGGTCCCTTCTGACCTTAGTATCTATGAACTACATCCTTCATTTTTTCATCACTTGAAGTCTTAAAATAAAATATTTGTGAGGGTGGGAGTGAATTAAACACAAAGCTTTTCAGGGCAGGGACTGTATCAACTTACAGTAAGGTACTGTGCCCAACACATTTGGGGAGCTACCATAATACCAATAGTGCTTAATAATAATCATAAGACTGCCCACCCCCAGTCCATCTATCCCCTTCCCACCTATCTCCACATGAGAAGCGGTCGCTACCCAGTGGAGCTGCCGTTCTCCCACACACACAACCTCTCAATCTTGGAAAACCCAGCACGGTTGTGCAAAGGGATGGGGTAGTGAGCCTTACACACACCCCCTTACTCTTAGCAACAGCATCTAGCCCAAAGTTCTAGCAATAAAGAATGACCAAGGAAACCGAGACGGATCAGTGCCATTGCCTTGTCATCATTCTAGATAGGGGAATTAAAGCTCTGTGTCGTATTTTCTCTGCAGGATCGAGGAGAGAATGGCTACATTCCAGGACCGATGGGAACGACTGAGACAGAGTAATGAACAGAAAAAAAGGAAGCTGCTTGCATCTCTTCAGCTGCAGGTGAAAGGGCTGATGCACTAGAGCTGACCAGAGGAAACCTTGGGGCTGCAGTAATTTAACACTGTCTGTTGCCTTGAGCCAAGGCTAAAAATATTGACCACTCTCCCTGTTCCCAGCCACAGCCCACTTCACCTCGGAGCAGGAAGTTAGGAAATGTTGACCCCACATATAGGCTGACTAGAGTACTGGCAAATACATTAAGAACTCATTTAACACTGTCGGAGTGATCAGAGAATATCTACTAGGCCATAGTGAAGTATACCGTGAGTTGAATTAATACAAGAAATGAAAACATTTAATGAAAAACCACCTGGGTATCTCGATCACTAGATAATGTCCTTGTGAACGTCACCCTGGGCTCATATGTTAATGCTTCACTGTGGGTTGGTGCTCCCACAGAAAATTATAACTGGGGAGAAGAAGCTGATACTCCAGAACCAGTGGGAGGAAGCCTCTGGTTCAGATTCTTGCTGTGGTAGGAAAATTTCTTTCTAAAACATTGAGCCTGATTCTGCTCTCACTTACACCAGTGTTAATCAAGAGTACTCCATTGATGTAAATGTGGCTACATGGTTGCAAAAGTGGTGTATTGGCAGTAAGAGCAGAGCTGGCCTGTTTGGGTTTTTTGGTCACATTTTCCTTAACGATCATTCTACCACACAGACAAGGAAATAATTTGTCTTATGGGATCTGATTTTCAAAGGGGCCTCAACCTGACCTTTGTTTATGTATGCACAACTTTGCATTTTCCTCTCTGCATTCTGTAGACTCTAGTCATTAAAGTTTTTCACTTGGAATGGTCATGGGGAATTGGGGAAATCCTTAACAGGATTCTTTTAGTTACCCCAAAAGTTCTTCAAATTAAAGTTTCTATAATATATGTGTAACATAATGGGGAAGCATTGTTATTACATTGCTCCTAGCCATATTTTTCATGTGGAATGGAATGTCATGAATGGTATTTGGGCTTCCCACCGTGGAGCTGCATAGTCATAATGGTGGTCACCTCTTTTATAAATCCATTTTCTGCTTGAAAACTGAGTCTTCACTGGTTACTGAAAGCAGTGGAGTAGGAAATATTGTCCAAAGGAGGAAACACGGATATTACATTAGGGCTGCAAAAGATTGTCCAAGTCTGTCAGCAATCCAGGATTGTGATCCATCAATGCAGGGCGCTGATTATGCAAATTGTCTTTCAGACTAAAAGAAACTGGGCTCCCCAACACTTAGATAAAATAAGGACCGAATATTTTCTGCAGGAGTTCCCAGAATCCACTGTAGTGGATCAATCAAGTAGTATCCTTGAGTCTGTGTACAATCAGGAATTAAATATATTTAATCCTAACTGTCCCTAATAGGAGTTCAACCGTGATGTTGCTGAGCTGCTGATATGGATGGAAGAGAAGTACAAGATTGCATCAGACGAGTCCTATCGTGACCCAACAAATATCCTGCGCAAACTGAAGTGGCATGAGGCTGCTGAGAAGGAAATGATGGCAAACAAGAAGCACTTTGCAGAGCTGATAATGGTGAGGGTGGATTCATTGTTGGAAAAGGTTTATCAGCTTGGCCAGTGTTCGATAGGTTTGGTTCTATTTGCAAAGTGCCTTTCTTGGTTGATTATAGGAGCCTGTAAAACAGCACAGTAGCCAACACAGCCAGTCGCACCACAGATACGTCTTTGATTAAGTGATGGTCTTGATTACTTTTTAACACCAAGTTTGCAAATCTTAGCATGGCAGATAAAGGTGTGGTGGGGTGAAGACAAATTATATACAGTGAGGGAGTTATTATTTTGTCTGGTTATTTTCCTGTGATAGTGGTAATTTCAGATGGGGCTCAGCAATGTGAATCATTCCATGTTTTTCGGTATGGTAGGTTTGATGTAGGAGAAAGCTTCAGGCTGCATGGTATTAATTGGAAAGAAACAAGCACAAGTATCAAAGTTGTTAAGATTAGAATTGATTGTGCCCCTTTTTGAGACCTTTGAATAATAAAATATATTTCCTCAGATTGGAAATCAGCTGATTCAAGATGACCATTATGCTGCAGATTCTATCCGGGACAAGATGTCAGAGCTGAAGAAGAAGTGGGAGAAATTGTACAACAAGATGTTAGAGCGAGGAGACAAACTGAGACAGGCCGGACAGCAAGAACAGCTGATGGAACTCCTCCAGGTCAGGTGGTGATTGATTTCAGAGGGGAGGGACTGGGCTGATCTGTTGCTCTCCATGTTGTCAGTTGCCACAGAAAGCTCATCACAAAGATTTGGAAACAGAGCAGCCCCTGAAGATCCCATCCTGTTGAAGGCTTAATTTTAGATTTTCCCAGCACCAAAGCGATAATTGTCACACAGGGAGTTTTATATGGCCTCAGCATACCAAGGATCCTAAGCTTGTAGGAGAATGAAGTAAGAAAGCCTCCAGGCTGTGAAGTTGTGCATTACCATCACTAAGGGAACTCTGGCGGTGGTGCAACTACAGTTGTGGATCTCTGAGCGTAAAGATATTGTTAAATATTTTGTCACTTGAAATATTCCAAGGGTTGGATTTTGGGAAACCTGTTTAAGGGGCTGGGACAGGGATAAACGTGAAAAAAATGTACACCTCAAAATGTTCCAGGAAGCACATGTTCATCTGCTCCTTGTAGGATGCAAAAGAGAAGATAGAAAAGATTGAGAAGGTTCTTCAGGATGCAGAGACAGGCCATGACCTGCGCTCCAGCCGCGATCTGCTCAAGCAGCACAGTCAACTGGAAAAGGAGACAGGGGAGTTGTCTGAGAAAATGAACTCCATTGTGTCCTGTGCCAAGAAAATGGCAACCAATCATTTTGATTCCCAGAAGATTCTGGATGAGACACAGAAATATCTGGAAAGGTGAGCGGGTGTTCTCTCACTTGTTGGGAGAAATGAATTCGTGGCAGAGCTCGGAACAGAACTTTAGTTCTTGATTCCTCATCTCCTGTTCTAACCACTAGAAAAGACTGTCTCTCAGCCAGCCAGCCAGGCATTCCTTCTGCTACAAGCTTCTGCCACAAAACTATGCTAACACACTTCAGTTTTACAACTGCCTGCTCCCCTGCCTCAGGTTCTGCTAGTGACCCTCAATCTTAATCTGCGACACTCCTGCCATTCCAGTCCTTGGCTTCCTTGCCAATCCTACCAAATTCTTGCTAAAGTGTGAGGTAGTCCAACATTTAATGGTAACTAGGTTCAGACCATTACAACTCATTTTGCTTGTGAACTAAGACTGATTTGAACCAACGTCTCCAAAAGTGAATCTCATTTCCCCCACAAACACACTAATTTAACACAATAACAATGTCAAAAAGTAAATTCCAGTTTCCTGTATTCCCAACGCTGGTTAAGATGGAGCAGAATTGATTGTTTAGAGTGGGTGTTAAACTGTACTCCTGCTTCCTAAATCTGTTTGCAGGGCTGGATTAAAGAATTTTAGGGCCCTGTGCACTCTGGTAATTGGGGGCCTGCCATAGTGGTGTGGGTGTCCCTGGGAGGTTGGGGGTAGGGTTTTGCCCCCTGGCGTGGGAGGCCTTGGAGGGGGGAATTGTGCCCACCCTGAAGTCACTCTACAGTGTCTCCTGTCCTGCAGGGCTGGTCCCACTCTCCATTCTGGCCCATTGGCTCTTGCCACAGCATTCAGACAGAGCCCTCCTCCTGTGATGCCCTGCTCCCTTTGTGGCCCTAGGTTGTTGGGGTTTTTTTTTTCTGTCTATGTGGATTGGTTTGTTTGTTTTTAACCGTGTCATCAGACTCCCTGAGTTGGGGGCCCTGTGCAAGTGCACCGACTGCACACAGATTAGTGTAGGATTGCCTGCTGGGGCTGCGAATGATATGGGCCCGTGGTGCCCATACTCCATCAATATTCAGGGCATGGGGGCCTGGCTCCACCGATGTTCAGGGCCAGGTCTCTCCCCCGGCCCCGTCTGCTGCCCCCATGCGCCTCTCCCAAACGACCCTGCCTGAGCCCTGGGCAGCGTGCGGCTTCCCCCTGCTGCTCCGTGCTGTACTCCGTTCTGCCGACTCCTGGCATCAACTGCCACCGCAGGGTCCTAGCACCCCGCACCACTAGTGCCAGGGCAGGCTGACCCAGGCTGACGCTGACCCTGACCCTGCCCTTCCACCTCCAATGGATGGACCCTTCCCTTTTCCAACGGGACCCTCCACCAGCACCGGGGGGCCCCTGCCCGCAGTCCCCACTCCTGCCCCACGCTGGGCAAGGGGAAGCCCCATCCCTCACCCCCAGTGAGGCTACAGTGAGGGGTAGCAGTAGGGGAGGAGGTGCATGCGTGATGGCAGCCTTCTTCCCCCGGCACCCACCACTGGGGAGGCGAGGGGGATTCCTGGACCTGAGAGGGGCCCTAGGAGCACGTGCAGTGACAGTGGTGCGAGGTGAGTGTGCTGCTGGGGAGGAGAGTGGGGTCCCTCCACCGGAGCTCGCTGCTACCGGCAGGGAGAGAGCTGGGTGGAGTACTCCTCTTTGGCCCCAGCCCCGGGGCACCTGCCTGCACCCCAAACTCCTCATCCCCAGCCCTGCCCCATCCCAGAGGCTGCACCCCAAGCCAGAGCCGGCCCTGATCCCCCTCCTGCACGGTGACCCCCTCATCCCCAGCCCCACCTCGCAGCCCTCACTGCCACCCCCCAACCCTCTTCCTGAGCCCTTCCAACACCCCAAATCCCTCATCACCAGCATCACCCCAGAGCCCTCACATTTTTACATTATTTAAAAAAATATATATCAGCTTACAAGGCAGGTGTTGGGGGGGTGGGACTTAGACCCGTTCTGGGCACGACCAAAAATTATACAAACCTGCTACCCCTGCCTGCCTGCTCTCCTTTGTAATGTGTACACTTACCATATCACATAACTTACATACAGATATGTGTGCCAAGAGCAGCCCTACTGAGAAGGCATTCTGTATGTGTACAGTGCCAGTCAGGGAGAGTTAGTAGCATGGGAAAGTGTCTGGCCTGTCTGAGCCTGCACTGCAGGTTCACAGGTGATTCCCTCAGATGACTCTGGAGATAACTGCACTTTAACATGTGATCCTCAGGTTTAAGTCTTTGCAGGTGCCTCTTGATGAGAGGCACCAGCTGCTGCAGGCAACAGTGGATCTGTACCAGTTCTACCATTACTATGACATGGAGATGAATTGGATCAGTGAACGATTGCTCATTGCCAACTCCACCAACTGTGGCAAGTCCTTGGATATGGCTCAAAGCCTGCTCCACAAACACAAGGTAACTGCTTTCTGTTACCCCTTCTATAGGTGTGATGGGAGCAAAGTGTATATCAGACACCCTATTGCCCCCACACCTAGAAACCTACAGCTACACATTTCCCTTTTGCTACCCAGAATGCCGTTACAAATGAGCCCACTAAGCAGAAGGAGACAACTGTTATTAAAGCTAAACTCTCCCTGGCATGCAATCTCGAGAACTAAATATTTGACACTGTCCCAGTTAAGTAATTCCAATAACTTGAGACATGCATATGATCCAGCCATATAATGGAGGATTTTCAGAGTGAACATGGAATTTCTGATGAAACTGAAGTATCTATCAATTCCTGCAGAAACCATTCTTCTCACAGTATTATGAGGAAATCACTAGTTTTGCATTAAAAATTCTTAGACTGATGCATTACACACTAAATATAATGAATGATTTTGCTCTTTTCTGGGTGGAATACTTCTGCTATTCCTTGCTTGCTTGTGTTTTAACTATATAATTACTATTCTCATCAGGGAGTTAGTGTCAGAGAGAGATGCATGCACACTGCAGTCTCCAGGACAACATAAAACAGATATTTAAACTTCACTCTAGTGCGATGACTGACATAAAAACTTTTGAAGACAGCAGTGTAACTGTGAAATGACAGTTTAACAGAGTAAGATTTCTGTGGAATTTGCTTTGTGGTTTTTAGTTGTCTTTCACAGATATCTGTTAGCCCTGCTGCTTTCTAGCCTTAGCAGACAGCATCATGCTGATGAGCTAGACTCTGATGCACGTGTTCCTCTTCTATTGGCAACAGAAGGTTGCATTTTGGTAGGTTACCCCAGAAGCAGCTCATCTTAAGGGAGCATCTAGGTAGAGACCCACTGTGTCTTGCAAACTATGTATGCGCTTCTAATTTCCCACTTCTGACAACTGTGCTCCACTTTCTTGCATACTGTCCTGCCCTCACTTACTCTTCTCTCCCTCTCTCCCCCACCCTAGGAATTACAGGCAGAAGTGAATGCCCACAAACAGCAAGTTCAGAGGGTGTTGGAGAAGGGAAAGACTGTGACTGGGTGCAAGCACTCTTCATTTCAGAGAATAAAGGAGAAATGCCAGGAGCTCAGCAACAGCTGGGTGGAGCTGGAGAAGGCCTGTGAAGAGAGGCTGAAGCAGCTGCAGCGTTCTGTTGGCTTCCAGCAGGTATGGCTCACAGCAAAGTGACACCAACGTTTTTTCGGGCTAAGAGGAGAACAAAGTGATTTACACAGAAAGCAAACCTGGTTTAAGGTCTCAGACCATTAGGGCTGAAATTCGCTTCCTCCACATAAAGCCAGAGCACTGTGGGTGGTGGGCACTGGGCAGGACTGGGGAGGCGGGTCGGGATGCAGAGCTGTAGCAGTGTCTCCTATCGGAATTTGGTATTCTCGTCGCCTGGAGCACTAGCTACAGCCTGGCTCCACCACTCGCTCGGTGAGATAGGACGACTGGATCCCTATCATTGCAGGTCTTTTGGTTCCTGCCTGGTCTGCTCCTATTTCACCACCATCTCTGCCCTCCTCTCCAGTCAGTGGGCCTTATCCCAACGCTCTGAAGTCACTGGAGGGAATTCCTTTGACTTCAGTGGGATGTGGATCAGGCCCTATGTATAACAGATCCCCTTAGTGGTGCACATGGGGTACACATGTTCCCCTTACTAGCCACTTGGATTGGCAGTATCCACACACAGCCCCAAATTGGGGTTTAAGTGGTGCAGAGGGCCTTAAACTGGCCCTCCATGCCAGAGTAAATTTCACCCTAACAAAAGATGGGCCAAAGTTTCAAAGGCAAGCATTTAAAATGAGCCTGTTAAAAATTGCACATGAATACTCTTCTGGCTAATCCAGATTTTCTGTCATATATGGGTAATTAGCAGGGCAGTAACCCAGTTTGCATATACATTTTTTCCACAAAGGTGTATGCACAAAGTTTGCTGGTGCACCTCAAACACTTGCCATTGATAATCTGGCCACATCTGTGTCTCATTTTCCCCACTGTGAAAGAGGTATAACACTTTGCCTTCATGGTAGAGGTGTTATGAGGCCCTATCGTATTTATAAAGTACTTTGATCTCCTCAGAAAAGGGGAGTATATAAGTGCAAAGTTGGTGTTATAGAGTGCCAGGCACCAACAGCGAAAAGGTCAAGCGAAAGCAGCAAATACTGGATACTGATGTGAAGGGAAAGAGCTGGGGCACTCAAAATTAATTCTAGGGGTTTAATACCCTAAAAGAGGCCTTTCTTAAAATGAGATCCTCCAGATCTGGCCTTGTCCTTCTGCACAAGTTTTGATACAACAGTGTGTCCAAGATCCTGCTAGTATATTGCAGGCAGTAACAATAAAACCAGTCCCTGTAGCTTAACTTGCTATCTGAAAGAGCATCTTCTTGGGTAAAAGGGCTAAAAGCTAATCCTTTGTGCCCCTGCACCTATTACTGAGCACAAATGGTGCTTACACAGGTCTGCAGCCTAGAATATGTGGAAACAGTGAAGGTCATGATATCATCCAGAATTGAATTTCTTGAGATTGACCCCCAAAGGAACAGTTTATTTTATAGTGCAATCTGCAGTTAGAGTTTATCAGATTGAAGGAGAGACATTAACATTGTGAGGGAAATAACTGTATTTTTAATTGGTAGTTTTTACTGAATACCTCAGACCTGGAGACTTGGGTATCAGAAAAGCTTCCATTTGTGACCAGCAAAGACTATGGCAAAGATGAGGCTGCAACTCTGAAACTCCTCAAGAAACACAAGGTAACTGAGTGTTATTGCCAAGGTAATTATTCTTGAGGAATGTAGCATAGACCATTCAGAGACTATAGTGGTCCCTCCTAGTCAGGGGAGCCTGCTTGGGACGAACTGTAGGAAAGATCCTGACTTAAAGGGTTTGAAGATTGAGTGTCTGTCTTTGGAGAAGGCTGGCTCTTATAGATAAAGCAATGGTTTAATGGCAAATTTTTCTTGGTCTTTGTGTGTCATTCCTTGGAATAGCAGAGTCTAGGAGTGCCACAGAGGTAGTTCACTGGCCCTGGGAGTAAAAGAAATGTCTCACATTGTTTAACACCATTAATTCTGACTGATTAAAGAGCGATGATGCAGGCTGCTGAGGACTTCTCAGTCTGTCTCAACTTAAAGTATGTTCAGGATGCAGGATGTTGAGGGCAGGGGCTATAAAGCAAGGGGTGGGAGGAATGCAGGGACCATCCATTCTTTAACAGGGACATAAAGAACTTTTCATCCCCAAACCCAGTTCTGGGTGGTAGAAGTTTTAAAATGAAGAAACATGTAGAATGACGTCTCTCACTCCAAAGGAAGCCGGGCCATTCATCCCATGCCATTTTACACACACTGAGCATGAAAAGGATCTTTTTCAGATTAGGGGTGGAAAAATATTTTCTCTGTGTACCTTTAGAAATCCATTCATTACTCTTTCTTTCCTCTAGTTCACTGGTGAGCAGCCGAAGGTTGCCCATCACTGCCCTGGTTGGTTTTCCCCAAAGTTAATGTCAGGGAAGGCTTCCTTCCTAAGCAGTGCCCTGCTTAAATTCTCTATGGTGGCAGCATGGTCTGCCAGATTGTCTGTCTGAAGCTTTCTACTGATCGGATCAACAAGGGGTCTGACTATCTAGAGGATTTTTTTAATTTTATTTTCAGTTGCTTGAAACTGACATGTCTGCAATTCAGAATTGATTTGTCTGTGTGCATTCACACTAATCCCTGGATCAGTACTGGAAGGACAAACTCAATGTACTGTTGCATCTGGAAAGAGCTTGACTTGGAAAACAAAACTGAGAGATCTGGAGACTCATTTCTGTGAGCAAAGCACCAACTATGTCCTGCTGTGCAGTGTTTAGTCACAAAGGGAGATAGGGATGCCCTACTTTGCTCCAGAGTTGAAAACAGAGATAGATTAGTCATTATTCTGGGAATATCTTTCCCTTTCCAGCCATGTAGCAGGCCTCTCTAGTTGTGTTTATTTGCTTAGGCGTTGTATTTTTTATGAAAAAGTTAGTACAAATATTAACTAAGAATGTTTGTGTCAGGGAAAGCCCGTATCCTGCTTTGGAAATCTGGGCTTCTCCTTTTGGTGCCTCACTGGTCATGGCTGACGCTGCTGCCAAGGTTAATGGACTGTAGGGACTGGGTAACTTATTCTGCTATTTTTTTTCTTGCTATCAGGCATTGGAACATGAAATTGAGGTTTACAAGAATTTGATGCTAGAGCTGGGTAAAACTGCCAAAACCCTTCCTCTCCCTGGCTCCATCCAGTTTGATGAGGTTGATGCCCCACAGGAACAAGTTCACTCTAAGCTCCGGGAGTTACTGGAGCTGGCCACAGCAAGGTATGGGCTAGAAAAATAATTGTCTCTACTACCTGCCTCTTCTGGGTCCCTTAATGCATCCTGGGTTTGATTCAAAGGCCATTGCAGGCGGTGGAGTCTTTCCACTGATCTCAATGGGCTTTGGATCATGCCCCATATCTCTTCTGTCTGTTTCATTTTGAGCTCTCCAGGAAATGGACTGTCTATATTTGTATCCTGTGCAGTACTGAGGTGCTACACAAATAATTATAAAAAAAAGAACTGTACATTTGTTGCACCTGAGCTGTTCAATAAGATTTCTTTACTATTGAAGATGCTAATTCCTCCCATTTCCCCTTTTCTGTTCTTCATCCTCGAGCAAAGTGATTTTGGATTCTGGATTATCTCACATACTTATTCATCTGCCTGCTTGTTGGAGTCTAACTTCACAGGTGGAACAAAGGAATTGTATTTCTGGAAGTGGTGCCTATTGTTTTCTTGGTGCGTTACCCAAATGGACAGATGTAATGATAGAATTATACCTTCCCTTAAGACTGAGGATTTGTTAATACAAGAGGGCTTTCATCCTGTAATATTAGTCACTTCCCCCATTTATGACTAGATGCTCAAAACCAAGAGAGCTGGATTATGCCTAAGATTTTTAGACTCTCCAAATTTAGCACTAGGAAGAAGCAAATATATACCTGAATTGTTTAATTTCTTGCCCCACAGAAATGTCGTTCAGAGAGAGGCCAGGAAGTTCGTAAGATTAGTAATGAGACAAGCCTAGTTGAAAGTTGGAATTTACAGAGGCACAGGAAGTTCTGATACGTCAACAATTGTTTTCAGCCTGATTCCTCACAAAAAAGTTGAAACATTGAAATTGTTCATGGAATGGAAAGTTCAGAAAAAAATGAATTCAGAAATGTCAAAATATTTGGTTTTGGTGTGATGGGCAGAATAGCAATGATTTGTTTGGTCTCATTTTGACATTGAACAGTGTGAGCGTGAGCTGCTCTGGTGCCTCATCTGGTCTTCACTGGCTGGACTATGTCTCCCAGGATGCACAGTTGTGATTCAAACAGAGGAGAGACAGCAGTGCATCACTGGGAGATTTATCTTCAGGAAGAACACCAAATATTGGGAGACTTGCAATAAAGTCCCAAGAGTTGGGGGAATACTGCCATTTCCATGGTTCTGATTGGCCAGGCACATTAACAGCTGGAAAGTTGGTCTATTTTATCTCCACCTAGTCCTTAAAAGATGTTTGACTGTACCACAAGAGACCTAAACAATCTGGCAATCTTTGCTCAGGGAAGTGCAGCGAATTGTGGGAATGTTGCTTGTTGGGCAACATTAGCAGAGCTACGTAAGGTGATTTTCCCAGCACTTGCCTTGCTGAGCCTCACTCTCTGTAGTGTGGATTTCCTTCTCACTTTCGTAAGTATCGCATTTATCCGTAGAAATAAAAATGATCAGGAAAAAATGGAGGGAATTTTCCTGTGCTGTGGCTAGTATCCGGGCAGAGCAAAGCTCAGTTAGCCAATGCTGGGGAATGGTAAAGAGGTTGACAGAGCTACAGGCTACCATCCTTCAAACTTGATTTCCAGTCTTTGGGGTTATTGTGAGAACTCTCAGATCATGAACCTAATTTTCTTTCTTGGAGAGAGCCCCTCATTCTCTTCCTTATTTTATGCATTGTGTAGATATTTATATTCCGATTTCTCCCTGTTGCTCTCTCTAAACAGAGGGAAGAAGCTAGATGAAACTCTTGGTCTGCATGAGTATCTGAGGGAGTATGAGGACCTGCAGGACTGGATCAATCAGCAGAGGCAGGTGGCCAGCTCTGATGATTATGGCAGTGATTATGAACATGTCCTGGTGAGTTAATGGTAACAAACACAAGCAAAGTTTACCTGATTTCATACTGTAAAAATGTCAGGTATGGAGTGTGACTGTGTATAAAGAAAAAAAAAGTCCTCTGACCACACGCTGCTAGTTGTCATCTCTCACCCTGCATTGGAACCCATACGGGGTATCATTAAGTAGTTATGACCCATACTCGATGGTGACCGCACCCTGAAAGGAATCTTTCCCAAATCCCCTCTTCCAGCCTTCCAACAACCCTTGAATCTCTCCAAGGTCATCATCAGAAGCAAGCTCCCCACAGAGTAGTACCCACCAACTCAAAGCGGCACCAGACCCTCCCAGAATAGCAGATGCAAACCTGCAAGACATATTTCCACTGCTACAATGATCAACACCCCCCACAACACACCTTTTAAGATCCGGGGGTCTACATATGCCTATCACATGTGCTGTACCTCAGGCAGTGCACCATACGACCCAATAACAGCTATGGGGGTGAAACCAGACAGCCACTTTGCTTTCAAATGAATTTACACAGAAAAATGATAACAGACAAAATCACCACATCACCCATGGGCAAACACTTTTCACGAAACAGTCACTCCATATCTGACCTCTCAGTCCTCATCCTCAAAGGAAACCTGCACAACACTTTTAAAAGACAAGCCTGGGAGCTTAAATTCATAACTTTGTTAGACATGAAAAATCATAGACTGACTACTAGAGACACTGGATTTATGGCTGATTACAACAATCTATAACCCACGGACCCACCTTTGTCCTCCAACTTCAGAAGTATTAACTGCCCACTTCACCTTGAATGGTCTCTTGCAAGATGTTGACTCCTTATGCTAAACAATCTCTTTCACCTTGTGTTTAGCTGTGACACTCTGAGTACCTTTCCCAGACCTAAATAAGAGCTCTTGTGTAAGCTGGAAAGCTTGTATCTTTCACCAGCAGAAGTTGGTCCAATAAAAGATGTTACCTCATCTATTTTGTCTCTGTAAAGTATGTCATAGTTAGTGAAAATCATGACAGCAGTATGGATGGGGGTAGAAGAGAGGAGAGGAATGAAGGTAATAAAATAAGGAATAACGCTGATCAAGAGAAAATGCAAATGAGCTATTAAAGGAAAAAATAACAACACTTAGAAAATAAAAGTTTCATTGGCTGTAACAGGCTGGCAGGGTTGACTAACACGTCCACCCTATTACAAGAGGAGCTGGCTAAAAAAGAGCTAAGTGAGTGTTGACTCCTGTTAAAAGAGGTTGGGAGTAGTCCTCGGAGGAAGGGGTAAGTGAAATGAGCTAGGCCTGAGAAGAAGGTTTACATCAGAATTGTGAAGCAAGCCTGAGGCGAAGGCTTCAGATGGGAGGGTTTTCTGTATAACTGTTCAAAACTATTTGTTGTGAGACTTTGTTTTCTGAAACACTGGTATTTTGTGTGGCTGATTAAGTTATATTCATTAGGGTTGACCTTGGTAGGAGTGGCTTTCATTCAGTGCCTAGCTGACAGAAGTCTACATCACAAAAACCACCGACACAGTTGGCACTGTAGTTGTTAGAGCATGGATTGAATAGACCATGGAGACTGAGCTATGTCCCATCCTAAGTGGGATTCACTCACCATAACATGCTTGTGCTGTACCCTGTTCGGAGAATAAAGAGTGGACTTTGGTCAGTCACTGAATTTTATTATAATGGAAAATTTTTCCAAGGGAAATAACTGAAGCAATAGCATTAAAGACAGTTACAGTTTAGTAACACTTAAGTGCTGAAGAGGTCTTGTGTAGGCCTTCTGCACAAGGGTGATGTTCACCATTAGGAGATTACTACTACTTAGAGGATAGTCCTAATTGGTATACGAGAGGTAGACTAGATGACCCATGAGGGATTTTCTAGCCCTGACAGTCACTGCATGGTTATGTCATTTACGTCACACTATTTCATAACATACAGTCCATTCCTTCCAAGGTTCTCAAAGTGCATCGTGAACATTAATGAATGATTTTCAATTGGTGATGAGCCAGAATTGGAACTCTGACTCCAACTCCTGCCACAAACATTTTCAACAGGAGTTTTGGAATTGATTACAGGACTGGATCTGTGCACGGTGACTTGGGTCTGTCTCTGTAATGAGTCATACTGGAACACTGAATCCTAAAATGCCTGTGCTTTGGGAAATTGAGATTTGGATCCACTCCCAGTGCTGAGCATTGTGGCTCAGGTCCACTCTATATTTTGATCACCAGATACTTAAAGTAGTGTCCATTTAATAGATTTTGGTCACAAATATTAATGGGTAGACATCTAACTACCTATCTTCATCTACCATTGAAGTCTGTAGGAGCTGTTAGGTGCTCACCACTCTTGAAAATCAAGCCACTCATTTAGGCCACTCACTTTATATACCCCTTTTAAAAAAACCTTGGCTTGTGCAAAATTGTGTCCACAAACATGGAGGTTGGACTGAGGCGGACTGAAAATTTAGCACTGAATATACATGTGTATTCATACCTTATGTGTATATTATTTAATAATATGAACTCAATTTAATTTTCATTGTATGTTTGCAATAAGTTAGATCAGGTGTCCAGTTATTTTTTATTTTGGGATGCTTCTACCATTTGCAATATGCTCTCTGCCTCTACCTGCATCGTAGAGCTAGCAACATTCTTTCACTTTTCTAGCTAATCTATAGACCTTGTTGGTCTTTTGGAGCAAAATTATTTACTCACAGTCAAGCTTCATGTCCCTAAGGTCACCTGCCAATTGCTTGCCGTTAGGCTATATTCAGTAGGCAGCTGAGCAGATATCCACACGGAACAGTAGCTTCCCAAACCAAGTCTGATCCCTGTTTTTTGTTCCTCTTTCAAAAGCATCTTTGTGCCAAATATGATACGTTCCAGCACCAGATGGAAATGGCTGCTAAGAGAGTTGCAGCTTACCAGCAGCTGGCAGAGAACTTGTTGGACCACGGGCATTCGGAATCCAGACAGATCCAGCAGAGGCAGAAGGAGCTACGGTAAGAGACTAGCGGTGGCTCTTTTCTTCATTCTTCTTTCAGTTCCTACCTCGGGGGACCAAACGGGAAGAAATCCAGGAAAATGGAAGACATGCCCACACAATTCATTAGTTAATAAATGTACGACAATGAGGACCAGAAAGGAGATGTGGCTTGTTCTGAAATGATGCTAGTGGCAACTTCATTGGCACGGGACAGCCAACATGCTTTGTTCTTTAAAAAAATCATCATAGTATCAGCTTTCTGATTTGGCAGCTCGTGCAGTGGACCAGAGACCTTTAACAATCAGTATCAGTGAGAGTCCTGTGTCATTTTAAAGGGAATCATTTAACTGGGCTGCTAGGAGGTTAGTTGTGTCTTTATGATCCGGTTGGCATGGTCAGTGAATAGAGCACTCGACTGGGATTCAGACCTAGGTTCTCTTCTCAGCTCTGCCACTGCCTGCTGGATGATCTTGGGCAAGTCATTCCCCCCACTCTGTGCCTCAGTTTCCCCAGCTTTGAAATGAGGATCGTGAAGCTGACCTCCTTTATAAAATACTTGGAGACCTATTGAGAAAAGTGCTATGAAAGAGCTAGGTATAAAAAAAGTCAAAACATTGAAATTGTTCATGGATCAGATAAAGACTGTGGTTGAATTGAGCTGAACTAGGCTGGTATTCCACAGAGGCACATAATTTCTGCAGAATGTTACCTTTCACTTAAAAAGAATGGAGGCCCTGGATTCTCAGTTACACTAGGGCCTCTTTACCCTGCCACCAAGGTGTAAGGGGGCCTTAGCATAAATGAGAAGTCAGGACTACCTTGCTATTACTAGTGGTTGTGAAGACAACCTTCCAAACATGAATGAATCTAATGCAGCCTTTCAGAATCTGACAGTTAGAGTTAATATCATGGAGACGTGCGAGCTGCCCCATTCATCTCAGTGCATGGTAACACTGAAGGCTAATAGGGACTATTTAAATGTCAGCATTGTTCACAGTCTCTCTGCTGATTATCTGAAACATCAAGCTGCTCCAGGATTGTGGCTGGAGCTTAAGCAGAGTAACACCACTCTTTTTCCTCCCCTCTCTCACTCTCCATCTGTAGTCACACAGACAGATTTAGTTTTTCTAAGCATTCTAAAAAAATAATGTTTTTCTGTTTGAGTGTGTTCATTCTTCAGGTATGCTCACAAGCCCTCCTTTTATACATACTCATCTGACTTTGTCATGCTTCTAATTTTACCTCTTAGGCTCTCCCTCCCTGGTTCTCATATTTTCATTCTCCTGTTGTGGACTATGATACACATGAGATGGGCCCTTCGCCTACCCGCAAACCAAAATCCAGTCCAGGAAGTAGAAATCTGAATCTCTTAGAAATTTAATAGCACCTAAACCATTTGGCTTCAATCATCCTATTACACATTACAAATAAAATGTAAAAAAGCCTGCTGTGGCATAAACTGCTCACAAAAATACAGTGCAACTGAGTGGGAGATTTACCTTTTATTTTTGTTGACTGCCTTTCTGCTGCTACCTCCTTTGGATCCTACTATGGCATGTATTTGAATAGCCTACATTTGACCTTGACAGGAACTGTTGTAAGATTGACTCAGTGATGGGAAACACTCACTGTTGCAAGGGAATCGCCTCACCCAGGCATGGTGGCTGAAGCAAGAGACTAAACAGGGGTCTTTTTAAAATTGTTGCTCCTCCTATTCATCTTATTTGTCTCCATTTCACACCCTTGCATGGTCTGTTTCTCCATGGCCCTTTGCAGGAACTCCTGGGAAGAGTTGTTGGAGATGACCTGGTTACGAGGCGAGCGACTGAAGGATGCGGAGGCAATTCACAAGAGTTACCAAGACCTGACAGATGCCCTCACCCACATTGAGGTAAAAATCATGGTGAAAAAACATAGGAGGTGGGTCTTTAATTTCTGCCTAGTGCTGTAAGGGTCTCTAGGACACCCACCATTCCTACCTTTGGCTTGTTGAGTTTCCCTGCAGAAAAGACCCATACCTCACAAGCCACTCTGACCAGAAGTGCTGACAAAGACACCTGTGGAATCCCTCAAAGACTGAACTTGATCTGCTGGCAGGAGCAGCTGCTGGAGCTGTATAAGTCACTAAACACCTGCCAAGCTGTGTGAGCAGCAAGAGGCTGAGCCTGGACTAAATTGCCTCATATTGCAGCACATACTCTCATGCTAGTTCTAGTCCATCACGTCAGAGTAAAAAGGCCTTGTTGTTCACTGCCTCATTGGGCTCCCCTTTACAGCATTGGCTCTCTCTACACTAGAGAGAGTATTTTCCAACAAAAAGGCATCTCCTTAAGTGTGAATCAGAGGAGGAAATCCAACATGGCTTCCAATGAGCAAAGCAGTAGGATTTTGCTACTTTATGAGCTGGATTTTCCACTTACTCACACTGTCATAATTCTGTTGACTTAAATTGAGTTACTCCTGATTTGAGCTATTGTAAGTGAGTGGAGAATCCATCCCCTTATCTCACGAGATACTACCTGGGATTTTGAGAGACTGTGCATATGCGTAAACGTACTAGTAGTTAATTTTGTGACAAAAGTGCTGGACTGAAAGCTCTACAGGCCCAGACTCTTGGTTTATCCATAGGTTTGGGTCAGCCCAGCCAGCGGCAATGTTTCCCTCAGGCTGCCCTGCTAATGGACCTCAATGGTAACCTGGATGTACTACACCTAAGGTTAGAATGGTCATTCCATAGTCATGACCATGCGTTCGTTGGGCTCTCAGCTGAGACTGCGGCCAACCGGTGGCGGTTGTAATGATGGTTTGTATGTTGCGAAGGCCTGTTGTCAAAGAAGTGGACTGAGACCCTCAACTAATTACCAATGCCTCTTCTGAGTAGGTCATCAGGTGCCACTATAAGAGCTATTCAAGGCCTACCATTGTCACAAGCCTGGTCAGACTTTTATTTCCGTGGGCTGAGAGGTAGTCATGCATCATAGCACACAGTGCTACTTCTAGTCCATTTGGCCAGCCTAAAAGGTATTGTATGCCCCACTGCCTCATTGTGTTCATCTGTCTTTTCTAGAACATTACCATTTTACATGTTGAAAAGAATTCTTGGCAACCAAATGCAAGGGATTCTCCGAATAATTTTGTTTTTAAATCAAAAGGGTCAGTCCAGGGTAGATCTCAGCATACTTGATGAATTGTCTGCTGCTCTGTGTGTCTCTGGATACCCCTTGTGTCAGTGGGTCATCTTTCTCTTACTCTTACCGCATGGGTCTTCAGTAGCCTGTGTACACAGAGCCTTCAGCACTTCAGTACAGACCTCTACCATTTCCGCTAAAGTTACTCCATTAAGTGGAGCAGTAGTAGGCTATTATCCTTTAGTGGCCTGACCACTAGGGGGAGCTGTAACACACACTGCCAGTGGGTTACACTCAGATTCCATATAATGTCTTAGGGCCAGATTCTGCCAGCTTTATATTGAGCAATACCTTTGAACAGTCCCCGTGAGAAGTCCTTACTTGCAGACAGGGCCGGATTTACACCTTATGCGCCCCTAGGCACAGCATCTTCAGCACCCTCCCTCCCCCTGCCTACAGCTGACCTTCATGTTTTCCGTAAAAAATGAAACAAAACAAAATATAAACACAGCCTCCCCAGGAAGGCACGAGACCCTCCGCCATGCACGGCGCTCTCAGCCCGAGCCAGGGCACAGCTCACCTACCCCAGGCGAGGTGCAAGGTGGGAACTGTACCTCTCCCCATGGCGAGCAGTTTCCCAGTTGTCTTCCATCCCTCCTACAGCATGACACGGCAGCCGTGCTCTGGCTCCGCCCGTGAATGGGGCACCAGTCATGCCCCTTCTTCTCCCTCCCCGGCAAGGGGTGGAGGCAGCAGGGTGGCCGAGATTGGAAAGGGGCTGGTACACTCCCAGCACTTTCAGCAGCCACCCCACCTGGCCACAGCTCACAGCACCCCCAGGCGGGTTGACTCAGACACTCACCCTGCTCCAGCCCCATACACTGGGCAGCCACCAACCCATGCCAGGAACCTGGCCGCCCGCAGGGGAGCTGTATATATTAACTTTTACCCCACTTTTAACTTTTAGGCACCCCTAGAATGCCAACACCCCTAGGCATGTGCCTATTGTGCCTAATTGGAAATCCAGCCCTGCTTGCAGAGTAAGATAGGTCCCCTGTAACATGAGTAAAGCTCTCAGAAGTGGACTCTTAATGTTTGTGCCTTGGGGTGTTCATTAACAAAGCTCCTATTAACTCTTTCCTTGCTAGGAGAAGTCCAAGAGCATCCCCGATGACACTGCTAAGGACATGAGTGGCGTGCAGTCCCAGCTACGCAAACATGCAGCCCTTGAACACGAGCTCCTAGGGAATGAGCAGCAGGTGAGATCAGTCACTCACACTCTTTAATGTGCAGCCAACAGCCTGGATTCCAAGCCAGCTCCAGCAACGCTTTCCCACAATTAACTTGTCTGTCAGAGCCTGGAATGGTCTCCCTCAAAGCCTGCTCTTTCTTTTAATGTCTTTGAGTATTGGTGATAGGTATGAAGTGGGTGATTTAAAACATTAAAAACAAGACAGGCTTTATAATTCGGGCTGACTCTGAAATGGATCAGAAGGTTGATTCTGATAACCACTTGAAATGGGTGCTTATGCCAGGCTTATCCCTCCTGTCAAAAGCATCCCACTATTCATTGGATGCCTCTCTCGTCAGATGAGAGAGGCATCCAATGAATAGTGAGATGCTTTTTCCATTGCTGTGCCCAGCAATGGATTCACCAGCTGGTTAGAGGGAGTTATGGAAGGGGAGAGGGAGGTGGGAGCTCACTGGGATAGACTTTAGGAATTCTGACAGGTTTAGGAGGTTGGAGAGAGGAGGGCAAGTTGGGAATATGAGGCTGGGGCTTGTTATACAAACTTTTTAAAAGGCTCAGGTCACGAAAAGTGCTGTTATTCAGACAGAGTCCTGTTTTGTCCAAAGAGACATGCTTGGCTCTGGCTGTAAGAATGAAATTCATGCAGTTTGTCTCTTGGTAACCCAGTTTAATAAATGCAACATCAGAGTACTGACAATATGTTACATTGACATTACTAAGGCAGCATACCACTGAAAGGGCAAGGGCTTGACACCTAGACCTTGGGCTATCCATAAGGAATGGCACACTGGAATTAACCAAACCAGCTGCATGAGACCTTTAAAGGGAAATGAGGCAAGACAAATATCCATAAAGAACCTATCTGTGATAAATCTAAACAGCCCCTATCCAAAACAGGGTAGGGACATTTGTTCTCCTGGGATAGTCATATCTGACACATCCCTCACCGCCTCCCATTTTTACAAATGGGACAGTGGAAAGAGGAGCTGTGACCTGAAATAGGTAATGAGACATTTGCACTGCTGTGATGAACCTCAGCAGACATTGGATGTCACTGTTACTGTCACTGTAGTTATATGTGACTATAGCTGGCACAGGAGAAAACTTTCTTCTGAAGAGTGTAATTTGAATTCTGATGCCTTATGCAGTTGATATAGATCTTATCATTTCTGTGATGCTAACTGGCCCTCCATGATCTTCCCCTTCTTAACCTGCATGATGACTTTATCCCCACTGCAGCTGCAGGAGCTGATTGATGCTGCAGGCAGTGTGCTGGCCCGGTGCTCTGAGAGACAGGTGGCAGACCTGCAAGCGAAGCAGCAAGCAGTAGTGGAGAACTGGGAGTCCCTGAAGTCTAAAGTGGAACAGCGCAGGGAACATTTGGAACAGGCCTGCAAGCTTTACCAATTTCAAGCAGATGTGAGCACTCCTGCCTTTCTGTATTTTCATTGTCTATTAATGCACAAAGAAATCTGACTTCATGTTATGTGAGCATGAGCATGTGTGTCTGGCACACAGGTCTATGTGACAGAATGTGAGCGCAGACAGGTGTTTGTGCATGCCATTTGCTAAGTGTATGAGAGCTCACAGTTGTGAGTATATATTAGTAGATGGGGAAATATTGTGCCAGTGTGCAAGGGATGTTCATATGTGGACATATATGAGGGTGTATGTTTTGTAGGGCAACTGGCAGAAGTTGACATCAATGTGCAGGTGGAGAAGGAGGTAAATCTAATTTTCTCAGAGTGTGAGCACCTGCAAAATCCCATTGAAGTCAATCGTAATTGCTAATCCTCAGTATCTCTGCAAACCAACACCTGTCTGTCCATGTAAGCATGAGCGTTGATAAGGGAATGGACAAGTGGATGATTCTGTGGGTGTCATCTGTATGTGCATGTATATAGGGGAATGAGTGACAATGGACCATTTCAACATTTTGTTTCTAATCGGCAGTTTCAAAACAAAATATCAATTGGAATCAACTTCGGAAGTATTTTTGTTTTGACCCAAACCATTTTTTTCCAGTTCTGTTTTAATAAGAAAAACTGAAAAATTCAGATTTGGTTGCAAATTAACCAAATATTTCGGGGGATTTCTTTGGTTCAGCCACTGAACTGAAAGATCAATTATTTGCTCAGCTCTAGGAATGACCCCACGGTGCTGTAGGCAGCTGGTGCAGAGGATAGCATGCTGCTCTAACCTGCAGCTGAGTTCTGGCTCACTGCCAAATGCCCCCAAGTTCTGGTGAGCAAAAAGGGTCATGCTGCTTCCCTTCTTTCTAGCTGTGCTGAGTGCTCTTCGGGGCCATTGAAATTATGTGAAAGGCAGTTGTAACAAATAAGAGGTAATATTTTTACTTTGTTGATTTCTAGATAAAGAGACAACTGTGTATTCATTTGTCCTGGTTCATGTTGTGAATCCTTTAATTTAAAGAAATCAAATAATCATTACTGTAGAAAGGGACTTCTTCTGGGTTATCTAGTGCTTCCCTCTGCATTGTGTCAGGTTTGATTTCATTGTGACTAAACAGCAGGGCTGGCCCTAGTGACCACGGGTCCTATGACAGCAGAGGGCTCCAAATCTCTGGAGGAACCCTCAGTGGAAGCAGGGTTTAAAGTGGGTTTCATGGTTTAGTAAAGGGCATGGGCACCCATGTGCTGAAGTTTGCACTAGACTCTATGTGGTTTCAGGCTTGCTCTGCTCAAGAGTCTCCTATAGATTGGAGTCTTTTCTGTCCTTGCATATTTCCAGCAATAGTTCAGTAAACCCCTGTGGCTGCTGGTTCATTCCAATGCTCTGAATAGCCCTAGATTTATGAAAAAAGAAAAGGAGGACTTGTGGCACCTTAAATTAACAAATTTATCTGAGCATAAGCTTTCGTGAGCTACAGCTCACTTCATCGTTTTTTTCCCAAACACTTAAATCTCAGTGAGCCTGAGATATTTGCACTGTGTCAAGTGGAATGTCAGTGACTTGCGTGATAGCCAGCCCTGACTCTGAATTACAGCCGTGCAAGCTGAAATGAAATCTGCACACATGCACTGAAATGACCTCCTCAAAAATTATCATAGTTACTGGTGAGGGTCACGTACAAATCATAGTCACTGGTCACGGCACACATTTATAATTGATTAAATTTTCAAAATGAAGCATCTGAGTGCAAAGCATGCAATCACGCATGCAAATGGAGCATGATTATTTATTTTCTGCGGTGGAGTTTTAGTACCCTGCAATAAAAGATCACCCATGCAATGCTCTTCAGGCCTTTGACAATGTGTTTCAAGTACACTAATTAACAAATAGATCCATCCATATCCACAAGATCACCTCAGATAGCCCAGGGACAGTTTAAATATCACAAAAAGTTACGTAATCTTCCCATGAGCATCCCATGCCCTCCTGTTTTTGACAGGACCACAACCTTTATTGTACACTCAAATGAGAGATCAACAGTAAGTGGGCAGGTTGGGGTTCAATCAGTTAGGTGCACAAAACTGTGCTCACAGACATGTAGAATTATTTTTAGCTTTACGACTTTCCTCAGCCACATTCTGAAAATAATTCTCAGGTGTTTGGTGCGTGTTCTTGTACATCACTGCCCCAGCTGAGAGCTTCAAATGCTGTCTCCGAAATTCTAACTGTGACTATCTGCCTGCAGAATTTTGAAGAAAATCTGTATAGCACACTGCAGAGATGTCTGAAGGGCAACAGAAAACATCCTGTTATTGCTGATGAGACATTGCACAATGTTGTTGTGGTTCTGATGTTACAACAAAAGGCCTGTGGGTTTTTTAATACTGAAAGCAGATGTTCCTCTGAGCTTTTAGTACTCCCCTGTTGAGGTTCATAATAGCATTACAAGCCTTAATAGAATATTATCCTTGTTCTCTACAGCTGCATTATCTGTTATTTAAAGATGAACAATTATGCAGTGATGTACCAGTCTGACAACCTAAGCCTGAGACTAACCTGACCCTGGACTTTTTCTTGGGTTCCAGGTGTGGGACTATTTCTCCTGGACAGCAGAGATGATGAGGGAAATGAAGACTGAGGAGACAATCCGGGATATATCCACTAGCAGCCTGAGGCTTACCCAACACCAGCAGCTGTTGGCAGAGATCGAGGCACGAGAGGAAACATACAATCGGGTGGCACAGCTAGGACAGTCGCTGCTGCAGGAAGAGAAAATATCAAAAGAGGTCAATAGAAACCATTTAATAGCATATCTGGGTTCACAGTTGCATGCAGAACAGCTCAATACTGTCACAGATACCATTCTGTACTCAAGCTGGGCTTGGATACATAAACCCCCCCACACACATATGTCGTGATCCACACCCAACTCAGTAGAATATCTGCCTTCGACATACATGAATGTTCTTTCATACCACTTCATACATGAGGGTGGACCCATGTGGGAATCAACAAATACCTGCCAAAGCAGAGTTTGGGTTATCTGAGAACTTTGGGATCTTTTGAGCAATCGAGACAATGCTACTTACTTCCTGGATTGGATTTTTACAAGTTCTTGCCTTCCAGTTATGGCGCTACCTCCACACTAGACCAGACTGGGCAAATATACTGAAAAGGCTCAAACACATAAGAAAATCTAAAGGAATAACTGGCAAACTTTATGCAGCCCAAAAAACAAAAGAAAGATGGGAAGCGGAATCCTAGGGTCCTAGGACAAGCATCCTCTAAAATTCCCATACAACCACCAGTTTCTCATGTTGGAGGGTATTCCAATGTGTCTCCCATTCTTACAACCCAATAATCACCAACAAAATGAACTCCAACAGCTAACATCTCTGTTGGAAGGGATGTAGGCTAACTACCCTCCACCCATGCAATTGCTGGAGAGCAATACATTTTGATCATTTATATACAAAATCTTATAAAAAAAATTTGACATTCTCTTCAGTGAAACCTTGGCCCATTAGGTTGTATGGGACGCTCTCCTAAACCTTTAAAACAGAAGTTATGATAGGACACTTGTTCAAAATATTAACCACCGCTGCAATAAAATACATTGTCACAAAATAAAACCTTGTATTTGAGACATGGCTAGCAACAATGTAAGAAACTAAAGGGATAGCACAAATCACAGCTCTAATTTGACTGTCCTCAGATCTGCTTGAGGGTTGATAGACTTCAACCAATTCTCTGTTTACAACAAGCAAGAAACAAGGACAAATCATAATGGCTCAGAGCTAAAAACATGTACTGTACCTAGACAGGACATCAAACTGTCATTCAACTCCTTGTGAATGAGTGTACCTGGTGAAGGTCTAGCAGCTCATTTGGAGACCGGCTTGAAGCACAGGCTGTGTCCAGGTCAGGTGAGTCTTAAACACAAGACCCCCCGGACGCCCTCCGAACTTTGCTCTGTGCAGATCGTGTACCTTAGGATCAGGTTTTGCTGTTTCCAGAAGCATGAGCATCGTTCTTGTAGTTAATAAAAAGTGCCGTGCCTTCTCCTCTGACCAACCTATCTCTGAGTGCTTATTAAATATTGCAATGTGCACCTACCATAACTAGTAATCTTCCCAATTCCCAACCTGTGAAAGGCTTTGAACATACAAGTACAGTTGAAAGAATAAGAAGTCAATGCTGATAGTCGGAGGCCTGTGGACACCAACAGTTTTGGCAGTTGGAATACCATGTATTTCAACACGGATGCTCCATGTGTTCATACGCGCTTGCTTTATGGCACACAGTCCTGGTGCTGACACCTCATTGCTGACACCTATTGCTTTATGTTTGGAATGGGCCCCAACATATGTACACAGACATACACTGTCACAAATATTCCTCCTCACATGAAACTGGACACCCCTCAGCTTCTCTGCCCTTATACAAGTGCTAACATTTATTCCTTCTCTCCCTTGTTTGATAACTTTGCCCAAAGTGCCATCGAAGAGGTCACTCCCAGCTCTGCTTTCTCCTACATGCCTTCCCCTAATCCCATGAGCTACAACAACTAAGACGGGTTTTCCTTTGTGTACCACCTTCAGATCCAGCAGAAGTTGTGGGCTTTGTTGGAAGAAAAGGATAATGTGTACCATCAATGGGAGCAGAAGAAGGAGTGGTTGGAGAAGATACACCGAGAACAAATGTTCTACCGGGATCAGGGTCACTTGGAAAAGATCCTGAACACTCAGGAGGTGAGTGACCTTTGCTTCTGGTGAAATGCTTCCAGCCTAAAACTCATGTGACTGTAAAACTGTAACTGGGATTATATGAAGACCCAGAGTGCAGATGCATACAGGATACACTGAGGCAGGGTGTCAGCACTTGAAATGTATTTCCTCACCAGGCCTAATGTTCCCTGCCATGAAAACTGTGGGTGCAATCTCAGATGTAGTTTTATATGGCTCTGCACAAACTAACAGGTTGCCAGAATGCAGCAGATATGCCAAGGGAGTGTTTTTTTCTCAACGACTCCCATGCCCATCACAACTGAAGAGATGAATGGAACTGAAGCAAGTAGAATCTCAGGGTAGCTTCTCTTGCAGAGGTGATTTTATGAGACATTTCTTGTTAGTTAAATCTCTGAGATTGGTTACAGTGCAGCAGAATGGTTCCTGGCTTGTGTTGGACTTTGGTTAGATCTGTGCAAATGCTTCATACCTTGGTGCCAGTGGAACTTTCAGACGCAATTGAGCAGCAGCCAGCTTCCCTACAATGTGTGTGCCACAGAGTCAATGCACACACTTGGGAGCTGCATTGGCAGAGTGTCCCTGAGCTGTATTGTGCAACGATAGTTGCAGTTCAGGGGCTTGGAGCCTCCACTTCTCAGTGCTGGTAGCGAATGAATTTCTGGGGCGAATTCCCAACATGTGGCTCTTTTGGCAGCTGTGGCCTGAGTTCTGAGTTTATGCTGTAACCCGAAGCCAGGAGAGTTTCACCTGGTTTCAGGTTTCTGTAGTAAAGTGTAGCACAGCTCTGCTGGCTATAAATTTGTATTTGTTGCTCAACTAACAAATGACACAGGTTGGAAAATACCTACCCTCAGTTCCTGCCAAGCGAAAAAGGACTGACTGACCCTGCTAACATCCCATGTGGATAACATCATCACAGGAAGCTCAGGCACTGCGAAAAGACTTTATTCAGGGTGAATTCTGGCTTCGGCATATTTTCTTAAGAGTGAAATGGAGATCAGCCAACACACAGATGTGTGCTTAAAAGGAAAATACAATATACCCATTTTCATAAAGACAATCTGCTGCTGAGAAACATTTCTTGCTCTGCCTACATTGAGAAATGCAGCTGAAAATAAGTGCTACAGATGAAATTGGCGTTTCTTATTCTATTGGTAAAGGCAGCCATTTTGATGAGAGGGGATACCCCAGCATAAGGGATTGCAGGGCAGTGTCTATGCTGCTTTACTACCGGTTCACTAATTTATTTCCCCTGAAAATGCATTGAGAGCTACAATAAATGTTGTTACCTCTTGTGGTGGGACAGATCTCCACTCCCGTCAGATCAGGAGCAACACCCACCATCTCCCAAAAGGGGTGCTAGAGAGGTATAGCCTACTAAGCCGCTACTATGTGTACGCTATCTCAAAGGTGGTACGCACAGGATTGCTGATAAGAGGCTAGTCTTTCTCGTGCTCCCAATCACATTGCATGGGCAAGGGTTACAAAAGATTATACTGCTTTCACATGGAAGAAGTCAGTATACACCAATTCCAGTGGTTAGACTCGTGCAGACACCAGCCAGTGCAGTTTAGTTTAACTTTACTTATGTATCCATGTAAACTGGGTGCTGCTGTAAGCAGATGAATAAACAGCCTAGGAGAGTCAAGTCCACCATCCACAGAACAGGTGAAGTACAATGCAGACCAAGCTTCCACTGACTGCCTTGCCAGCATACCTGAACCCTGGTTCAGAGCATTGTAGCAGGCAGTTCAGTCCTCAACCTTTCTCTGGAGACTGCCAAAGGTGCCAGTTGTGATATTGGTTTCTCTGTTGTGGATACCTATTCACAGAACTGGCTCCTTTGCTTCCTTCTCCCTCCACCCAGCGCATGTTAGGGTTGGGGTAGAGTTGCTGCTGCACAAATGGGGTGGGGGGACAATATCACTAGGGTGCTATAATTTGTGCAGAGGCCGGGGCAGAGAATTGGAGAGCCATAACTGGCTGTCTGACAGCCCGCCTGTCCCTGCACTCAGCAGAAACTGAGCGCAGCAGAGAATCTGCTCTGGACATTTATTTGAATAAAGGGAGAGGATCAAGAGATGTGTTGGTATCCTCTGCAGCTGGTTCCATCCATCTACTGGGTGCAGAGTTTGATAAAGCTGTATATCGGTATTTATTTAGTTTGTATTATATGCGTATCCATTAAAACAGCAGATGGGGGATTTATTCCATCAGACTGAGCACTACTATGGCTATGCAGAGCTAAAATGTGGCTGAGTAATGACACAGGTCCTCTTCCTTGGTGGCGTGGGCAGGAACGAAGGACAGCACTTTAAATTGCCATTTCTTAACAAGTGTAGTGGTAGCCGTGTTTTGTCTCTAATTTCGTAACAAGATTTTATTCCCTCGTTTGCCCCTGAGGCTTCAGTTGTGGACTTTCAAATCACTTTCACAGGGAGGATTTTGCCATTTGCTGGTCTTGGAACAGACTGAAGTGAACACCTGTTTCAAAAGGATCCCCGTCAGCCAGGCAGACATTTCACAACTCTTTTCCCTCCTTTCTGACATTTTGTGGGTGGGTGGGTGGGTGGCATTACTTAGCTGTGTCTTTTTGTAGCCACGTGTCTGGAGAATGTGCATGCGTCTCTTTAATATAGTTGCTTCAGTCAGATCCCTGTTGTGGGTTGTTTACGTACACACAACATGCTGCATATACCTTGAACAAAGTCTCTTCCAGCAGCAAGGAATAGGGCAAGGAAAAAGGTAAGCAGCCCACAGTGTTTTAAACTAGAACTGCTTTCTCATTCGTTCTCCGTGCCAGTGTGACATGTTTGACTTCGTGCCAGCATCTTATGTTACATCCAAGTTGCTTAAACCTTCGAAGGATTTCAGCAGGGTTTAGTCTAGGATCATTCTGTGCTAAAGAAAACAGAGCACATGTGGAGGAAATTAGGCAAACAGATATCTTTTTTTATTGCTGAATTCTGTTGTGCCATTGCTTGGAACAGTTGTAGGAAATTCTCCTAAGACCTGTGAACAGAGATCTTGCCATTCTGAGTGCAGACAGGCAGCGTCTGAGACAGATGAAAAGAGAATAAACTTGCTTTGTTTTTTAATAGAAGTAGACCTCTATATGCTCTGCTCTCTCCCAACCATTTCAAGGCAACAGATGCTTTGCTTAGGTTAGCTACTTTGGGTTTTTTCACAGACGACATAACGGCAAATTCACGGTCTGTCTCTGGCGAGCATTCTTGGCTCACTCCTCCTCTGTCTGCAGTCTCCCTGTCAGAGAGCAGAGACTCATACTTGATAATTTATCTTTCAGATCATCACATGCTCATATCGTTTTGCAGACGGGATAGGTGGTGATGGTGGTAGCGTTAGAGGAATAGAGCTTTTTATTTCGAATGTGGATACTTTAGTTTATCCTTTTTTTTTTCCCGAGGAATGTTTATTAACCTCTCACTCCTTCACATCAGAGGAAGAATGGAAATTTCCAGTGCCAAAGGAACAAGGATTAGGAGTTTATTGTAAAAATAGGGGGAAAGGCAAGTTTCTATTGCTTTGGTTTTGCACAGTTTAGGACTGAGCTGCAGGATGTCATGCAGAGACCATCACTGCAAGACCTCATCTGCACCAATCTATGTTTCCACTGTGGAAGTGATGCTGTCTTCCAGTAGAGTGACCCCACCACCAACCTTTGAATCAGCTGTGCAGGGGCAGCCTTTCCAGAAGATGCCATCCTCAGCGTGGTATCTTCCATCTGGGCAATCAGCAACAGAGAGTACTCCAAGCAACATGTCTTCTGGGGTTTACTGTTCAAGGTTAGATGTCATCCTGGCTCAGACAAATAGGCAGAAAGATTTCAGGAAAGATAACCCGTGCATTAATCCTTCTGACATGGCATCTACATGTTCCAATCTTCGCAGAGACCCTCGGGGCAGTGGATATGGGAGTTTTGGCATTTGGTCCACACCCACATCTTGTAAGCAATGCTCAGTAGGAGATCAAAGTGTCTGTCACTCTTCCACTGATAAAAATGGTCCCATGAAGCTTTCAATGTCTTTGCCTTCTGCTGCTTCTTCCTCAAAAGTCCCACCAAGCTGGACATCACGTCTAGATGTTGCTCTGTCTGCCATTCCAGCTGTTTCACCACTCCATAGCAAAAGGATTCATGCAACGCTGGCATCTTGTAGCTCAGCCCCACCCCAACGTGGCTACAGTCAATGCAGTGTTCCAATTCCAGACCTCCATGCTTCAGTGAAGCTCTACATTTCAACCTGCAGCTTGGCAATAAAGCCTTTTAGAACTGATACTCAAATGAGCAACCATGCTCATTCCAGCCTTCTAGTGCCACAACTGGAGAAGATGTCTGGTACATCTGCTGGTCTCCCAACAGGATCCCAGGTATCTAAACAAGATTTTGCCTCACCTGGGTCTCCAGGTCTTCAGATTACAAGATTTCATGTGACTTCCTCTGCCGAATGCCCTGGCCTTCCCCAGCAAACAGTCTCCAGAGAAATATGGCTGTCACCAGCTGTGCTGACTAGAAGAGAAAGTTCTGTTGGTGGAAGTGAGGTCCCCAACACTGATTTAGATCCCAATCTGATCATCTTTCAAAACAACCCTTCATCTGAGACAGCATTTGGGAAGACTCCATGTGAAAGGCTAACGCCAGCTCACCACAAGATTTCCAAAATAACCTTAATACTTGCCACCCCTTGGACTACTGTGCCTATCCACGTGGTAAGAGAATTCAGAAAAAGTCCAGCACCCACCATCTTTATCAAATCACATGATCCGGATGCACCTGGCCCACCCCTTCACCCCGTTGGGATTGGGGCTGGCCTCTCTCTATCAGTGAATCCAGTTTGCTGTCCAGAATTGCTCTCTTCACAACAACATTGGGCAACATCTGGTTCAAGGCCTTCCCAGGATGCATGCACTGTAGGAACCGTAGATCCTGACACCCTCTTAACAAACATACCAGCCCGCGCTGCAAATGTGCCACACAGAGCCAG